AATTTTAATTTTCTATTTGATGAAGCAAATAAGGAAGGGTAAATATATTTATCAGTCATTCTTTACTATAAGTGTTTGAAGATTCAATTAACACCGTTAACACCGTTTCTGATTTAATTGATTTCATTGATTATAAAATTTTATCATTACTTGAGCAAAAGTAACGATGGATCACTCAGTTGCACTAGCATTTCACAACAATAAGATTCATTTTTAATGGTTAGGTTGTAGAATTCATGTTGGCCTTAAGATGAAGTAATGTATAATAATTTGACCAATCCATATTAATCAACTAATCAACTAGTCCATTATCAGTGGGCTAAAATATATATTATATCAGTAGATAAATTTACATTAATCGGGAAATTCCAAGTATTTTTTTATTATTTTGCGATAATTTTTGAAATTATTACTTGAGAGATTTTTTAAAAAAAATCGTAATTTTTAAATTTCAGAAATTTTATAATATTGCCATTGGTTTGCTTATTTAACATCCTGATCATTTGTTCAAATATTCTAATATTGTTCAAATATTCTATAAAATCAATTTAACCAGTAGCAGTTTTTGCGTTTTTTCGATTTTATACCCATTTTAGTCTTTTTAATAGATAATTTATTCCGCTACAATTCATTTTGCCATTCCGCTTAAAGCAGGTTTGTTTATTATTACAGAATTTTTTTTCTTTACTCACTTTCCATTTCCTGTAAAATATTAAATGGTTTAATTTTATTTTATTTTATTTTTTTATTTAATTTAATTTTATTTAATTTAATTTAATTAATTTATATTAAATATTAAATTAAATATTAAATGGTTTAATTTTATTATATTTTTTGTCGAGAAAAAAATTTTTAAGCAATTAATTTCCGCCAATATTTGTGAAATTTTAATTTAATTAGGCTTGGAAACGAAAAAGAAAAATTTCTATCATAGTTAATTAATATAAAATTAGTAAAAAAAATTTTTCGATTTTTTTATTAATCAGAACTAAATTTTGCATAATTTAATTCAACTCATCGCGGGCTCTTTGAGTAAACTTATAATAAAAAGTGTAGGCCAAGTGGTTCTTGGAACTCGTTTGTGTTCGATTTTCGATTATCAGCCTAATGAACATTCTTTCCTAATATCCTAATAGCTAATAGAATCAGCGGAACCAGAATTTATAAAAATTGTTCTTTTAACGGCTTGCTATACATTAATGATTAGGCTGGCGCCATTGGCTTTAAAGCCTCTTGGTGCCATATCTGGAAATATCATAAGCCATTCCTTTTCCCATATTTCAAGCCACATTTTGCTGCTTTATCTGCAAAATTTCTCCTAGGCATCCTTTATAGGGCTTAGTAGAATGTAAATTTAAATAAATTTAGGAGTTCTAAATTTCCATTGAGGAAATTTTTTAGATTTATTAAAAGTTTTAATAAAAGTACTTATAAAAAGTTAAATTCGATAATTTTTTTTAAAAATTGATTTTTCTAACTTTCTTTGTTATTCATTTTATCTAATGTTCTTTTTTTTAATATTTTTTCATTAAAACCAAACCATTTAAAACAAAATGAATGAATGAATGCAATTCTATTGCGCGCATGCAAAAAGCAATGAAAATTTGACCAATCTTCATTAAATTAGAAATTTTTTATTTTTTATAAAATTATAAAAATATTTTTTATTGGAAAAAAAAAATTCACAAAAATTTATATGCACAACAAGTAAGCGAGCATTTCATTCATTCACTTAATTTTTGATGTTTTGTTGATATCAAAAAAAAAAAATGATTATTTGCTATCACCAAGCATCTACCTTTTTTTCAGTTTATTTATTCTGATATCATTTATAAAAATTATTATAGGAAAAAAATTAGGTGACAATATTTCTTGAATTTTATTAATCGTACGCTGTATTTGCATTTCTTCTTTTCCTCTCTTTCTTTATGCAAAGAAATTTCGTTAGAAAAATGAAAGAGCAAATAGAAAAAAGATTTTATTGAAATGAAAATTAAATGACCTTGATTTTCTCATTTTTCATTATTTCTTACAACTTTTTTTTTATATTTCATATAATGAAGGAGAGAAAATAATTGTCACCAGATTTTGCACCAGCACCTATATAAGGTTGGCTATTTTATATGTATTTCTTCTCTAATGGAAAGGAAGTCACATGTTTCTTAGTAGTTAATGCATCAGCTAAATCAGGAATGGTGAATGCGATTAGAGGAAAAATTATATTGATACCTTATATGTAGTATTATACGTAGCATATCTCGTATAATATATAATATTATGAGGGACATCACAAGAATATAACTAATTTTGGAAAAATTGCAATGGTCCATTTCGATATGCCAAGTGTATTGATTTAAAAAAGTCTAAAAATCCGTTTTCAAAACCAGAGGTTGAAGTTTGAAGTCTTTTACGCGCCAAAAGCGAGATGGTCCAATCAAGACTGGACTGATACAGTCAGGAAAGGTTTTGAATATATAGATGGACAAGCGATATATGGACTTAGAACAAAAATGAAAAAGGAATGGCTTCCATCAGCAATGGCGTTGGACCGAATAGCTTGGAGACTTGGGGATCTTACCCTTGTAGCCCGTGAAGCCAGCCTTTAATGGCGAGAATTGATAGAAGAAGAAGAAAAAGCCATAGCAGTAGTAAGATTACATTGTTCAGCTTCAAGCTCAGATTTGAGGTAAACCTCTGGTTTTCAAATTTTACCGTCATACTTTAGTAGGCATCTTTAATTTATATTTTTATAATAGCAATGATTTCTCATTTACTTTAGCTCAGATAGTAGATACATGGATTTTGACGCAAACTTCGAAGTTATTTAATGGATAATGTTAGAATTTATGTAAACAGTACCTAAAAGAATGAACGATTAACAATAGTGTCTTAAATGAGTATTGAATGCCTTACATGTCTTTTGTTATAGAAAAGCAAAAATCAAATAATTTGCTCGCATCCTACCTCCGATGCGTAAACCTACCATTAAAAAATTCGGTAGTGTAACCAACTGAATTCCTGTCGAAGAATTTTTCCCCATAATATGAGCGAATAGACCGAACCTATGGAGAAATGGTGAGCGCTAGTCATTAGTCACTTTCTTAAATTTTTTTCGCAGCAAACTTTAAAACATCTATAAATTTATTCAACTACGTTTTTCTCACTACTACTATTAAAGAGAAGAGGGAGAGGAGTTATGCAAATTTTAAGCTTGAAAATAATAATTAGATACTAATTCTTCTTCTTCTTCTAACAGTTCTCACCATTACTGGTTAGGCTGGCTCCGCTGGCTACAAGGGAAAGACGTCTCCAAGCTGCTCGATCCGATGCCTTCGCTGGAACTAATGGAAGCCATTCCTTTTCCATCGTGTAAGTCCATATATCGCTATTCCTCCTATATGTTCGAAATTTTTTCTATCTATCAGTCCAGATCTTGACTGGCCCTCTTCACTTTTGGCCAACCATCACAGGGTTTAGTAACGAAATATGCGTCGACTTCTATGGTGGAATTAGATACTAATAAAATTGTATGATTGTATTACAACCTCATTTAATTTTCATAACAAAAATTTCCCCATAAAATTAGTTATTTCAAGGTTTATCAACTTTAACAAAGATATTTTTGTTGAATTTTTTCAATTTTTAATTTTATTTCAAAATTTCTTATTATTATGAATAATTTTTTGTATTCCATAGATAAACGACACCTATATCACCAAAATTTTGCCAAATTATGTGTAAAATCTTATAATTTCGCTATAAAAATTATATTTTATTAAAATTTCATATTTTCTTACAATTCGTTAAGTATAAATGCCTTTCAAAAATGAAACTTCATAATCGATTATACTTTATTATTTTAGGTTTTCAGCAATGAATGCATGTCGTAATAATAATCTTTCGACGAATAATTGGAAAATATCTGGCTTATCTCTCTGTCTTTCTTGTAATCCTTCATCATTAAATTATTTCACTTGAATAGCTTTTTATAATCATTGGCACGATAAATTGAATAAACTAGTTTTCATTAATAATACTTTAGTATGAAATGTAAAGCGTAATTTTCGATTTCCTTTTATAATTCTTTCAAAAATTACAAATTTAATTTAATCCTTGTAGCATCGCTTAAAAATTAGGCTAAAATTAGGTTAAGGTTTAGACTTCACTTTTTCACCTTTAGGATAGCCAGACGTCTTTTTTTTGCGATGCTAAAATGGAGATAAGGCAGCCTAGGGACTGAGTCACTATAGCTAAGGCTTTGAGCGCCAAGGTCTGACTCTTGTTTCTGGCAAAAGGGAGCCTATTATTAAAAAAATTACGCTAAATTGGCGAAAAATTTTCCAGCACATTAACGGTCAATGAGACGAATCTAACCAGAAATGATGAGCGTTAACCAGTTACTCAAATAAATTATTATTTTCCTTTGTTTGCTATTTTACACAAAGAATTGCGGTAAAATTGATGAACTGATAAGCTGGCATTAAAACTAATTTTCATTTTTCATTTTTTATTATAAATTTATGCAAATTATTCTTGTAAATTATTCATATTAATATTGCAAAATATTTTTTTTCTATGAAATTTGGTAAACAAGCGGATAAGCTGATAAATTGATCAATAAAGACTGATAAGACCTTTCAGTATTTTTTCAACCTTTTGAATCTATAAATTTCTATATAGTTCTATAAATTTTTATATAGTTTTTTTCTATATATTTTTAAAGAGAAATTTATTTTCTATATATTTTATTTTTTTCTATATATTTTTTTTTCTATATATTTTTAAAGATATTTTTGTGAAATTTGAAATTTTCATTCCAAAAATAATCTTCAGAATCTTATACTTTTTATTTTTAATTCATGAATTGGAAATTTTTTCGTATTTCTAATTTTTTTGGTCTCTCTTTTACGAACCATTTTTTTCTATATATTAATTGCATGAGAGGAGTTATTGAGGAGCAAAAAAAACTGATTACAAACGGATTCGTCATGACATGAAAAATGCCACGGGGTACTATCAAATGCGCTACAAATTGCGGGGTAATTAGTAATGGCCAACCGGTTCCGAAATTATTTAATAATTAGGGTTTAACGAAACGATGACAATGTTGAATTATTTTAGTTAAAAATAAATAAATAGTGATCGTCATTAAAACAATGCTTGATGCTTGAAGAAAGAATGAAGAAAAACAATTTTATTCTAAATTGCTAATTTTATATTGCAAAACATATAAATGGGCTTTCTTGGTTAATTGATGACAATTATAGATCGTAAAATAAAAAAGGCGTGGAAGAAAATCGTTAATGAGAGATGCACAATTTTGTACAATTTTTAGTGATAAAAGTAACTTTCTTACTTACCTTCCTTCTCTCTTTTGAAGTCAATTATTCATAAGCAAGTTAATAAAATAAACTGAATAATATTCACCATTTTTGGTTTAGATAATTCCGCTGTTGTAAGACGAGGCATTTTGTGCCAGGGGGCACAATTCGCCCGGGGATAGAAATATGATATGCCTTAGCTTCACTCGCATTTTTTGATGGTGATTTTACTGTTCTCGGAACTCTTCGCAGGTTGAGATGATGCATACTTAAATTTAAATTGATATTTTAGGCGCTTGTGAACATAGATGTTATGGCTCATATTTTCTTCTGGTTTTAATTTGTACTTTTCCCTCCAATTTTAGCCTTTTCTTGTGAGATCTCGATATTCATTCTTCTAAAAATTATTTTTAGTTTTTTTAATTTTTTATTTAAATTTTCAATTTTTTGTCCAAAATTGCTTGATTTGTCAACCGTAAAATCTTAAGTATATTCTATTGGCTTGTATGCCTTATTTTGCTATTAACCTGCTTTCTAAGCGATGAAGGATGAATCTGAAATTAGTATTTTACTGGCCTCAATTCCTAATATCATTTAAGAAATTAAGAAAAAAAAAACATGGATGCTAAAAATTACGGTACATTGGTGGTTTGAATATTTAATCCCATTTGAGCCTTCGATTAACTCTATTAAATTACTTCATCATTCATTTCATCAAATTTATTTAAAAGCGATTCATTTAATTTAAAATGATCTATTTGTCTATGAAAGTGAAAAAAAACCTACCTGTGCGCCCATCTCCAAATGGCTATCCAAACGAAAGGTTGCCATCACATCCAGTGGAGCCGATGAAACTAGAATTCCGTTTTTTTATCGGGATTTTTCGTCTTAAATAAATGGCTCATTTATTTCCATTTTTAATGGGTTTTCTTTGCACTTTTATTTCCTTCAAAATTTTTCTAAATTTTCTAAGCAATTTCTTCTAAATCATTTTTATTTTCTTCTAATAATTATTGGAGAATCACTAATTGTTTATTTATTTTTTTACAATGCAAAACATTTATTTTCTTCCTTTTCATAATTATTCTTCTTAAATTCGAATGAATGAGTTTGCAAATAAATCAACGAACAACTAAAAAAATACCTTCATTTTTTTGCCATAAAAACTCAATTGATAGTTCCATTAATTCAGTGAAATTTTTAAAAAAATAAAATATTTGCCCCTTCGTTTTTAAATTTTTAAAAATTTTAAAAATTTTTAAAATTAATAAAAAATTTATTAATTTTTAATATTTATTTATTTTCGTTTAAATTATTATAAAATATATATGATTCGTTTGCATCGAATAAATAATTGAATAGTTTAAGAATAATTATATATAATTTTACATAATTTAAAATTTAGAATTACAATAATTTTTTCCCTAAATTATCTTAAAGCAAAACCACTGCATCGTCTTTCTTTCATAATTCATCTTAAGAGAATGTATTCGCTAGGAAAAAGAACTAATACAGTCTGAGTCGAGCAAAGTAATTCTCAATAAGAGATTTTTTTTAGCTTGGCTAATAAAATTTTGGTGGAATTTTTTAATTGGCTGACTAAAATTTTGCAAAATTTTTCCAAATTTTCTTATTTTTATGGATTTGCAATGTTGTTTTTATAGAAATAATATCAATAACATGAATTTTTTCCTTATATATTTTAACGAATTTATAAATAAAACTAAAGCTAAATTACTACAAATTTTATCAAATTGTATTTTTTTTTTCATTTTCCTCATTCTATTAACATTGCTAATGGAACGATTGTGATAGATACATGAGTGGTACTAGTTTACTACAATACAAGACAACGATGCCTTTTATTTTTCGACTTTTCTTTCCATAATTTTCTGGAAATTCAAATTTTAGATCGGTGTTGCGATAGCTTTATACGATAATATTGCTGAATGGTCGAATGAATTAGATTTTAAACGTAATGAATTGCTACGAGTTATCGACGAACGTCCTTGTGCGTCCTTTTATTAATTTTTTTATTTTTTACTAATTATCACATTTCATTTGTGTAAATTATATTTGTTTGAGGAAAAATTCGAATATTTTTTTCTTTAAATTTTTGCCATGAAAGATTTGAAATTATTGCGATCTTTTGGTTTTTCCCAACAGAAGAGAAGAGACGAATGAATGAATGATGAAAAAGATTAGATTCAATTGAGATTCAATTGCTCTTGACTGAAGTAAACTTGTCCTTAAAAAATCCTGCTGTCCGTACAACTATGCTTCCATCGCCAAATAACTCACTGCCGAAAATTTCTAATCGCATTATCTATTAGCGAAGCGAGCTTAACTAAAAATGGCTTTGTCCCAGCAGAATGAATTAAGCCAAAAATAGTTAATTTTTTACAATATTTTTACAATAAATTAATAGATGTTTATAAATCCATAAGGAAGTTAGGAATATTCTTTAAATCAGTGAATAAAAAATTATATTATCTTCACGATTATCTTCATTCTTTCTTTCATTTTTTCTTCACTGTTGAGTAAAAACCAACCGATTAATTTTTTTATTTGTGAATATCAAATAAATTTTTTTATATTCAAAAAATTTTAGGTTTTAATAGCAATAAAACTGATACTGGTTGGTGGTACTGTGTAAATGCAAAAGGTAAATCTGGATTTGCACCGGCAAATCGACTTTATTTGTTTCATCGTTTCAAAAAACACAATATCGAAAAAGTTGGTTCATTAAAAAATATCTTTCGTTTTTTCACTAAATTCCACTAAATTTCTTAGAAAGCGAACATTTTTTTGCTTCGTTTTTTGTATCGTGAAATATCTTTTTTCACATGGTCAGTTTTAATTTTAGATTAGTACCACATCTTGCGCAATTCTATTTATACAAAAAAGGGAAAATTCGCTATAATATTTCAAAGTAAACATACTTGGACACGCAACTCTACTTTTAAGTCTATGATAGCTATTCAATATTTATTTGTTTAATAATAATAATAATCTATTTGATTAAGATTTCAGACCCAGTTTTTCAGTTTTTTGTTTCAGCTGAAAGAATCAAACTTAATTTTTAATTCAGTAATTTTTATAGCAATCCACATCTCTTTATTCATTTTTTATATAACGACTATCTTTTTTTTTCTATAATAGCTTTTTATCGTTTTTCGTTTGACTGCCTCGATTAGCTGTTAAATTGTATATCAAGTGACGCTAGAGAATCGCTTGAGTACAAAAATATTCATCAGCACTATCCGAACTGCAGCGAGCTATTTACAGTTCAAGAGAAAGAAGGAACTTGAAGCTAAACCTATTATTGCCCGACCTTAGTTAAAACACAATCGGCAATCGTGCCTCATTGGCTTATACTGTTTTTAAAATTATCTTAATTGTTGACTAAACTTATTTATTTATTTTTTAGAAGCAACTTTTCCATTCATTTTGCATAAAATGATTTAAATAATTTGTTTTTTTTTCTCATTTCTGCTTAAATCATACAACCTTTAAATGAACGACATTAGAGTTCTATTTCAAATTTCTAATAAATTGTAAATTCTCGTTTCAATTTTAATTGGATTTTATGAAAAATAAGAAAGCTTTATTGCTATTTTTTCTCATTTCTTCTAATTTTCTTCGTATGTCTTTCAATAATTTTATTTAATTTAATTTGTAATAAATATCATTATTATTTCATCTGTAGTAAATTGAATAGTGGTTCATTGCTCAGTTTTACCTTACTTTTATCGAAAGCGATTTCCTGCCAAAAAATTCTAATAGAACTGGCAGCCAGAGGAACGAGCCTAACCAGAAACGGGAAACGCTAATCATTTATTTATTTTCTTTTAAATTCGAATATTTTATATTATAAAATAATATATAAAATACAAATTATAATAAGAATTGCCTTAATATAGAAATATTCATCAGATATTCATCCATTTCAATGGATATTAGGATAAGAATTTAAAAATTAAATGGAAATTTGAGTAATTTAAATAATTTACATGGGAATTTTTAAACCAATTAAAACCATTTTTTTTCTAAGTCCCATTATTATTATTTTTTTTTAAATTTAACATTATAATTAAAAGATTTTTAAAATAATCATAGTTTAAATATAGTTTTAATATTAACATTTGGCCTTTTATTTTAAATATTTTTCGAACCAAATGCCAAAATTTATTATTCACCTAAGGGGATTTGGTAATTTATTTTCTATATAACTTGAAGGTAGTTTAAATTGTTTATTGAAAAATTCTAAATCCACTAATCTATCACCTGTCCATAATATCAGATCATTTCAGTTTATTTGGTCACGACGCTAATTTTGATTTACACGCTAAGTCAATAATTAAATAATCCTCGTGCAATATGAGTTTTTCAGCTTTTAGAAAATTTTTGCATACTTTTAATAAACTAAAGTTTATTAAAGTTAAATTGAATTAATTAACTAAATCAGCTATTAATTTTTAATAAATTAACTATTTTTAATAAATTAATTAAATAATTTAGATTTAGAATTAATGAATAATAACGCTCAAACCACAATGTCACTGTAGGCAATAGTAATAGAAAATAAGAACATAATATTTGAAGAATATAATATGATGTAATATAATATTATAAAAATATAATATGTGAATAAATTTGCACCTTAAGTCATAATTTTTTTACAATTTTTTTTTATTAATTTTTATTAATTTTTTTTTTATAATTTTTATTTTATAATTTTTTTAGTTTTTTTATTGGCTGTATTATTTGCCGGAATAAAATTATCCTAGTAAAATCGTTTTTTTATCATTTTTTATCTTAAAACGAAATCTTACTGGATTTACTTAGATGGTATTATTTCGAAATAAACTTCAGATCTTCATTTCATAATCTAATTATTTTTCTAATTAATATCATAAATATCAATTTTATGTTCGCGATTTACTAATGGCAATGATTTTGCTTTATTTAAATAAATATCATGTGGTGATAAATTTTGATAAACCTCTGTAATTGTTCATTTTTTCGAGAATTCATTCATTTGCAAAGGATGTTGATTTATTTCTGTTTGAAATCAACAGTTTGAAATTTTATAAAAAATTTTATTTTTTTTGCCGAAACTGATATTTAAAATTGATAGTGATAGTGATATTTTTATTGCTAACAAATCTGACGAAATAATATATTACATATTTATCAATTGATAATTGATAATGTAGCTTGTGATAAATTTATATTTAGGCTGAATTCATTTATTTATTAATATTCATAAAATTTTATTCATTGATTTACAAATTAAGCCAATGATTGATCATTAAATAATTATTTTGTTTGTTCGATTCAATTCGATTATTGAAGAGATAGAAAATAATAGAATTTTTTTTGATGAAATTTTCCTTTCATTTCTTTATCATGCATTTTCAAATTTCCAGTTTATTTCTACTGTTTAATTTTATAAATTTATATAAAAGTAAACAGCGAAAAAAAAATAAACAGCCATCTTCACTAATCCGATGCTATTGTGCATAGGTGGACGGTTGGACTTATTAGTGTGATGAGAAATTTTTGCCACTTGACGATAGAATTACAGGTGGTTCTCCAACACTACTTGGATCTTCAGTGATAGGCTTACTTACATTAAGGGGAAAACCTCGAACGATAATACTTAAAATAATAATTTAATTAATTACAAATAAATACTCGATCATAGTGCCATATTTTATAAATATATTTTTTTCAATTGGTAGGATGTGATTAATAATAATAATAATAATAACAATAATAATAATATAATAATAATAATATTAATAATATTAATAATAATATTAATAATAATAATAAATAATAATAATATTAATAATAACAATAATAATATTAATAATAATAATATTAATAATAATAATATAATAATATAATAATAATAATAATATTAATAATAATAATATAATAATATTATAATAATAATATAATAATAATAATAATAATGATAATAATAATAATAGTAATAATATAATTTTTTTCATAAAATTTTTCATAAAAATTCATTATTCTATATTTATATTTTTTTGCTGAATTATTTAAAAATAATTGCCAATTGTTTATTCTGATAAGAGGTTGATAAGAAGGAAAGATTGCATCGAAAAGTTTTTTGACGGATATTAAAATCCAATTTTTATTTTTAGTGAATATATTTTTATATTTACATTTTTTTAAACACTATTTTCTATTTATGGTTTGACTGGACAGAATTACTAGGTTGAGATCCTTTTGCCAGAGAATTAGAATAGAAATATAAACTAGCTCCAGAACCATTCGGATTTTACTTTTAATAGTATTTTTACTTTCGTTAAGGAATAGGAGTGGAGCCCATGATGATTGATAATGTCGAAGCAATATATCACCTTCCCTTGCATTTATATCAATTTATCTTATTAATAATATTGATGAATCGCATTTATATATTGATTACTATTACTCGAGTATCCTGTCCTATTATTATGGGAAATATAGTGATAAATAGTTAAAGAAATTTTTCCGGTAAAATTAATTTTTCGAGGAAGGCGGATGTTTGGAAAAATAGAAAAATTTTTTTTATAAGAGACAGAAGCAGCTGAATTTTAAAGATTTATATGAGACTATGTCAACGAATTTTATATGAGACTATGTCAATGAATTTTTTCTAAGATAAAATGAAAAATTAGAAATGAAAGTATTCGCTCCGTGAAAAATATCGAAAAATTTTTCATTTTTCCTCTTTTTTTTGAAATTTTTTGTCAATTCCATATGTCACTCACTGATTCACTTTTCATCGTTCTTCAAAATTCAGCTGCTTTAAACCGGCAAACCTTCGATCATCATCGTCATTCTAAATTTTTAATACTATTGTTAAGATTTAATCAGTTCAACCAGTATTCTTCATTTTTTCTTAAAATCACTCGGGTATTTTGTCTAAAAGTCGACTCAGAAGGAAATGGTTACAAGATGATGAATAAGGCGTGAAATTAATTTTTTAATGAAATCGGCCTCGATCACTGAGTAGTTTTTTCAGTTGAATACGATAAGAACGAATCATTCAAATAATTTATCATCAATGTATTTTGGAGATGGAAAATTGCCCACATGGAATTTTAATGAATCGTTATCAAGTTCATTTCCAAGAGATTCATTTGAGACATTTTCTTTTGATTCAGGTTTGATGATATTTCTATTCCTTATAAAAATTTTTTTTGGTTCATTTGGCTTCGGATAGCTTGGGATATTTTTGCCTTTCTTTCCTTCAATCTCATTTCTTCACGTTTTTTTCCCTCAAACCTATGATGGTTTGGCCTTTGAATTTCACCAGAGATGTAGACCAGAAAGTTGAGAGACAAAAATACAGTACAGCACCACTTGGGTCCGCTTAAATCTTAATATCAAATATAAATATCGAATATAAGTGGAAAATCTTTCTCATATGCACCAGAAACTAATCGGTTTAATATAAAATTTTAGTGCAAATTCTGTTGCTAAACGAGGTCATATAAATAGACTTCGTCAAGATGATATTCATAATTAATTTCAGGCTCAATTGGTCGCCTTTTTCCCACTTCTGCTCTTGATCGCTTCAAGCATACACCATTACGTCGATTATCTAGTGGTGATATTTATAATAGTACAGGAAGCGTCGTCCGCAATATTCCTATCAAAATTGAGAGGGTAAATATTAAATGTTTAAATTTATATTTTAAATTTATATTTTATATTTTTCGAAATTCTCCTAACGATGCGAACGTTGATGAGAAAATATCTCTCCTGAATAACTGAATTCATCGAAAAAATAACCAAAATTTTCGAAAAAAAAATTGAACGAAATAATATTTTTCGTTATTGTAATTTGGGAATCGAAACAAACAAATAAATCAAATGAAAATAAACAAGAATCAAATTTATTTACCTAAGCAGTTCTTAACAAATCAGAATTCGTCCAAAGAAACATTTTTTCGTCACTAACTTGTTGAAAAATTCGATGATGCTGGCTGTTTAAGTCAACTTACATCCTTAATGGACTACTTGGAATATCGTTCAATGTAGCTAGCCAGCGAAGCGAGCCTGTATTTATCCAGCCAAGGGATTCTATCATATTTGTGGCTCGATTATGGCACAAATCGATTTCACCTATGTGGCTCGCTATTATTTAAATTGGCTCATCCAAGCTTTGGCTAAACAGATAAAAGACCTTTCTTTATAGATCGGTGCTTAATTATTGGGTACATATGCTAGGAAAAAAGGAGATTCGTCGACTGTGAAATCTCAAATCTGTTTCATTGTAAAACTGATTGATATCCATTAAAACCTATCACATTTTATAAAAAATCGGAAAAATTTATGAAAATGAATAATGTATTTTTAAAAGAAAATTTTAAAAAATTACTGCGAAAACAAAAAATCTATTGTAAAATAGCATATTCAGGCAAAAAATGGCTACGACATTAGTCGCGATGATGGTTCGAGCGAGCGTTTCAGTTCAGCGAATCATCCGAATCGTCGAGAGAGTAGTGCTCCACCAGAATCATTCGTCACTCTACGTGTACCCATATCGTAAGCCTATTTTTTCGTTATCGCTATTTTTCATTTATCCTTAGATCACCAAATTTATCAATTCTTTCGCGCATTTCTATAATCATTCATGTTCCATATTCATTTTATTGATTTTATGTTGTAAAAATAATCGACAAATAATATTTTCCTAGTGAATTCTATTATTGTTTTATTTTATTTTGGTAAATAATTTTTCAAAAATCTAAATTTTCAACTAAAAAATATACTTTTATCGCATTGCTTTTATTAATTGCTGAGAAATAAAAAGTATAAAAAATGTGAGAAAAAAAATGAAGAAAATTATGAGAAGAACGGAATTGTGTTAATTCTGATCTATAATTGTGGTATTTATGCTTTTTTTGAAAAACATTACGACTTAATTACTTCGGCGAGAATTTTCCAATAACCTCTATTACAGTAATTAAAGGGCATTCATTATTTTTTTGTTCGACTCATTATGCTGGCTATTAGAGAATCGTAGCCTTAGAGCCACTTGGGGGATAGAAGTGAATGCTGACGAGCATCACTTGGAATTTTTTATGTCCTCTGTTAATGATATAATAATGATATGACTAAGGGATAGAATGGCTCAGTGGTTTGCTGCTCAATTCGGAATGCTGAGGTTCCATTCCCCGCGGGAGTAAGCCTGTCCAAAAATCCGGATGATGCTAGCAATTCACTTGTATTTCTGTCGCCAAGAAACTCCCTGGCATATATATTCAATGCGATAAGCCAGTAAAGCGAGTTTAATCAGTAATGGTGAGGATTCTTTTTAAAAAAAGGCTAAAGTAGTGATATTTCTTGAAATATATTATTTCCATTAAAATATAAATTATAATAATTCTGCTATAATATGGAAATTATTTTTGGAAATTATTAAACGATTAATTAATCACTGAATTATTTAAAAGAAAATATCATATCTTATGAACCATAATTTCTTTTCATACCTTCGAAATATCGAATTTCTTTCGACCTTTTGCAAATTAAGTTAAATCTGTGCCGTTATTAGGAATTTTCAAGTGATATTTCGTTTTGACTAAGGTCAGAACAATCAAATCCTCTTGCTTCGAGTTCTTTTAGCTCATTAAGAGTAGAGCTGATGAAATTCGAATGGTATAAGAGAAAAGACACCTAAGCTTTATCTCCATGCGACTGACGAGACAATCAGACATTAGTAGTCAATCCTAGTAGTCAATACAACCATTCTAACCGGATCTCATTAGAAAAAGAAGAAATTACTTGTCTAAATAAATGAAAGCTAAAAGCGATTGGCTTTTTTTTTTGCATCGGAACCAACAAAAGCACAAGAATTGCACCAACAAATGCACCAGAATTCGCGATAGTATTGCGCTTTCTTCGCATTTCTTAAACTTTTCAGGTTATATCGTTTCGATTTTTCCTCATTAACTTTAATATTTTTTTCTTACTTTCTTTTTTCATTAAATTTATATTTCTTTTTTTTTAATTCTTCGACTTCACTGCGATGAGCGAATGAGTTTGAAAAAAGTCTTCGAGAGGAATTCGCTTTATTAAGTGAGAAGTGAGGCTGAAAAATTTTTAAGAAAAGAAAACATTTGTAAATCAAAGAGCAATAAATGATGAAGAAAATTTGGTTAAAAAGCACAAATTTTGCTATGAATTGGCCAAATGAAAGTAAAAAATGAAAGTAAAATTTACGAGGAAGTCAGTAATCTTTCTTTTTATCGACAATCAAATAGGAAAATATAGAAAAGGAAAAAGTTGAAAAAAAAGGACGACCGATTGCAATGAAAAAAAAGGAAAAATTAGCGGGTGGGAGTTTTTATGTGAGAATGGGAAAGAAAGATGGATTATGAGGGAAGTAAGCATAAAATATATGCCTATTGCACCAGCTGACTTATTAATATTTACAATTAATATTAATAATTTGGTATTAATATTTGCTATTTAATTATAATTATAATAATCATATAATGTAACATTATTTATGGATAGTTTCGATATTTCGTTTAGTTATTATTATTTTATTATTATTTTCGTTGTATTACATTATTTTTGTTCTATTTTGTTTATACATTTAATAAGGACAAGCAAAAAATTTAATTTTATTTTACATCATTTAATTTATTGCTTTTTTTTATTTTAGTAATTTTCCATTTTAATTTTATATTTTCCATCTTAATATTTCATATTGAAGCAAATATTTTTTTGCTTTATTAAAAAAAATAATCAATTCTCAAGTTTTTTTAAATAATTGAATTAGTAATATTCAGTATAATTAGTATAATTATTACCATTCATTTATAACATTTATTTTTACTACTATTGTTATTTATTTATTATTATTTATTATTATTATGATTATGATTATTATTATTTGTAAGTGAAATGACTCAATTGGTCCGATGCTGGGGTTCTGCTTCTGTCAGAAATAAACCTAAGACCACTCACCATTTCCAGCGATCGCGTTATTGGCTATCAGAATAGAAAAATATTTCAAAAATCCAGGTCATGCTGGCGAATGATCTATATTTCTACCTCCAAATGATTTTCTGGTAAAGTTTTCCGAATTTGACAGCCAGTGAAGCGATCATTAGAAATGGTGAGTGCTCTTATTATCATTGTTATTTCCAAATATTATTATTTATAAGTTGCTATTCTTACCATTATTCTTATGATCATTGTAATAATAACATTATTACTATTATTATTATGTTAGATTATTAAATTAAATAGCGTATTTAAAAATATTGGTTGATTCATTCCAAGGCCATCTAAAACAATTAAATAAGTCAATAAGTCAGTTACTTATTGCTTTTATATCTTCTTTACGTTTACGCTCTATTTAAGATCCGAAAATGACTCGAATTTCTTTTCTCGTCCATTTCTTTAATTATTATTTATTATTATTATTATTGTGTATTATATTGTTTATCTCGTAAAAATATTTGCATTTTTTTTACGGCAATGTTGTCGTTATTTTATTTTATTATCATCTTATCATTTTGTTATCATCATTTTATCATTTATAGTGATTAGATTGGATTATAGAAAACTTAAAGATCTATTGTGTTCTATACGATTTTATATGGAATCATTAACATTGATAAAAAAATACTTTTTTCTGTAAAAAAAAATTTTTAGGAGAATGAAACTTTTTTTTTTATTCAGTCCTATTTCAATATTTTTTAGGAATAATAATTTCTTTGGTTTTTACAAGTTTATTAATTTGGCTTTTATTAATTTTTATTTTATTTGGAAAATATTAAGTAAGAAATAATTTTAATTAATTATATAAATAAGTGGTTAGCGCTCATCATAAGTGGTTAGGGATTTTTGCAAAGGGATCACTTAGGAATTCAAGGAATTGTATAGATGAACAACCATCGGATTTTTTAATCGGACAAGATTCATTCATATTCGGGACAAAAATGGGATCCAATTTTCGGGGCAATGCACTTTTCACTTGGCTATCCTCCCTTTCTATCAAATTTTTAAAGTCCTCACCATTACTGGTTAAACTCGCTCCGCTGGCTTATCGCGTTGGATGCAAATATGCCAGAGAATCCCTTGGTGATAGAAATACAGATGAGTTGCCAGCATCACCCGGTTTCTATCACATTAATTATAATTATATGTATACAAATTCCATGTAGCTTGAAAAAAAAAATTGAAAAAACAATAACAAAATAGTAGTAACAGAAGCACGCAATGATTTGAGGCCTTTAGGTCTTTTTTTAAAATCTTTGAAGCGCCCTATTGAATTTGCTTAAATAAAATTAGAAAGAAAAAAACTACTCTATCCTGAATAATTTCTTCGAGTAGTTGATATCCGCAATAAAACATTATGAATAAACATTTGATCTGCGAATAGGCTTGCCTGCAGGCTACTGATAATAATAATAATGCAAATCGAGTCTTGGCTATAATAGTTGGACTAGTTAAACCAAAATGGAAATTTATCAGATAAGAGGCTGGTGTAATTCTTTTTTTTAAAGAGTCCTCACCATTACTGGTTAAACTCGCTCCACTGGCTTATCGCATTGGGGAATATGCCAGGGAATCCCTTGGTGATAGAAATAGATGAGTCGCCAATACCGCCTGGATTTTTTGTAAGGTTTACTCCTGCAAAGAATCGAACTTCAGCATCGGCGCTCCGAATTGAGCAACAACCCACTGGGCCATTCTATGCGTAATTTTCTTAACTTTATCGTTTTATTTAAATTAGCAAAATATATATATATATATTGGAAGATCTGAAGTACAAATTTATTTTTATAAGATTTAAATTAATTTAATCGACTTAGAAAAAAAACTAAAATATTTTTTAAATGAGGATGACAATTTATATTTAACATTTGTTATATAAATTATTTAATGAGAAAAGGAACAGATTCTTTGGAATTCTTTACATATTTTGCCCTCGAACAAATTTCTTTGATTGATGGTTGTACGAAAATTTGTAATTTACCTCATTTTCTGAAAATAGTAATTTCAGAAGTCAGAAGATATTCGCTGCAGCGAAATATTGAATTATTCCTATTTCAAAAATATATCAACTGTAATTGTAATTTTCTCAATGAATTAGTTCACCAAATCTGAACCATTATGTGTGTTGTTATTGCGGTGATAATTGGGCCTTGAGTTTTTGGTATAAGGGTACCTCTTCTACCATTCCTTCAATTTCAAGCATTTTTTATTCTAGTTGTTTTTGTAAGCAATTTATTCTTTATCCCGTGAATATATCTACAATGATATTAGCCTTTAGAGTGGTTCCGATTGTAATTTTAAGCCATTCTTCTTCTTCTTCTTCTAACAGCTCTCACCATTACTGGTTAGGCTGGCTCCAATGGCTACAAGATGCTTCCAAGCGGCGCGGTCTGATGCCATCGTCGACAGTAATGGAAGCCATCCCTTTTTCCATCGTCTAAGTCCATATATTGCTGGTCCACCTATACGTTCAAAATCTTTTCTCACCGTATCAGTCCAGGTCTTGATTGGCCCACCTCGCTTTTGACGCCAACCGTTACACGGTTTAGCAAATAACGAAATACGCGTTAACTCGTGTGGTGGACGACGGAGAATGTGCTCTAACCAGCGAAGGCGGCGTTCAGTGGTAACATTATTTATGCAAGTGGTATTTGAACGAAGGTGGATGCGATGTAGTGAGATTTCATCCACTTGGCGAACCCGTAATATGTACCTTAGACAAGAGTGGTCAAAGGCAGATAACTTCTTAATATCCTCCACTCTCATTGGCCATGTCTCAGAACCATATAATAAGATCGAACGGATCACGAATATAGATGCGGACTTTCGTTTTAAGCCATTAGAATAGTTTCACCAACATTTAGCGATTTCTTCCAACTTATCACCATAGAGTCATATCAATTAATCGTTTGAGAAATCATTAAGTAGTTAGTTGGAAAATACTGAAGTCATCAATGCAAAATGTTGAAAGAGAGACAAATGTGTGTGCATAGATATTAGGTGTATGCGATGTGATTCATGGCAACTTTTATATATATATTTATATAAAATTTTATATATTTGCGATATTTTAATGAATCAATTTATCATCGTCTTAGAATAAAAGAATGATTCAGTTTTGATGATAATGGATGACTCAAAACGAATTTTTTCATCGGCATTCGCATCAAATATAATTGCTAATATTATCAATGTATACCTTTTACGTTCAACGAAATTTATTTGTTTACATAACAAACAAAAAGCTTATTTAATTGAGAAAAAAGGAAAAGGAAAAGGAAAGGAAAGGAAAGAAAAGGAAAATTCATTTTTCAATTTTCTTCAGTTTTTAGTCTGAAAAAACTAGCGAGTAGTTAGAGTTAACCATTTCTGGTTGGACTCGCTTCAGTTGTTGTGGTAGCATGACATGAAATTTTTGCCGCTGATATAAATTTGGCGATAGTATGAGTGGTCCGCGAGCACCATTTTGGTTTTTTAATGGTCGCTTTATTACCGTTGAAAGTAAGTAGCCTCCATATTTCGATGCTCGACGCAAAAAAGCAAGAATGGAAAGATATAGTTTGGATTTTTTTAAAAATTTTAAAGCTTTTTTCTTTTGTCGATTTTAAAGAATAATAAATTTTTGCATTTCCACGAAATCTTTTAAATCGACCATTGATTTATTTTTTTACATAAATATATATTTATATATTTATATTTTTCTTCATTTTCTCCTCGTTCTGATAGCATTTTTTTCTGAAGCATTAACCTCACTGGCATCTTAGATGGAACTGTTTAAGCCATTGAAAACAGCTTAAGGATGGAAATACAGTTGAATATTATTATTCGCGGTTCACTTTTGATAGCAGAATTACTCCTCAAAGCACAATACAGTCATCTTATGTTTCTGAATATTGTTCGGACGATATTACTAAATTACTAAATTATCAAAGTTTTATAAATCTTTTATTATTCAAAAGTGAAGTTACTTTAAATGGTCCATTAGGTGTAAATAATTAAGGCTTATATAAATCGTAATTTCGTCAGTCCTCGGCATGATTGATGGTTCAATGATTTGTGCAGATGAATTGATCTAAAATTCATGATTTTTTTAATCATTTGAATGACATTATTCTTATCAAAAATGATAATAAAAGTTGTCAGATCATTTTTGTAATTTAAACTCGAATTGTTTTTGCAATTCAATTTTATCATTGAAGAAATTCAGACGGAAATCAATACAATTTTTACCAATCAATGATAAAAATAAATTCATTACCTTGGTTGACCTTTCCGATGGATTATTATTTAAGTTGACCTTTCTGATGGATTATATCTTCTTCCAAATATTTAACGATAGTTATTTCAAATATCAATATGAATAAAGCGAACAATCATATAATTGAGACGCAGAAACGTTATATTATTTGGAAAATTGAGTAAATTAAAGATAAAATGAGAAAAATTTATTGGAAAAAATCGAATAGAGAAATAAGAAAAACAATTACAAAGGTTAATCAAATGTTGTAAAAAGCAATAAAGTTTTGTGGAAAAAGGTTCGATCAACAAAAATGGCCAAATTTCTCAATTTCGACGATTTGAAAATAGAAATTTTTCTAATTTTTCTCTAATTTTAAGATTTATAGAAGTAATTTCATTTGTAAAATTAAATTTTAACCTTCAAAGTATTATCTTTTCTAATTTTAATTTTCTAATTTCTAATTTTTATCTTTTGTAATTTTAATTCCGTTTAATGTTTTCACTGTTCTTTCACCAATTGTTTATTCAAATCTGAAAGTGTATTTTTATGAGAAATATGAAAAAAGAGATTAGCGCCAACCGTTTATTCTCTTCTGGCTGGTTTTCGAAATTTTTATCATAGGCTTACTTGGCGTTGAAAATATATTTGGACAATTATCACCACTCGGATTTTTTCATGATAGGTTTGTTGTAGCGTATCAACGCGATAATCTGAGTTAACATCCACTCGGCTATCTCGGCTATTTGTAAAAATAAGTGATGAAATTCTTGATTCATTTCAAAAATTTTTCTCAAAATTTTTCAGATTTTTCAAATTTTTCAAGAATTCTCAAAATTTTTTTATTCTCTTTTAAAAAATTGAAATTATGCCGGAATAAAAGTGTAACTTAGGATTTGATAATTCTTCTACTAGCAACACCTCTGGTTTAACTGATTCGACTGAGCATAATAGTAGGATTTTTTTAAAAGAGTCATCACCATTAAACTCACTCTACTGGCTTGTCATACTAGACGAATATGCCAGGCAGTTCCTTGGTGATAAAAACATAGGTGAGTCGCAGGCATCACCCGGATTTTTGTACAGGTTTACTCCCGCGAGGAACCGGACCTCAGCATCTGCGCTACAAACTGAACAACAACCCAGTGAACCATTCTATCTCCACAAGAATAAGATTACTTCGTTACTTAGGGGTTTAGGTGAATCGTATCATTACCACTCCGAGAATAATTGTTTTATATTTCTATGGTTTCTCGTCTCTTTAGGTGAATATATTGTCGATATAAAAAGCATTTTTTGCAATAGTAATGCTGAAATCATTTTTAATCGAAATTTCCTTTGGCTTCATTGGTTTCCTCCTTCGTTCAGGTGTGTCTAACTCCTATTTAAAATTTAAGAATGAATCAGTCTAAATGATTTTTTCTTATTTTTTCTTTTTTTTATATTGGTCTATTAATTGAATTAATTCGTTTGAATAAGAAATTATTACATTAAGGCCTTATTTGGTTGATATAGGAAGAGACGCGCCCATCGCCTAAAAAAAAACTCTCTAACGGTGACAGTTCAGTCTTCTTCCCCCTTTATATCTCTCTTATAACTATGAAACTGGAAATTTATTTTGTCCTTTATAAACTTTTAATAAATTTATTTTACCATATATTTGATTAGGCAATTTGTTACTTCATTACTTAGTAAAATCTATTTGAGAGAAATTACTTGAATGGATACAAAGTTTAATAGAAGTGATACGTGTCTTTAGATAATTTCGACTGATTATTGAGAAATTGAGAAATTTGGGGAAATTTTAAGAAATTTGAATTTTTGACTTTTTTCTTGAATTTTAATCCAACGAAAATAATTCGATTAAAAATATTGAAATAATCCTAAGCATAAAATGATTTTGAAAATGAATCTTAATAATCAGTTTAATCAGCTAAAATCATTTCATAATAATCATTTTATCAATAATCTGTAAAAATTGATAAGATTTTTGCAAATAATGTAACGCGACCTGCATACTCTTGACAAATTTTTTTCTTTATTTAAAATTATTTGTGACAAAAAGAAAAAAAAAATTCAGAAGATCGATTGGATATTTATAATTGTGTGAAATTTTGCTGGCTTATTTATTGTACAATGCTTGGATGCTTTAGCAATGGTCGATCTATGGGCTCATCACCAACAATATCAACGACTTTACTTTCGGAAAGATTTCTCAAAGGTACCAATTCTTCAGCATCTACGGGCACCGCTGATCGAAGTACACCAACCATTAATGACGATCAATCGAAACCAAGGTGTTTTAAAATTTGATTATTAAAATTTGATTATAATATTTGATTATTAAATTAGTAATTCACTGGAAAATCTTAAAAAATTAAAATTTTTCGATTTTTTTCGTTTTCAATAGTATTAAATGAAGAATCACAATAATTGATTCTAAAAAAACAAAATATAATTAATGTTTCTAAAAAAATGATTGCTTTTCTTTCCTCCAGTTTTTTCAGAATTTTAGTTTGTATGGATTAAAAATATTGGCCAAAATTCCCATTAAAATATTTTTAAAAATTTAAAAAATATCATTTATAAATTAGAGAGCAAATTAATTTTATTCGACTTTCAATTTAATTCTCCATAGAAATGTTTTAAAAGTTCAAAATTGTAGAGCTCATACACCGATTCCAATAACGATTTCGAAATCGGCTTCATGCTTGCGTCCAGAAATTGCAACGAAACCAAAATTAATAACTATTTTTCAAAATTTACGCGATAAAAATAAAAATCTCAAAGCAAATAATACGGCGATAAGTGCAAATTCAGATATGAATTTTGTTAATAAACCGAAAAACGGTCCTGATGAAATCGCTGAAATTGCTTGGCGGTTAAAAAATTTAGGTATTTTTTTTATTTTTTCAAATTAAATATGAGGCAAATAACTCACACGCACAACTTCTCTTAAACTTGCACTTTCTCGTATATGGAAATATAGCTGAATCCTCAGTACTATCCTTTTTCACAGCTTACATAAATATCTAAAAACCAGTGTTTTTCTAAAGCTTTGTATAAAATTATAAATGCCGTTTCCATTTTTTTATTTTATTGATGCTGATAAGCAATAACGATACCATTTTATCAGTTATGATAAATACTTGTTTTTTTAATTTGAATTAAAAGCGAATTTTTATTTATTTATGTAGAAATATTAACTAAATAGAGCCATATGCTTGTATATATGTGTATTAGAAGTAAAATATTCGATAAATAGTTAGAGTTCGTCATTTATAGTTCTAGCTCGTGGTCATTAATCGGGCGATTAGAAATTTTTTACCAGAGAGTCACTTAGCGCTACTACTACTGATGTGTTGCCAAACAAAGGGAAATAAAGCAAAAGAAAAAATTTTAAGCAAAATAATGATGCGATAAAATATACAGCTTCAATAAAAATGAAAGAAATATTTCTGAGATCAAAATATAGGAAATGTAGAGGGAACTGATAAATTCCATGGATAATTTATTCCATTTTTTAAATATTTTAATTATTTAATTATTATTATTTATTTAATTATTATTAATTATTTCACCAAATAATTCATTTTACAAGTGGTTTATTTTTAAAGATTGTAAATGAAAAAAAAAAGGACGAAATAATTGAGTTTGTAAATGGCGTTCTTTTTTTTGTTAAATAACATGCAAAATATTCGGTCATTTGATGTCGCTTGTGGTTCTTATTAATTTCTAATTGTCACCTTCATTCTATTTCTCCAAATACATTAATGTGGTTTAGAAGGTCAATGATTTTTTCCGCGAATTCAACCGTTGAAAATTATTCAATGAAGCATAATGTTTATAGGATTCACTAATGGCATTTTGTCCTATAGTTTTGTTTTTTTCCTTTTTAATTAAAATTTTTTGTTGATAATTGATAATAATTGATAATTGAAAGTCGGACTTTATTATTTAAAAAAGAATCGTCTTGAATTAAATTTTGAGTAATCAGTTGAAATGCATCATAAAAAAAGACTTTTTTCCTTACATATTTTTCTTTTCCCATCTTTTACTTTTGGAAAACTGTATGAATAATTTTCTTTATCAAAAATCATTTTTTGGTTCAGTTTTCTTCACTGGCACTAACCTATAAATATATGAAATCGATCCATAAAGGACTATATAAGAGACTACTTCCCAGCACTTAGATAGGATCCATTCCTAGATAAAATCATCGTACCTACATTATATTGTTTGTCACTAGGACTAATAATACTCCTATGAAGAAGAGAAGTCGAATCAGGTTACTAACAGTTAATCATTGTTTATTTTATATGTGCTTGCAGAGCAATTCTTATCAATGGAACACCGAAGAGAAGAAAAATATTTTATTGCAAAAATGTCTTATTTTCTTTCCTAAAATTTTTTTTGGAAGTGAATTTATCTTCCTTCTTTTTTGTCATTTGTCATAAAATTATTTTTTTCGCTAATTTCTTAATTCTTTTGATGCTAGGAAAATTTGAAACTAAAATTAGAGATAAAATCATTGGCTATTTGAAAGCTTCAAATTTATTTTGACCGCTATTTTCAATCTTCAAAAAAAGAAAAACCCTATTCACCAATTTTGGTTTCTTCAAATATTGGTTATCATTAAATTATTATCATTAAAGAAATTTCAGCGAAATCACGAATTGATAATACATCCGCTATAACAAAATCAGAGAACCGTATTCAAGTACAACATTCATCTCCGTTAAACACTGCGATCTGTGATCAAAACATAGCGCGGATAAGTAATTCATCAAACGATTCAGACTCTGATAGCATTGTTTTACATGCTGCACCTGTGTCGGATTCTAGCAATCTTCTTTTAAATACAACTTTGCTAGAAGATGGCAATACTTCATCTCCATCATCTTCAGGAATTGTTGCTGATTTAAACGATTCGAATACGGATAGCAATCAGGTTTTTAAATTTTCATTGGATTAGAATCTTATTTTATTTTCTAGCAAAATATTTCAAAAATGATTTGTAAAATCCAGTTTTTCTATTTTCCTTATTTGTGCTATTTTCGCTCGATGATTGGGCATAACGAAATTTAAAATATTGAGGTTTCAGAGAGCGTCTGCAACTTCATCAATTTCTGCTAGCTCATCATACGAGCAGTCATCGGATTTGAATGAGCCAGGCTACGATACACCTCGAGCTCCATCAGAGGTGGATTTATAAAATAACCGATACTTTCAGTTGAAAATCAGTTGAAAAGTATTCTAATGCCACAAAGAGAAATTTACCTTTTCAGACCAATAATGATCATCAACCACATTTTCACGATTCAGTGACCACTTCAAGAAATCCCAGATTGCAACAGAAGAGTTCATCAGCTCTTCATAATCTTTTCACTGAACTCAGTTTGAATAATCGTTGGAGGAAGAATCCGGAAACGGCTTTCAATTACTCATTAAATTTGGATAATCGGCCAAGTTGGGGAAAAAGATTTGAAAGGTATTAATTAGCTTTTAGTGCGATTGCCCTTTGACCTTTTAGAGAAAAGATTATAATGTTTATTAAAGATTACAGAGATTATAATTTCCTAATGAATATTCAAAATATGTCTAAAGAAGTGTAATCGTAATCATATCATATCATTTTAGTTTGAATAATATTTTTTTTTCATCTTTCTATTGAAGTTTTTTCAAAAAAACGAAAATTGTTTAGTGAAATCGATGATATTGAAGAAAACAGAAAAAAATATTTTAGATATCATATGACGAATATTACTGCTTTCTCTTTTCATTATTTATTTTATTTTTTATTTATTTTATTTTATTTACTTTATACTTTATGTTTTTTCTAAATTTTATTTCTTCCTCCTTTTTATAATTAAAAAAATTATTCAATTTCAGTTTATAATTTTTAATATAAAATAAATAAAATAAAATAAATAAAAAATAAAAATTATTTAAACGAATTTTTCAAACAATTCTCTGTAATGAACCAAAAACGAATCTGTATGCTTATCATTTTCAATAAAACTATTCGCGTGGTACCTTTGCCTTTTTACAAAATAAATCCGTTATTAAAAGTTCTGAGCATTCAGTTGTGCTTCTATCCGCAGTTGGCTCTTTAAGCGAAAGGGTTCTCGGTTCAATAGAGTGAACTTAACCAGAAATGATGAGATGAATGGAAATGGTAGAAAAAAAGTGCGATTAATCCCATTTCTTGCAGAACCTCTCTGTTTTTTTTTCTACCTATAACCATTTTTTGTGGATTTCGCTTGAGGCTTTTCGTTTTAGCTGATTATTAAAAATTGATATTTCGGTTCGTTAGACTGATAAGATTTTATCAGAAGGTAGAAAGATAACAAAATACGAAATGGAAGAAAATAACCAAGAAAAATAATCATTGATCTAATTAGATTTGTTTACTTAACTACGAAATATTGTGAAGTTTGTCTTTGTTTAATAGTTTAATAATGACCAATCAACGCAGCATATGATTTTTATGCATTTTTATTTGCTGCCAAATCTAAAAAGAATTTTAGAAGTCCGTCGACAGCGCCCGAAGGCTTTTATGGTACTTTAAGGTTTGACGTTGATGAAAACCGAGGTAAACGTGAAATTAGTGTTGCACCGGAACTGTTATCGATGAGTAAATATAAAGATTGGTTAGTAAATTATAATAAATTATAATAAATCATAATAAATCATAATTATAAAATTCCAAACTGGAAGAATCTTAGATAGATTATAAAGTAAAGTAGATTATAGAATTCTTGATTTGGTGACATTTGGCTCATTGGTTTGAAAGGCGTGTTTTAGATTTCAAAGATAGGTTCGTTGTTGTGCCAAATGCAGAGTCTCAGAGATAACTGTTGCGCATGAACTATTGTTCAATAGTGCTGAGGGGCTCTAAAATTAAATACGTGGCGTCCACAATGGTACTTTCTGGTGCCATTTATGAAGAGATTGTGGAGCCATACAAAAAAATTAGATAAGCGTTGATAATGGCTCTTTATTTCAATAACGCGAAGTGTGGTTGTTTGGAAATATTTTTTCCCATCGTGCTTTTTCTTTTTTTTGCAATGTAATAGAATTATAAAAAATTTAAAATTGACGATTCATTTTGAAGCTGATTTATCAGAAATTTGATCGAAAAAGCTGATTTATCAGTTTAAACTGATTATTTTATCATTTTTAAAATTTTTGACTCCAAAATTAAGTTATCATTATTCTATTAGCTAAATTCGATGCGCTGGCTATTAGTGTGGTTAGAAATTTTTGGAAAGTCTTCTGGTGATAAAATTGCAGGCGAGTCACCAGCATTATCTCGATTAATTAAAAGCTCACGTCTGGAAAAGGAGCCGAACCTTTGACTTTTAACAATACTACTATGCGCTTTTGCCTCCTTTAATTCTAAAAAACTTTCGAAGAAAAAGAAAAAAAAGAGAAATTAAAATAAATTGAATTATAGTTTATTATAGTCGTTTTTTTTTGCTAATTTTCATTTTAATTTTTTAAATTTTTCAAATTATATTAAATCAAAGGAATTTTTTTTGATTGTTTTTTAAAGTGAATTTATTTCATATAATTTAATTAATTTTATTAATTAACATAATTTTTTTAAAATCCAACAGTGTAATACAGAAATTCGTCAAATAATTTTTTCAAATGCTCTTTCTTAATATTGAATTTATAGTAATAATTGTGATGATGAAGCGTTGTCGAGGAAGAGAATCGTTTGCGCAAAACTTTCTGAAAACTTTCGACTTATTGATATCGCCGTTAAAAAAATGAACGAGGTATTTAGGCCATTTTTTGGCTATCCACTAATTTTGCCAGTGAATTTTTTATTACTATACCCAATCGGTTAATAATATTTATGTCTCTAATAATAGTGATAACAATAAACAAACAATAGTGATAATAATAAACTTTATTCGAATGGAACATATTATAAAGTTAAATACTCATAAATTTGAATTGAATATCAAGAAATCTTGAAACTTGAGTCGATGGTGAGGATTGATTCTTTTCTTCTAAGCTTTAACCATTACTGGTTAGGATGGCTCCGCTAGCCACAAGGGTAAGTCGTCTCCAAGTTACTCGGTTCGACAACATCGCTAGTAGTAATAGAAGCCAAGGTTGGTTGGTGCAAATAAATCGCTATGATTTTTTATAATTATACTGTTTCGTTCTTTTTTGCAGTGCACAGCACCTCGAGCTTGGCGTCAACCACATATTCTGCAAAGACATTTGCCTGATATTAAAGATATTGTCCATAATATATCATTTGCCACAAATTCCTTCATGGATGCGATTTATCTTATTGCGATTGATACAAGCAATTCAAAATCAGATGGTGAGTGAAAATAAATAGCAGACATCATATCAAAAATCATGGAATATATATTTAAGACTTTTTTGCACCAATTCCTTAATTAATTAATAAGTATCTATTAAAATTATCGCTTGTCATTGTTGTGAATTATTTTTGATAATTTTATATATTTTGGATAAAACTTTAATACATTGAAGATCTTCGACAGCTTTCTGCACCACTTCGTAATTCCCAGATGTTAATCAATCAACTGAAACAAAATCTTGACAATACGGGTTGGACACTTGCGACTTTATCACGGCCACGGACGCTACATGGACCGGCCCCAGGCAACGACGCTTTAGATCAGTTTATTGCAGTTGTTAAACAAGTATTTTTTTAATATTGGTATTGGAATTTCTTTTCAGTTTTTATTGTTCTGGCTTATTCGTTTATTTGTAACGTCGGTTATTTGGGCACAGCATGTTCCTTTCCGATAATTATCATCCTTCAGCTGCTGCCCACCTAATAATCGTTTTCTGGCGAATTTCGTGAAAAATTGAAAAGAAAAGAATCTTTCTCTTAGAATTAAAAGATTTTTTCCTCTAATACTGGTCATAAATGGATTTAAGTTGCCGAACGATTGCTACAAAATCCTCCAATGGACGTTATCACTTTCTCCATCTGCAACAGTGCTTTTTTTATCGTCGAAACCATTTGAAAGAAATGATCAATTATCTCATTTCCATCGGAATGGTTTACCGAGGTAATTAATTAATTTAATTTTAATTTTGATATATTTATTTATTTTTATTTAAAAATATTTATTATCAATTAAATCTGACTAAAATATAATATAATTTTTTCTTAAAACTACCTAGGATTATATTAATTGACTACTTATTAAATCCTTCCGACCAGTTTGTCCGATTCACATGGGTTTTAATTTGATTTTATTGGTACTTTTATTGACTTCAAGCCTTTTAGTTTTTATTGCCAATAATTTGACTGTATTATGTTTGAGAATTAAAATTTTAAATATTTAAATTTATTCATTGTAGTATCCCAGTCGACGATCCCAAAAGATACTCCTCACTGTCGTCTACTTCCACTTCAACAAATATGACAGTGAGCTCTGATGATATTCTGCCATCGGCTTCGGCAGCCAATAAATTACTACACAATCAGATGGGATCAGCGAATCTGTATTCATTGCGAGTTGGAGAAAATAGGCCGATTAATACAGAAACGGTATATTCAAGAAATAGCTCGAATGGTACTCGTGTAAATAGTTCTGTCTCAGAAGGTCGTGTAATGGAAGAAGATGACCTGGAGTCGATTTTGAGTGATCGAGAAAGCATAAGTCAGGTATATTATTTTCTCAATTTTATAAAATCTATCAGTTCATTACGCTTATCTTAGTGATTATGAAATGGCCTAAGTTTTCATTGGAAAAAATTTTGTGAAATATGAAATATGACAATTTTAGCGAAATTATAAGAGTTTTGTATAAACCAAGATTTTACGATGTTTTGAACTATCGAAACAGTAGAGTATAGAAATTAAAATTGCAGCGAAACATTTACCGAAATTTAAGGATTATGCGATTGTTGGTGAAGACACCCAATTAAAACAAAGGCGTAGGCCGACGACAAATGTCCCTCCAACGCAGCAAATTGATACCAAAGTCAGTTCACTTTCTTCATCCTTGCATGAAATATATTATTTTTTATTTAACTTAATGATGCTGATGACGATCAGTATTTACGATGTAAGTGGTTAGCTACAGAGCTTTACAGAGATTTCTCTGCTTAGACGGGATCATTTTTTCACGTGCTGCTTGGCTTCCTCCACTGACGACTATTGTAAGACTTTCCAAGCCTCCCGATCCGATGTAAATGAAGCTGTTCTTTTTTCCACTATCTAAGCTCGTATATCGTTTGGCTGTTCGAAATCTTTTCTTACCGTATTAATCCAGTTCTTGATTGATCGCTTTTGACGCCATCCATCACACGATTTTGCAAATGCGTAAATTCTTGTAATTGATGACGAAAAGCAGCCAAAGCAGCGCATTTTCTTCAAATTCTTAATGTTTGTATTTCGAGCAAAGGCGACAAAATCGTATAAGAAAGACTTTGTTTACTTGGCGGGTTGAAAAGATGAATCTTAGGTAAAAATGGTCAAAGACAGATAGCTTCCTGACACCTTCCATTCTCACTGGCCAAATTTCGCAACTAGTAAGTTTATTCGTACTACAGCTATATAGATAGGAACTTTCTTTTTGAGACGGCAATTCCAAGGCGGTTTTGCCAAATGAAGGAAGGCAGTTCCAGCTGCAGCAACCAGGTCTGGAATTTGATCTTTCACTTAGCCTTTAGATTTAAAAATGGATCCGAGATATTCGAAGTTCAACCTTCATGAACCTTAAACTGGTAAATTTAGCTAGATTGTATCGTTCGAAATTCAGCTTTTTCCATATTTTAAATTCCAAGGCAGATTTGCCGGCTTTGGAAGTAAGACTTCATCAGAGGATAGCACCAATCTCGAGTTCCACCAGCATAGATATCGAGATAAACTTGTACTTAAAGTGAAGTGTAGGCCAAGAGTCATTAATCCTACATGGTTAGAGCAGATCGATCAAAGACAGTGCAATTTCGGCAATTATGTTATAACTTCATTTCTTCCTGAGTAACTTCACGAACTCCGCTGGCTCTAATACTGTTAGAAATCATTCCCATGGAAGGCAACAGAAATAGAGATGAATTGCTAGTGCCACTGGATTTTAATCGCAGTTTTATTTGTATCGAGGGCAATATTTGAAACGTTATCTCTCAGCCTGATAATCTGGTTCACTATCCACTCGTCTATCCTGTCCTTAATGTCAACAATGAGCATCTACTATGAATTTCTATAAACTGTTTTTTAAGCTGTTATTTAATAGATTATCGCATCGCTTTCTGATGACGATCGACAGTTGCTAAGGTTTTATTCACCGCAAATGGATGGCCACACGGATTTTTTATCGAAAGCCATAGAAGAATTCTTAAACGTTGTTGAGGAGCAACAGCCACCGAGAGAATTCGTGCAAAAAGGCAAATTGGTACCTTCTTTGGTCTTTTTTTTCATTTTCAAAATTTTCATATCTAAAATCTGAAAATAATTTTTTTTAATTATCGACTTCCATTGAATTCGACGCATGAAAAAGAAGTGAAAAAATTAATTTTATTCAAAAAACTCGAAAAAAATATATTAGTTAAAAAACTTGGAAAAATTTAAAAAATATTTTTATATTTTTAGAATTTTGTATTTTATATTTTTATTTTTACACTTAATTAAATAAAAATTACATAAAAAGTTATATGAAAAAAGATTTATTCTAAATCTTCATTCGTTTTTTAATAAATTTTTAGGTTATTCTTGCTGCTCATAAGCTTATCTATATTGGTGATAGCATTTCCCAGTGCATTGGATCTGTTCCACTAAGTAGTGAAATTAGGCGAGCAGCTGATCGCCTTTGTTGTATACTCAAGAACTGTGTTCAGACTACAAAACAAGCGGCTGATGAAGTACGTTTTTATTTATCTTTAAATATTGCAACATAAAATGCCCTCGTTCGAATAAATGATTTATGGTTGCTTCGTTTTTTTCAGTATCCCTCGGTTTCGGCCATTCAGTCGATGGTTGACTGTATTGTAACCGTCTCTCATGCAGCTCATGATCTAAAATTACTTGTAAAACAATGTTGTTGCTAACGTTGCAATATCGTCGTCAATGCTTGAGCATTTTAAAAAAATTCCTTGATTCCTTCTACTATTCGCAATTCTTATTTTCATACCGGTACAAATTTGGTTAATAAATTATTTAATTGCTCTCTGGATCATCAATGGAATAATTTGCCACTTTTTTTGTGATACTTTTCTTTTTATACAATATATTGTTTTTTTTCATTTTTATTGTAAATTTTTTTATCAGTGCCTTTGTAAAATTTTCAAGTCAAATAAAATTATTTATGAAGGTAATATTTTAAAATATGAAAATAATTTACAACGAACGATTCCGAATTAAAATATGAGACATTAGAGATGTTGTCATTATCGAATCGGATATTGTTGCTTCAAATATTCAAAATTTCATTTCCTTATCAGAGGAAAAGTTGTCATTAAAAGAAAATCTCATTTCTAAGTAAAGCAAAGTTGTTTCAACCGAGAGAAATTAGCCTGAAATCGTTTTTTGTCATTTAGCAAGAGTCAACCTAGTCCGAGTGGCTGATGAGGACTAATCTATATCTGTGTACTTAGAAGAATGGCTCAATGGTAGTTATTATCATTTCGGCTTTTCAAAAGGAATGATGCTGATAACCTGTACTATTATCACCACATTGCGATTCCCATATTCCTGGTAAAATCTTTCTGGTTCAATAAATAAGAGGAATCCAAATCCGACCAGGCATACTTGGTGAGCGATCGTTATTTCTTCATTTCATCATACCCAAGTGAAGTGAAACTAACTAAAGTTAAGATCTCATCATAACAACTAGTTAATATTGTTGTAAAACGGCAAGTGCAAATGCTATTAAGAGATAAGAGAATGCTATTAAGAGAAGGCTATTAAGAGATCTGGATTTGAACCAGCAGTTTGCCTTACCAGTTGTCGTCAATCAACGAAGAGGAGGTTGATAAAGTAGTTTTCATCTCAGAGAGGCGTCGAAATTTAATGGCATATAGAGTAAGCAAACCAACAGATGCAAATATATTGTATCATAAGCTGTATATAAAAAAAGATAAGCTGGGCAGGATCCAATAAAAAGAAGAGAAGCACCTGATGTTATTAAAGGTTCCAAGAAGGATAAAAGTCCTGGAACCAGAAGGAGCCAAAGTAGAAGTGATGCGTGCGCTTAATTTCAAAAGAATGACTGTATTAAGTCAGTTAGCGATTCCTTCTTGCGAGATTTACTGGTTATTGCAATTGAGGCTTAATTTGACAGGCATTAAGGACAATTTTTCACGAAATTTTCCTCCACGAAATTTATTGAAATTACAGTTTTTAAAATTAAATTTCAGATAATAATTTTAGCTTTAAAAATTTGATTGATCATCGAAGGTATTTAACTTTCTTTTTCAGATTTTTTCACACCTTCTTGCTAATATTTTTTTCTTGTTTCCTTTTTCAGCTTTTTAATTTTTTTTTTTTGCTGATGTAGCATAAATTTTTTTCGTTAATATTAATATTGGCTTGCCGATATGATTTCTAAGAGTTCCTCGATTTTTTCATATTCTCCTATTCTTCCTCCATATTCTCCTATTCCTGGTTCCATCCTGGTCCTGGTCCATTTACATATCGTGATGAAATTACAAAATATACAGTAAAACGAAAAGTGAATGAATAGAAATAAAAGATCTGCACCAACATACATCGAACTAAATTTGATGTGAATTAGGCGATATAAACGATGCCTTTAGTAAATTTTTTGATAATTTTCATATATTAATGTAATATTAAAGTAAACAGTGCTCATCACTTCTAAATAGACTATCTTTTGAGCGTGATAATCACGTCTTTATTTCTTTCTGAATTTTCTTACCAGTGACTTGGCAATAGAAATACTGCTGGACTGTCACTATGCTTGCCCCCCAACACGATGATCTCAGCTATTATCCACTAGGACCATCCTAATTTTGGGTTTGCTCGTTGCTTTTTTACATTCTTAATGAAAAATCCATTATTTGCTCACCATTTCCTAGAAAATTTCTAGTTTAAAATTTCCGGTTTATTAGCAGCTACGTGTAAAAAAAGTACGCATTCGATGCAGCTATTTTATTTTTTATCATAGCGAAAAATCAAAAAATTCCATTCGTATAAAATCGCTAACGATTCATAATTATCACTGTGTTTTTATAATCAATTTCGATTCATTGCATCCATTTTGATTCATTTTTCAAAAATTTAATATATAAATTCCTCTGAAAATTGGTTATTTATAAAATTATTTGCATGAATAAGTTCATCGAATGGGAAATTGTTTCTTTGACTAAATCTTTATTTGATAGGTGAAAACCTATAATTAAAAGTAAAGTCGAAAAAATATTGAAGGAAGTTCCATGTAGAGTTATTCCTTCTCGATGAACGGCACTCATCCTAGAAGCCATTGTAGCCAATAAAAAATTGAAATTTCGTTTTTAGAAAAAAAAGAAAAAAAATATTGCATTCAATAATATATTTATGTATGTAATTTATCGCATTGTGAAATTAATTTATGATTAAAATTCTTCTAAGAAATTTTTTCCGGCAAAACTAAAATTTTTTCCAAGCTAATTTCGATTTTTTCGATTTTTTTCTCGAATTATAAGCAATTTTTAAAAGGAAAAAAAGCAACCTAATCCACTATTATTTAATTTTTTATTTAAGATGAAATTCTCAAATTAATTTATTCGGAGTTTTCTATTATTATTTAACGAACTCTTTTTTTTACTTTTTACTGATTTTCTTATTTTTTTATATTTCTTCTTTTTGAAACAATACGGTAAATGAATTTAGACAAAATATATTTAGCAATAGCAAATCAAGTTATTTTCTTTTAAAGTTGATTATTTTGTGTATATTCGCAATTTTATTAATTATATGCTATGCGTGCTAGTATAAATAATTTAAACTATTGATAAGTTGATAAGTTACCGATGGATTGATAAATTTCCGCTGATAAGTTTTGGCTTCAAATCATCGTTAAATTTAATATTTCATAAAATGATAAAAGAATCCTTCCTTAAATACCAGCAAAAAAAATTTATATTAGTTATTATAAGATAAAAAGATGATGGATAGTTGCGAATACCGATGAAAAACTGTCAACGGCTTTTTTGTTTACTCCTTTCCATCTGTCACCAGCTTCGTTCTATTTTTCATTTCTTTCATATTAATTTGATCCATTTTAAACCTGTCAAATGATCTTAGATGAGAATAGGACGAAATATTTGAAATGAAATCTAGAAAATCAAGTGATAACAAATAATTCTAAAACAGGCCAAGGTCTATATTAGTTCGGTGGGTATAGTTGGATTCCTATTTCCTTTACTCATTAGCAGAAATTATCCTAAAGGAATTTCCATATGAATGGCCTCATTCAAACAATCGGTGGTGCCCATCAATGCTAGAAAGGGTGCTGCTGCTTGAAGAAGAAAGAACGAGAGATGTTAGGAAGTGATTCTAACTAAATTTTTTAGCGTTTCTCTTAACTTTTGAAATCATCAAATCGATAAATATTGATTTGTTTAATTGTTTTTCTAAAATATCTGATAATTACGTTCAATTAGTGCAAAATTAAGAATGAAAAAGAAAACGAAAATTCGAAAGACAAGTTTTCAAAAAATATTGTAATGGAAGATAAGTTACGTGGATTGCTAATGGAACACGACAAGTTATAATAAAATGATAAGAAAACGACAAAATGTGAAGGATTGATATGATAAATAAGTGATCGAAGATGAGCACCGTTATTAACAAAGTATTTTTAGAAGAATGCAGTATCTGTTTACAAGAAATTCTAGCATATAGTATATTAAGAACTATTAAGAGTGGGTTTAATAAAAGATTCACAAAAATCTTCGAAGACCTAGTGCTTAGCTCATTGTGCTGAGAATCAATGGTTCAGCTCCTGATTTCCGTAGACCTTTTATTCAAAAATTTATGTAGTACAGGCGATCCACTTATATTTTTACTTGTATAAAAAATGAAAGAGGCGAGCAAATCTAACCAGAAATATTGAGAACCAACAATCTATTTATTTACTATAAATCCTTGGAATTTTTTAAATATTTCAAAAATTTCTTGCTTGACGACTTCCAAAGTTAATATATCATCGATGATCTATTGTATTGCATGATCTGTGATCTATTGTCATAACCAATCTTTTGATAAATAATATTTATCACCATTCAATTAAATTATTATACTTGAAACGTTAATTTTTTTAGTTAATTAGTAGAAATATAACCCTCAAATTAAGAATCCATTAAGCAACAATTTACTGGATTATTGGATTTTTTTTGCTTATATACTCTTATCTCAGATTATAAATTATGAAAAAGCGGATAAGGATAGCTTTGGCTTTAGTATGATTAAAAATCTTTGCCAGGGAGTCATTTGGCGATAGAAATGCGGGCGATTCATTGGCACCACTCGGTTTTCATTGCGGCTATAAAAAAAGAAATTTTCGATATAAATTAAAGATTTAACTTGAGAGTTTCAGCAAAATTGCCAATTGCGAGTTCATATTTATATCAACTTAATCAGTGTTGTCGTTCCCACCACATATTATATATTATCCTTTTTCGATTTTTTCGCTTTTCGAGTATTTTAATTAATTTTTATAGTAGTGATAAAAATGATAAATATTAAAGCTGTTAAAAGAAGGTCCAATGCATGGAAACATTTCTTAAATCGTATTTTTCGTATTGCGATTCTCATTGGTGAAATTTCATTCGGTAAGGTGTTCTTTTCATTAATTGGACTTTTAGTTTTTCGTATTTCCTCAAAAGCATCACATTTAGCTGGGCTTTTTTCATGAAAATAAATGTATTTTATAACCAATATAAATTGTTCGTTCATGATATTAGAGGATAACTGGTTAGTACAAAGAAGTTTTGATTAGATCTACTGGTTGGTTGAAATTTTTATCCTCGTTGGAAATCTTAGCTATGGAGTAGTACCACATGAATTCTTTGTATAACAGATATAAATAAGATAAGAACTGAAATCTCGACTCATAAAGTAACCATACCAGTCAACCAATGGTGCACATAATGATTTCCAGATTTTTTATCAACAACGAAGTCTCATGATCATTTTATTTTAATTTTATTTTTGTTAAAATGTTCATTTTTATTGATTAATTCTTTAATTTTAAACCAATTTGGTTAGAAAATTTAACATTTTGATTTTGTCAACATTTTCTTTTCTCAACATTTTTCATTTAAATGATTTGTTAACATTTTATATTTTTTATTATAAATTATTTTTATCATAAAATAAACAATGTTTCATAACTATTTTTTTCAAATAATTTTCTATAAAAATTTATGATATTTCGAAAAAACGATATTTGCTTTTTGTGTTTTGCGGCAATAATAAAAAAATAATTCATTTGGGAAGAATAAATATGAAAATTTGGAAAGAATAAAATTTAACATATATGAATTTTATTCGAATAGAATATATGTGTTAGAATTGATTCCTATCGTCTGAGAATAATTTTAAGAAAATAAAATCCAAATAAAATTAGCCAATCACCTATGGTTCAAAGTTATTAATTTGGTGGTGAAAGAATTCCATTGAGGACCATCTATGCTTCATAGGATGCCAAGTTGACGGAAATGAGATAAACCAAAAGTAAAACAAGAAGAATAAATTTTCTTATCGTCGTGAAATTTTTGAAAAACTTCAAATTTCAAACTTCAAACTTCAAACTTTTCAATTGCTATCGCTTTTATAATTCGACTTCAATTTATGAAATTTTTTTTCATTTTCATTATAATTTAATTTTATTTAAATGGCGATCAAATTTCATTAAAATTTTGTGCATTTGGATTTGAAACATTTTCTTTCTTTTTTCAATTGAACTAATTTTCGAGTTCATTTGGAAATAAAAATTTTCAGGTTCAGATAGTCTTTTTTTTTTCATATATAATTACGAATTACTGACTGATTTCTCTTTCTTATTACACTTACATCAAATGAATAAAGTTTCACGAAACAACCAAAAAAGCACAAATGAACGATAATTAGCGATAAAACTATGGAATCAGAGATTTTTGATTTACCCACTTTCATAAAGGTGAAATATTTTTTATTATAAATATTATAAATATTAAAATTTTAATTACTAATTCATTCATTAGTATATCATTTCTAATCGCTTTTTCTTTTACCTTTTTGTTTATATTAAAATTAAAAAACTTTTGTAGTTTTTCATAATTTCATTATTTTGTAAAAATTTGCTTTAATGTAGTTCGTTATTTTATTTTTTCCATTTCATATTTTAGTTCATTATTTTTATTATTTTTCTTTATCTTTAAGTAGTCCATAGTTGGTTTTTTTAAGTTTTTCTTGCTTTAATATAGCTAATCATTTTTCTACTGCGAAGTGCCTAATAAGTCAGTCAGATTATTTAGTCGAACAACAATGCCTAACCAGAAATGATTAGCGGTCTTTTGCTTACCTCTCCTCTAAATAAATTTAATTTATACTTTTCAATTTGTCTAACCAGTGAAAAAAAAAAGAACGAATTTAGTATTGGAATATTCAAATTTAGTACACTTCGTCAATTTGCAGCAAAAAATAATAATTATTTTATAATATTAATAATATTAATTAAAAATAATATTAATTATATGAAATTATAATTATATAATATTAAAAATAATAATATTAAAATTAATATTCTATTAATTTTTAAAAGCATATCAATTTTTTTTTTAAAATTTCTACTATTATGGATATATTTTCGGGTTATTTATTTGAGGTGGTGATTTGCCTTAAAAAATTTCAACAAGGTTGCATAATTTTAATTAACTATTTTGAATCATCACCAATATTAATGTCTGATGGAAATATTTTTCATAAAATATGCCAGATTTTGAGAATATTCATAGGCGTAGATTTTGGTTACAAGAAAAAATAAATTTTCTAATTAAATAATGTAAGTTAAAATTTAATTTTAATTGAGAAATTTTTTACTCAAATTTTCCAATATATCCAAAGTTATTGATTCCAGATTATTGGGTTTTTCCTTTTTCCTTACTACCGAAATAATTTATGGCGTATATGGCGAAATTTTTTTATGAATTCTAATCGAAAAATTTTTTAGAGTGAGACTGATATACATACGGCTGAAAATCAACTGCAACAAGCATCAGCGCTAATTTATAGCGAACCAGCCTTATTGCCAAATTCGCAGCTCTATATGCATTTGGATAAAGATGGCAAAGATCTTGCGACGCATGAAATTAGAAAAAATTCTGCAGCACTTTCCTTGGTTAATGAGGAACCAAATGGAAAGAAGTCGAGGTGTGTATGTTGGAATTTTCTCAACGAAATAATTCTATAAGATTTCTAATTTATTTTTCTCAATTCGACTATTACTCATTATTTCAAATTTTAGAAATTTTAAATATTTATTTATATTAGTAAACTATCAAATGAATCAAACTGCTCCGACGATGGACGATGTACGAGTGAATATGAAATTAACGCTCAGCATGATTCGATTCAAAAGCACTATCAAACTTTAAAAAGGCGACGTCGACTAACGGACATCGACTTCGAAGGTGGCACTGCCTTTCTTTTTAACTTCGAATCAAAATACCAGCAATATGCTTATTTGGAATCGTTTTTCAAAATGTGAAGTAGTAATTGGCTTAATTTAGCTATTTTTGTTATTTCCTCTTTCCTCTATATTTCCTCTATTCTATTTTCCTCTTCTTTCAGGAATATTGAATTTGATTGGTGGTTGTAATATGTGGCAGATAGCAATTTATTTGATGATATCCACTCAACAAATTCCTCATGCAATGTTTAATTTAAGCGTAGTTTACATGATGTATCAGCCAGATCACTGGTGCAAGGTCGTATATTTAATTAACTGTTTTAAATCAATGTTGACCAATGTTGACGTATGACGGATGCAGCAGCAGATGTTTTTCACAAAATATACCAGATTTTGAAGGATATTCATAGATATTCTGGTTATAAGAAAAAATTTTCTAATAAAATAATAAATAGGAATTTGATTTTAAGTGAGAAATTTTTTACTCAAAATTTTCCAGTTTTCTTTTTTATGAAATTTTCCTTTTTGTAAGATTATCGAATATTCAATTAAAATTTTTCAGTTTTTTACATTAAAAATAAAAATCTAGAAGGTTAATTATTCATATTTTTAGATTGATACGATTTCAAAAGAATATTTTGAAAGAAATGATTCGATTGGCGATGGATGGAGTTGGGATGCCGCGCTGAATTCGACTATAGTATTTCCACATGTGAGAAAAATAAATTGTGGTGGAAATGAAAAAAAACGGTTGACATCCATAGCATTGAATAATTTGCTGTATGAATGAATTGTTTAGAAAAACTCATGGAACAGAGAAATCATTCATTATAAAAATTATTAGTTGCAATTTTAGTAGTTAATGATTTTAATAAAATTTAAGTAGTGAAACTGAATATTTTTAACTCCTCTGAATCAAATTCATAATATATAATAATTTAAAAATAGATTTAAAAAATTTTGCGGATGCAGGTTTCTAATCGACAACGAGGAGGCAAGCGTTGGCATGATCAATGCCATTACTATGATCGAGGGGAACGATTCACGCATTATATTTCCATGAATTTATCTAGCGCTATAAAAGCAGCAAAAAATGATCAAGCAGAGCTAAAGCGTTGTACACATTGGGAATACGATCGATCGGTTCGTTGACAGAATTTTTTAAAATTAGTTATAAGTTATAGTTATTAGTTATAGTTTTTCGGATATTTGAGATCATGCAATATCATTCGGTTCCTTCTTGTTGCACCTGTCATTTATAACAAAATCCAGCTTATATTGTAGACTAATCTATATCTTTGTACTAAATGCCTTTATACAAGATCATTACCGTAGTAATAAATATTTCAGGTAATGAAGGAAACAGTGGTAACCAAATGGCATCGTGTTTGCGATGATAATTGGAGCCGAGCTCATGTACATGCATCATATTCCATTGGCTATTTAGTAGGATGTATGCTAGGTGGTTACGTATCTGATAGGTGATCTATCTCATATTTATAACAGTTATTTTCATATTCGAACAGCACTCACCATTTCTAATTTGGCTATCTCTATCTCCATTGACTATTTCCTTCATCGGAGAGGGATTTAACAATAGAAAGTACCATTCGATATTTTTATATTTTATATCATATTTTATATGAAATATATTAAAAAATTTTTTTATTTTTATAATGAATCGAACTTATTTTTTCAAAAATTGATTCAACAAATAGAGAATATTCCTTTTCATTTTTCAATTTTTATAAAAATCTTTTAAATGCTTGAAAAACTGAAAAACTTTTTTTATAGTTTTTTTCACAATTGTATTACTTATTACTTTAAGATATGGTCGAAAAACAGCAATTTATTCGTTTGGAATATTATCGTCGATTTTTGGCTTCCTTCTTGCATTCACCAATGAATTCGAAATATTTCTTGCCGTTCGATTTCTAGGTGCAGTTTGCAATGAAGCGGCAGATTTAGCTGCTTACGTTATGTGCATGGAAATTACAGGTTGCTTTTTTTTTACATCAACTCTCATTATTTCAACTCAATTTAAATTTTCCTATTATTATTTTTTTCGAAAAATTTTAATAAGAGGCAGTTTTATTCAATAGTATTCAGGAGTTAAATATAGATCGATAACTGGCAGTTTATTACAAGCTCCATGGGCATGTGGATATGCATTCCTCGCTTTGGTTGCTTATCTAAGTAAATCCTGGTACACCATTCAGGTATTTAAAAAATTTTCGAGAGAATTTTCCTTCTATTCTAATCTTTAACTGTAATATGTCAAGTTTTTTTTTGTTTTTTTGATTACATTTGATTACACTTGAAAATAATCCAAATATTCCTCGTTGATTTTTTCTTCATATTGAACTTGAAAATTTCTTAAAAATAAAATAGTAACTAATGCTTAATGCTTAAAAATATTTTTATAGATAACCACGTCTTTTTTGCATTCTGGTGCAATGGTGCTACTTTATTTTTTGCCAGAATCACCACGATGGCTTATTGTAATGAATCGTGTAAAAGAAGCTGAAAGGATCATTCGACGTGCTTGTCATTATAATAAAACGTCCTTGCCTTCTGATCTTGGCTTAGTAAGTGAATTTTTTAGGGAAAATTTTTGATTGTCTTAAAAATTAACTCTGTTTCAATTGTCTGAAGCCAATTAATTTTATATATCATCAAATAATTCATTGGCGAAGAAGCTTCATCCTACTAGCCATTTAGTAGAGTCAGTCAGATCAGAAATAGCGAGAAAGAATTCGTCGAAAGTTAATTTTTTTTACACTGTAAAGATTTAAGAAACAAGGGTTCCAATCCTGTCACTAGAATAACCAGGTGAATGATCCATTTATATTTTTACCACGTAGATTCTCTGGTAGATTCTCTGGTTGAGATTTCTAATCATATTAACAACCAGCGGAGCCAACCTAACGAGCAATGGTGAACACTAATCGTTTACAAATATCTTCTGTGTAAATCCAATTTCAACAAATATAAAAATGGTCTAATCTACATTTTTCTTTTTACTTTAAGAATGTTATTTGCCCTTTGGGCTTTTTTTAAAGTCCTTCCCATGAACTTTTCTAACATTTATCTGTACTTTTCGAACAACTTTTTTTTTGAACAAGTTCTTTTGCACTTCTCGTACATTTCTACTTTAAGTACTTTTTTTTCTTGTTGCACTGGTGGATTTCACGTTTGTTCTTTGATTCTCATTCCAATTATTTCTTTCACTTTTTCAATTATTGCATTCCATTTTGAATGTAATAGGCGACCCAACGATTTATGGAAAAAGGAATGGCTTAAGGCATGGCATGGCATCGAGTGGCTTGGAGTGGTTTTATAGCTATCGAAGCCAGCCTAATTAGTAATGGTGAGAACGGTTAGAAGAAAAAATAGGCTAGAGTGGTACTTCAGTTACTTACAGTATAGTGGTTAATGTTACGTATGTTATGTGTGTCTTCATCCGAGAGCAAACAACAATATTTTTCCGATTGTTGTCCATTGAAATAAGCCATTCATTGAATACAAGTGATGCAGCTGGCCTACTTTTATTTTCGAAAGATATCTGGCCAGAAGCATCCAATTAATCAGTGAGTCCAGTTGAATTAGAAATTAGGTAACTATTCTTCGAACAAGAAACTATTGCAGTTTGCCATTTTTGATTATCTAAGATTTTGTTGATAACTAATCATTGATAACTAATCCTCCATTCATCTGCCAATAAGATTAGCTTTTTTATCAAATTAATTTTTTTAACTTTAAAGGTACGTCACGCCGAAAAAAGGAAATGGTTGAAGCGAAATGAACGGCCACATTTTTTTCACATTTTTATTGCAAAAGATCTGAGGATTCGATCCGTCCTTGTCTTTATTATATGGATTGCTACTGCGCTCGTATATTATGGCTTAATTATCGCTTTATCCGATCAGGTCAATGAGTTTTCGTGAGTCATAATGAAAAAAAATGTGATGGTATCAGTAAATGTTATCAGTAATTTAGTATCCGAAGAAAACTTTGAAAGTTATGAGTGAATTTCGTGTGAAAAGTTAATTAAAAAATTAATATTAATAATTATGATTAATAATAATAATAATTAGTATTAATAATAATGCAATAATAAATTATTTAGTCATCACCAGGTCGATCAATGTTTGTCGGGAATTTTTTCTTAAACAATGCAATTGCTGGAGCTATTGAACTTCCAACGTTAATGTGTTGCGTATATCTCTTACGTTTTGGTCGAAAACGGTAACTGGTCGTAACTCGCTTTAATTTAATATTCTTATGTTTTAAGAATTCTTACCTTATTATATTTTTATATTTATATATATTTTTTAATGATCCTTAATATTTTGGCAGCAGTTAGCTATATTTTTATGAATGCAAGAATAAAAATTTCAGTAAAAAAATTCTACTCATTTTTCATTTAAATTATTGATATTTGATATTTAATTTGATATTTAAATTATTAAATTATTGATATTTCTTTTCCCAAATGGATTTTTCTGGCAAATGGATCTTTTCTTAATAGCCAGTAAAATCATTTAAACAAGGAATATTATTAAAATTCAAGCGATTATCGATGAATATTCATTTAATGTTCATTTGGCTTTTTAAAAAAATATATATTTTTAATATTTTCCTAATGAAAACTAAAACGAATATTTATTTCTTAAGTTAAAATCATTCATTGAATCTTTCATTGTTTCCGTAAAAGTGGTCCGTAACGAAGCTTCGCATATTTTCAGCTCACAAATGATAACACTAATTGGTGGTGGTACTCTTATTGGTATTGCGATTATCGTTACTACGGAACATCATACTACGGTACACGTCATATTTGAAATAAAATAGATAGACGAAGTAAAATATGATTTTTGAAATTTTTTAGTTAGCATTGGTATTTATGTTGGCTAGCAAAGTTTGTATTCAATGCGCTTTTAATATATTATATATTTTCACATCGGAAATGTACCCGACGATTATTCGCAACAGTGCTGTTGGAATATGTTCGATGGTAAATCTTTTATGAAAATATTTGATATTCCGCTAAAAAAAGCCCACATTTTGCATGAAAAAATTACTGGTATAATAGTAATTTCATAAAACTTTCCCCAATCTTCTCAATATTTCCTTCTCAATGTCGGTAACCTCTCGAAATCCGTTTTTTATGGTTCCTTCTCAAACCATTGTGTCTCTCCGCATTTCCTCTTTTCCCCTGGGTAACTATTCGTTACTCTTATTTCAACCGTTAACTATATTTTATCTTCTCTTCGGACAAAAATGAAATACATCAAATGCAGTTTGCTCCAATGGTTTATTAATGAGTATTACTAGATTGCGTGATGATTGATTTACTGAGATAAGGTTTATTTTCATTTCAACATTTTCATTTGCCTTTTCTTTAAGGAAACTTCTGAGAAATGAAATTTGTGTTCAAAAAATATTTTCGGTGGCAGAAAATGGAGGAAAACAAATGGAAATATTAATAAGAATAAAAATTTCAGGTTTCACGAATGGGTTCGGGTGCGTCAGGTTACATTGCAATACTATCTGATGTTACACTACCAATAGTTCCAATGCTAATATTTTCAGTATTTTCTCTGGTAGCTGGTTCATTGGTACTATTTCTGCCAGAAACTCAAGGCCTTCCTTTACCTGATACAATATGGGTAAGTAAATATTGAAAAAAATTTTTCCTATCATACTGTTTTTACTCGAATTTTTATTTTACTTGAAACCATTTTACAATTTTATTTATATTTCGTTTGACATTGTTTTCTTTTTTTTTTGATCACAAAGCAGTATTATTATTAAGAAATTTAAGATTGCAACAGGAAATTTTCATCGTTTTCATTCATTAAGGATGCTGTTACTATGTTGAAAACTGATCCGCGATATCAATGCGTTAATTTCATGGAAAACGCTAAGAAAAAAGAAAAAACGAATTGCAAAGGTGCAAAAAGTGGGAAATAAACTGCAAATGATCGAATATAATTTTCTATTTTATTTTTTGTTTCATATTAAAAATTAGCAAATTATTAGGTAATGATAAAAGTATTATTCGAAAAAATTAAAATTAACTTAAATATTATTTGAAAGTTCCGTCTTTTTTAATATTTATTTTTGTGTGGCAGAGACAATGGCTAAAATAAACAGTTAAGCAAATATGGCACCGAAGACCGATGTGCCAATGGGGAACGCCTTCTTTATTATGCCGAAGAACATGAACTTTTAATAGTTGCTTCCGGCATCGTAGAAAACATCTAGTCACGTGGAACCGCGGATAACCAACACTTCAACCAGATTGATTACATCTCAGTCAGTCGCAGTTGGAAGAGTTCCGTACCAGATAGTCATTCATATCTCGGTGCTGAAACAGGCAATCTTCATGGATCTGACCATATCATGGTTCGAGCCAAGATCCGCATAAAACTTGCGGAAAACAACATTCCCCAAGATCCTCAAATTAAAAAATTGGGGAACAGTGAGCGCATTTCAAATCGAGTTATTGAAGTATCTCAATGATACAAATATCGATGACTTTTCTGAAACGGCAAAAGCAAATGAATACTGGTCCAAATTGAAGGAATATCGCCGAAAGTCAGCCACTTCCACCTTAGGGCATACTAGTAGGACATACTAGTGTGCTAATTGGGTATTTGAAACTGTCCAACTCTCTGAAAAAGCTGCCAAAGCACAAATGATAAGTGATCCTGACTATCGGATGCTTCGAAAATTTCCAAGGAAAGCAACTCGGCGGGATAGAAATCACTATTGGAGTGACATGGTCTTGAGAATAGAGACGGCGGCTCGATTAGGCGAAAATAGGGAACTATTCCGCTTTCTTCATAAAGCAACTATAACTCGGGAAACAATCAGTGAAATGGTAAGGGATAGAAATTGAGTGCCAGTCAAGAGTATTAAGGACTGCCTCATAAGAAGATGGAAAGAATTCTTTGAATCCAAACTTAACCATGAAGCACCATCTGTCGCACCTGATATAACTGATAAATGTGCTCGGTAATTAAAATGGATAGCAGGACAATATTTAAATAAAGAGGCTAAATTATGAATTTTGATTCAACACATTTAAGAGGGGTTTATGTTTACGAAGGGACTCTTCCATGGATTCATTGGGTTGGATGATTGAATTAAGCATGTTTATTTCTAGTATGGAAAAAAAAAATTACCAGATGATTGGAGCTAAGCAATTCTGCTCCCAATTCTCAAAAAATGTAATAAGACATACTGCGACAATTATTGAGGAATCAGCCTACTATACTTCTCAGCAAAAAATAATTTTGCTTCCCTGCTACTCAACAGATTTATGGAAGTACGGGACAGCAGGATGCGCCCTAATCAAGCTGGTTTCAGACCAGGGCGCAGTTGTGCTGACCAGATATTCACGTTAAGAAGGGTGTTGGAACATCGCATTCGCTTCAAAGATTTGCAAACCACTGTCACGTGTTTCATCGACTTTGCGGTTGCATTTGATTCAATTGATAGAGCAGCGCTTTGGAGGGTGATGGAACGTGACGATATTCCAGAGAAAGACTCATTAGACTCATAAAGGCATTTTATGAGCGCACGTCGGCGCAGGTCTGTGTATATGGGGAGCTGACAGATTCCTTTCCCGCACAATATTCAATTATGCGATAGACTGGATATTGGACACTGCTTGTCGGCACTTAAGAGTGTCCGAATTAGTCCAGAGCATCGTATCACAGATCTTGAATACGCTGATGATGTAGTCCTTTTTGCTGACAGTTATGACGAAATGCAAATAATGCTAAATAAGTATCAGTGACTGCAGTGAGAAAGATCTCAGGGTCAATTTAAATAAAATGAAAGTCTTTTCGTCTTATGTGCAAGAAGCTGATAAAATGCCTATTCTTATAAATTCATTGCCGGTTGAGGAAGTTCCCAATTTTAAATACCTTGGGTCTACTCTAATACCAAATGGCCTGGCAAAAGACGATATTATAACCGGATCACGACAGTTAGAAATGCGTTCTTCCGGTTTACGAAATCTTTATGGAACCGTCGTGAAGTCGCAATAAAAATGAAAAACCGCATCTATATATATAGCCGTGATTTATTCGATCTTGCTATATGACTCTGAGACATCGCCAATGGGAGTGGAGGATATTAAGTTTTTTGTTTTTGAGCTTGACTCTTGTTATATTTTACGGAAAATATATCACATGATCGCATCCATCTTTATTCAAATACCACGTGTATAAATAATGTTATCATAGAGCATCGTCTTCGCTGGTTGGGGTACGTTCGCGTACCGCAAGAGTTGACGTATATTTCCTTACTTGTTGAACCGTGTGATAGGTGCCGTCAAAAGCGAGATATTTTTCTTTATACGTTTACGTGCGTTCTTTATATTTGCGGTTATATGTGCGTGTTTTTACCGTTCTATTTATATATGCGTTAGCGTGAATACGTGTTTGCTGTGTGCGTGTTGGTTATGCGATATTTGCATAATTTCTTGTATTTCTTGTGTTTTTTTTTATAGTACAGACAGACCATCATTTAATGAAGTCGAGTGGAAGACTGCAGTTGAAACCAATTTAATGTGATAATATGATAAATATGATAATATGAACTTAATATGATAAATTATCAAAAAAAGAGGGTTAAAAAAGCAAAAGGACTACATTTCTTGCACCAGTAACTTTATTTAATCATGTAATGCCCAAAGCAATAATGCAACATAATCTCCAATGTCCAATTCATTCACTAATTTAGCCTATCTATCGTATTGCAAACTTATTGTACATTACCATTCAGTATTCATACTTACTTAACCTTCTATCAGTTATCATTTTTCGAGCTCCGTTTTTTAAAAAAAATCTCTTCCAACTGTACCACCTTTGAAAAAATTTATTCATAATATTCATAAAAAAATTTCATAAAAATTTATTCATAAATCGCTTTTACTATTAAAGCCAATCTAAAATTTCAAAATAAATTTCCCACAATAAATTATAAATATCAAAAAAAAAAAATTTAAAATGAAATGCCAAGTGGTACAGTTGCTTTTTGCATCGAGCACCAGAGGTGCGATCTCTAACGTGAATAAATCCGTCATTAAGAAATCAGAGTGCTGGTTGAGACCCATCTGTACTTCCATCCTCAGTTGGTTCCCTGGCGAGAATTTCATGTGAAAAGCGTCATTTATTAAGTTTTTTAATAAGCTAAGTTTTATGCACCGATAGCTTCGGAGGTATACCAATAGCATCGGGAAAAACATTTCGTTTTCTATGACCACAACGGGTTGAAATGATGAGCAACAGCGCTGAGCGCATCGTGATGGTGCAGAAAAACCTCTAAGAAGTGCTGATCAACAAAAGTTGGTTTTTTCCGGTTTCCACGAAAAAATACAACGTGTTTTGCTTCGAATACATCACACAGCCGATATTCGACATAATTTTTTATCGACGAAAAAAGGAATTTGCACTACTTGCTAATAATTATATTTTACATTTTAATTACAATTATAATTATTAATTTTTCTCATTCTAAATTTTACACCTTTTCAAAGACAAATTTGACAAATTTAAAACCAACAATCCAGAAATTTTTTCTAAAAGTTTTTATTTATTATTATTAATAATAATATTATTAATATATTATTAATAGTTCAGAATAAAAATAAAAGTTGAAAATACGCCCAAAAAAATTATTCTTATCCATATAGATTGAAATTATCCTTCTATTTTTATAAAATGCACAAAACAAAAAAGTTGTTTAGTGGACTATGAAAGATTTTTTTAAAATAAAAAAAGAAAACTATTTATATATTTGATAATTTGAAAAGTGAAAAGAACAAAGGACAAAAAAATGAGGAAAAAAATTTAAGTTTCAGCCAATCAATTAATATGATATAATAATATTATAATATAATAATATAAATATTACAAAAATATTATAAAAACGACTGATTTCACGTTAAATATATTATCGACAATTTGAAGTACATTTTGGTGGAAGACACAATGTTTTTCGCACTAGATTATCGGCAATTTGCTCGAATTGTTGGCGATCTTCACGCCACATTTTTGCTGCATTCACATTTGCCGCACTTTCATCATTTGGTTCTTAAAAAACATTTTTGGTGCAAAATTTCTTCAAATTAGTAAAAATATAAATAAGCTAATGCAAAGTTAGGTAAATTAATTTTTGATAAATTTTCTTCTCGATGCAACAAATAATTTAAAAAAAAAACTATCACCAGATTGAAATTTTTTAGTATCACTTAAAATGATTGAATAATTGTCATTAAGTATGATTTTTTCATTAGAATATTTTTCTTCGAAATTCCGTTCCATCAAAACACCTATATTTCCAAGTAAGAAATATACCCGTTTGCCTTTTTGCCTTTTTTTGTCTTTTTTTGCCTTTTTTTCACTACATTTTCATTCTCTGCGTGAAAATGTATTTTAATTTAAAAATATATTTTTATATTTGTTCATTTTTATAATTTTTCTCACGGTGTTAACCAATGCATAAAATTCATTTATGTGAAAGTTTTCCATATTTGATCCAAATATTTTCGCCCTTATGCATAAAAAATGTTGATTTATTTGATCTGATTGAATAATTAAATTTCCTTTCAATCACTAATAAATAGACAATCAAATAAAAATCTAAAATAATATGTTTAATAATACCTCGCAATTATTATATCTAACTGTATTAGGAGGATAGGATGGATCAGTATGTTGTTGCTCAATTCGAGTGCCGATGGTAAAATTCCCGCAGAAATAAATCTGACCAAAAATAAGGGTGATGCTGGTAAATTACTTGCACTTCTCCAAGGGACTCTCTGGCATATATATCTAGTATGACAAGCCAGCGAAGCGAGGTAACCGGTAATGATGAGGACTCTTGAGAAAGAAAAACTGCATAAGATATCTAAGTTTTTAAAACTCTGAAATTAAATTCAAATAATTCCCTTTGATCCTCTCTCCTCCCAGTGTGATATTTCATACGTAATTTCCTAAAAAAATTAAAAGCATAAAGATTAAAGAAGCAAAATATTACCAGCCAACATTGATATCACGGATAAAAGTATTTTTTCAATTGACTGAACTGGTGACCAACGTTCAGCACTTGATTCATAACCAGTTGGATCGTCACCTGGTGCATGTAGAATACTTATGCAAACTCTACCATCCGGGTAAATGTTCGGATGAAATATATCACAAGTAAACTGCATTTTAGGAGGCGATAAGGGATAATCCTGAAAAATTAGGAATTTCGATATACTACGTTTAAAGGTTATATTCATTTAATTGCCAAAGTTCATCACTAAATCACTTCAAATTTTATAAACATAAATTCACAATTTTACATTTTTAACAGAAATTCTCCAACAAGTTTGGAAGCAAAAATGGGTATTGAGGATTCAAAAATTCTATTAAAAATATACTGCTTATTACCTGAGGAAAAATTATTTTCGCGGGAAAGACACCATTTTCAAAACATGTTTCTTCTGGACCACTTATTAAACATTCCCATTCGAAGAAATTCTCTTCAGAGATCGGCCCAGCGATAATACCTTCTGGTGGATTTAACGTCAATTCTGAAGTTCATTGGAAAATATGCTTCCAATTTATTCCGTAAAATAATTTTTAGAAATAGCAGAGTGGTGAATATAAGGTAATTCTCTGAAAGTGCCTAAACCTTAGCGCCAATGCCAATGAGACTAAATAAATGACCATTGCCTAGGTTAGACTTAGACTTTAGACTTAAACCAAAGCACTAAACGATACCTTAGAATAAAACCAGATAAGGAAAGAAGCGGAATGACTAAGGTAGGCAGAAACTGAAAAATCAAAAACTCAATGTTCTACTGCTCGTAAAAAAATAGGAGAAACGAAGGAGGATGAGGGCGACCCGCAGTTAAATGGCTTAATTAAATCCATTAAAAATCCTTTCTCTTTTAATTTTATTAAATAATTTAAAGCAAAAAAAAGCAATGTCTAACGTCGATATTCGGCCATCAATCTCTTTAACGCATATCCAGCCATTTTTTAAGCAGCAATAATCTAAAAATAAAGCGAATAAAAAACATCTGAAGAGAAATTTGGTGAAACGGGAGCAAAATAAACGATAAGCAATAAGCCTCTCTGACTTGCCTCTAACGCCTCTTAAACGAGCCCACGTATCACTTTCATCAATCCATGCGAACAAAAACCAACTATATCACTTATCACTTATACGGACCATTTAAGTAAGGAACGTTTCCAGAAATGAATTAAACTGATTTTTGAGAAAACTCAGCTTTTGCTTAACTGCCGGCCGCAGGAGAACAACCTTCTTAAAGCCCAAGTCACCATGAAATAAATCGACAGATAAAGTAGGAATGGGGGAAGGTGGCGGGGGGGGGGGGGGGGGGGGGGGGGGGGGGAGGCACTGTGAATGAGAGTTGTGGGTTGGAAATGAAGGATTAAGGAACCACTTCGGATTTCTTGGATATTTTGAAATGCCGCATTGTGATTCTTCGAGAAAAAGATGGTTAAGACGAAAAATGAACCAAAGGCAAAACACAAATTCCACTTTATATTATTATTTTTAATTTTATTCGCTTATCAAATAACGCTTTTATAGCGTATTTCTTATATATAACTGTCATACATATATTATATATTTACATTATTATAATAACATAAAATTTATAAAAAAGAATTGTCCCGCAAATCAAAAAATCTCCCCAACATTCGTCGTCTGAAATATTTAAATTCCGATCGGAAAAAATTCTTTAGTTTTCTAGTTTTTCTATAAAATTCCATACAAATTGTCAACAAAATCTTCATGGAATGTTCAAAGATCAAGAAAACAAATCAAAAAATTTATCAAAAAACAAAAGAAATTGCTAATTTAACAATAATTCATAGAATTCGACTTAAAATGATACAAATGCAGACAAATTTTTGCAAAAATATATATTTTCTAGAATTTACCTAAATGGATTTTAATGAGTCTCAGAATGAAAAGACTCAAGCCGATAAATTAAAGCGAAAATATAATAAATATATTATTATTATTGGGAAAAATATTTTAAAGAAATTTCACAATTTATCAATACCATATACTATCAAATCTTTCGTAAAATATTTTAAATATCCAAAAATTTTCGTAAAAATCTATTTCTTTTCGTTATCTGATATCTCGTTATTTTTTATGATTTTTGATGAAATTAATTATTCCATTCGTACTTGCATCGTGACTATGCACTTCTTGGTCATCTTTGAGTTCTGCTTGCACCACTTTCGCCAACTGCTTACCGAGCTCGACGCTGTAAATAGCACTTTAATCGTAAATATTTATTTGAAAGAAAAATAAGTTTGCAGATCTTAATTTCAAAAACAAATTTATTCGTTCATTTTCAAAGGAATAAATAAGATCTTTTGGCAAAAATGCAAATGAATTTAAAAACAAAATATCCTAATATCATAAATATCGTAAGAAGAAAAAGGATGTACAATTCAATATAAATAGAATAAATTCAAAAAATTTGAAATTTAAAGAATTTCAAAAGAAATACCCCCACTGATCGAAACTATTGATATTCCATATTACTCCTTGTACAAATATTTTATGCTCATAAAAAGCAATTAAAGCACCAAGAGTGAACGGCGTTATAACCGGCAAGACAATTGAACTCGTCGGACGGTTTCCTTCAAATAACTGAAAAGAATATTTAATCATTAATTTAAAATAGTTCATTAAAATAAATTTTAATTTAATTTTTAAATTTTAAATTATAAATTTAATAAATTATAAATAAATTATAAATTATAAATTTAAAATAATGAATAATTTGCTACTCTGATAGTTAAGAAATTTAAAGACATAACTTATGGGGTAAGATTTTTGAAATGGTTTCATTATCCATCTGCGCTGCAACTAATTCAGAACGAGCTTCAGCTTCATTTTTGCCTTTCATCAATGCTTCAGTTTGAGCGATGAAATTAGATAGTAGAATCTAGAATTGTGATTTATATTTGATATGTACTAAAGAAAAAAACAAACCACGTGCGAAGATATTTCTAATATAAAACATTAGCTAGGTAATAATTTTGTAAAAATTTTGATTGAAGAACGCTTACAAAAATCAGAAAAATTTTTAAAATATCAATAAAAATTCTGCGTATTTGTCATTTGTTATCTTGAAAACGAGTGACAAAACAAGTAGTAAGACAAATAGAAAAACTGGAAAACTAGGCAAAAGTACTTTGTTGGATAAATCACAAATGCAAATTTTTAATAAACCAAATAAACCATACATCATGGTGAAGACCGCCTCGAATCGGGTTCAAAGTCTTTACAGGAGCAATAAAGTCGGCTGGAATTAATCGAGTCCCTGAAAAAAGCAAATCCAAACAAAATAAATCAAGTATTTTTTAGAAAATTATCAATCTATTCCTAAATTAGAAATGTTTAAAAAATGCAAAATTCAAATAAGCAGAAATATACATTATATTTATATTATATTTACGATGAACTAAACCTTGATGAATCAACTGGTAAAACGCGTGCTGACCATTGGTGCCAGGTTCACCCCAAACTATAGGGCCAGTGGAATAACTGACTCGAGAACCACTTCTAAATTCAAGCAAACAATTTTTCTAACTAAAATTTTTTGATAAAATATCGAATATTATTTCGAAGCATTTCATAAAAAGTTACCTTGAGACAGATTTTCCATTGCTTTCCATATCTCCCTGCTGGAAATATGCAGCAAATCGATGGAGATATTGATCATAGGGCAAAAGAGCATGAGTTTCTGCTCCATAAAGGTTTATATAGATAATTCCAAGCAATGCCATTATTACAGGAATCTATAATGATGAACGATCAGTAACAACAAAAAACTTGATACATTTGAAATACATTTGAATAATCTGCAAGACAACTGAACTTGTAAATAAAATAAGCCGAGAATCTACTGATGAAAAAATACATTTTTTTCAAATGGTGCATTCAGGAAATGCTCATCGACTGCATTCGCTCCTTCTAGTAGCTTGTGGAAATTTTCAAAACCAATATGAACAGCGATAGAAAGACCAATAGCTGACCAAAGAGAATAGCGACCACCGACCCAATCCCAAAATTCAAACATATTGGCTTCATCAATACCGAATTCACGAACTTTTGGCCCATTTGTCGATAAAGCAACAAAGTGTTTCGCTACAGCTGCTTTATCCTAAGTAATAAATGAGTTCAATTATTTTTAATTCAAAAAAATAAATTTGCCAGAATTCTGGCTGAATAACTAACTCGAAATAAAATATTGGCTGTATGTATATCGTACTGTAATGTAAAATAAGACGAAGAAAATGACCTTTGCAAAAGACAAGAACCATTCTTTTGCCGATTCAGCATTAGTAATTGTTTCTTGAGTTGTGAAAGTTTTAGAAGCAATTATGAAAATCGTTCGTTCAGGGCTGACACGTTTTAGTACCTTGAATATAAATAAATAGATTGGTTTGAAAAAATTTTTTGCAAAATAAGATAGAAAACTATGAAAACTAACTTCGGCCAAATGAGTTCCATCAATATTGGAGACAAAGTGGACATGAGGTCCAACTTGATAATGTTTGAGAGCTTCTGTCACCATTAATGGTCCCTGAAAAAAATGGAGAATTAATGGGAAAAAGAGAAAATCGAGAAAATCTAAAAAAAAAATCTGAATCGAAATGGACAATTTTTAAAATCCACTCGATCAATTAAGAATTTCAATGAAATAAAAAAAGAAGAATAAATTTTAAAGCTAAACATTTTAAAATCTTTTAAAACCTTTTCTAGATCTTTTTAAAAAATTTTAATGAATCTAAAAAAATTACGTGAATTTATTACCAAGTCTGATCCACCAATACCGATATTAACGACATCTGTAATCTTCTCACCAGTATATCCTTTCCAAGAGCCGCTTATGACACTATTACAAAATTGTTTCATATGAGCCAATACTTTATTCACTTCATCCGTCACCTATAAACATTTTTTTGCTTCCATTACTTAACTTTAATCTTCCAAAAAAAAGTAATATAAAGGAATAAAATCAAGAAAAAAATGACATTTTGCCCATCAAGAATTAACGGCTTATTATTGATATTTCTCAATGCGATGTGCAATACAGCACGATTTTCGGTAAAATTAATTTTTTGGCAAGAAAACATTGCTTTACGCATTTCTTCCACTTTGCGCGATTCGGCCTGAAATTTCATACTGAATTATGCTGAAAAAAAAATGAATCAGTCACTCTTCTTTTTTTCTCGATTTCATAAAACAAAACTTTACCACTACTATTACTTTAGAAATCCTTAAAACTATTTAATTGATAAAATAAACTTTATCAATTGATAAAATAAACTTTGAACTTCTTTGAACGATTTGTTTTAAACAAATAACAACCATTTCAACAACCTTCTATAAATTTATAAAATATAATAAGAATACATTAGTCAAGCTTCATTTATGGAAAACCAACCAAACTGAATAATTTTGCCATCATTTCGTCATCAACCAAATTCTTTGAGTAATCGTATAAAATTGTACCATCAGGAGTCTCAAATTTAAGACTAAAAATAGTAAATCGATACAAACACAAAAAAATTAAAATGAATTAACCACTTCATAGTTTTAACTGAATTCATATGTAACTTTTTTCCTATCTTCTTCTCCTAACAGCTTCCACCATTACTAGTTAGGCTGGTTCCAACGGCTACAAAGGTAAGACCTCTAAGCGGCGCGGTCTGATGCCATCGTCGACAGCAATAGAATCCATTTCTTTTTCCATCGTCTATGTCCATATATTGCTGGTCCACCTCTACGTTCAAAATGTTTTGTCCAGATCTTGACTGGCCCATCTCGGTTTTGATGCCACCTATCACACAAATAACAAATAACGAAATATGCGACAACTCTTCCGGTGGGCGAAGAAATACCCTAACCAGCGAAGACGATGCTCTGTGATAATATTATTTGTGCAAGTGGTATTTGAACGAAGATGGATGCGATCATGTGATATTTCCGTAAAATATAACAAGAGTGCTCAAAGGCAAAAAACTTCTTAATATCATCCACTTTCATTGGCGATATCTCAGAACCATATAACAAGATCGAACGGGACACAGCTATTTAGATGCGGACTTTTGTTTTTATGGTGATTTCACGACGACTCCATAAAGGTCAACCGGAAGAAAGTATTTCTAGCTGCTGTGATCCGGATTGCCACCTTTTGCCGGCCATTTGGTATTAGAGTGGACTCAAAGTATTTAGAATCAGGCACTTCCTCAACCGGCAATGGCAATGAATTTACAAAATTTACTTTTTTTCCTATAATTTAAAAATTTTGGAAATTGAAAAAATCTGGTGAAATTTGTAAATTAAATTCAAATTATGATCATAGCAAAAAATTTTTTGAAAAAATTCGAAAAATATAGCAAAAAATTTTTTGAAAAAATTCGAAAAATAATATGAATAAAAAATATGGTACAAACTATATTTTTCCAATAATTTGCTTATCAAATTTTCTACAAATTAGTTAAAAGATATTTCTTGAGAAAACCAAAACTATAGATTAGTTCCATGGAAAAAGAAATAATTAATTATCGAATTATCGTGAAACCAACCTATAATTGAGAAAACGCTGCGGATCACGAGCAAAAAGATCAACGATTTTCAGATGTTTTCCATGTGAATTAAAATAGGCTTTGAGCTGTTGAAAATTTGAATCGTCGTTCAACGATGCCATCTTCTCTGAAAAATTTATAAGATTCAACAATTCGAAAAACAAACACCGAGAAAAATGAAATCGTCGAAATCAGGGAAAAAATAAAATTTTTGATAAATAAATAATTAAGAAATAAAATTCTCGATGCTTATTCTTATATTAATTATAACTTAAATAAAATCTAAGAAAATCATTTTTAAACACGAAAGACAATTATGATTCGATAATCTAAACGAAATCAAACCAAATGAGAATCGAAAAATATTTACCGCATTTATCACAAAAACAAAATTATATCAGATGATCCATATCACCTTATCACAAAAGCACAACAAAATTTATCATTAAAAATTAACATAGGCACAAAGTGGAAATTAAAAGAATCAGCTGAATATATCGAAAACCTTCGAACTGACCTAGCCATTCATAAAATAAGGACTCATTTAAAAAATACGACTTAAAGAAAATGAGGATGGTCTTCCATTCTCTAAAAATTAGGATATTAGCGGGAAATGTGCAATCGAACTCAAACACTTAAACCTGAAATTGAAAGTTTTTAAAGACAATGATTGATTCTAAAATGCTGCAAACGCTACTGCTGTCTTTACAAAATTTGCAGATCCAATCTTATAATAATTTTTTGCTCCAATATTACAATTTTTCTCAAGTTCTCGTATCTAAAAATAATCCAAATTGTTCCCATCTTTCCCCCTCCCCCCTCTTCTAACCTCCTGTTATGCCATTCTTCCTTTCATATAAGACTACACAGACCTGGAACAAATAACAAAAAAAAAAAACACCACAGCTAAACGCCACTGCAATTACATCACACTACAATGTCATCGCTATATCTTAAGCGTCAATACTACAGCTACGGCTACACTACCTCTCACGACTCCACCCCAATAATATGATCATCACACACCGCAATATCACCAATATGCACCGTTAAATACTATTAAATATTCCACTGTTTCGCACAATATGTGAAATGGAATCAATCCATACCAATACAATCCTTTCAACCACTCTTCACCGAACTTCATTCCGCAGATTTTTCCCCTAAACTATTATTGATAGGAAATCGGGAATTGCTCAACAAAGTGTAATAATAGCGTCCTCTCAAAATATTTGGAAAATTTCCTTGAACCGTATGCAACATAAAATTACACGCAAAAAAAAAATTTTAATAGTGGAATAAAATTACAGAAAATTTTAATAGAAGACTCCTAGTAATTTGGTTAATTAAATTCAAAAAAGATTAAATGATAATTAAATAAACCAAAACATAAGAAATATATTTTAATAAAAATAAAATATTAATAATTTTATTATAATAAATGGCGCTAATTAGTAAAAAAAAAGAAATTTGAAGAAGTAAAAAAAGTTTTAAAAAAATAATAAAATTACTCGAATATCATAATATCATAAAAAGTAAAAAAACAAACCGTATCAAAGAAATAAGTTGAAAAAAGCACCTAATTAACTAGCACCAGCAAAAAATATACTAATTTATGGCGGTGAATCGTATGGCGAATTAATTTTCTAGGAAAAAAAAGCAAAATCATTCAATTCATCAAGTAATATCACTGCAAATATTATAAAGAAAAATAAAAACTGAACAATACAATTAAACAAATAATAACTTCAAAATCAGGTCACTACTACAAATTAAAACAAGTTCATCAAAATATAGTTCGCTAAAATTTTACCTATGTAAATTTGAGCTAAATAAAAAAATTTAAGCGTTGAGATCAGAAAAACGAAAAAAAAAATACGAGTATAATCAATTTTTCACTACAATTCATGACGATTTGATTGATTCAAAATTGAATCATCATCAAAATCAGTGCAATATTTACAACGCGGTATATTTGAGCCATATGGGAGGCATGTATGACCAATACATTCACAGCAACCAGTGTGGAACCAACGAAGCATAGTTGCACCAATAACCTGCAATAATAATGTACTTTATTACTACACCTATTCTTTTCATTTTATTATAGTATGTTCACAATAATTCATTTATTCATTAATATAAATGAATTATGAAGGTTTTATAAGAATATTTTAGTTGATGACGGCTGATTTTGGGGTCACACAAAGGACGAAACGCTCTAAACGATTAAACATTAATTATTAATTATAATTTCGTAATTTCAGAATTATTAAATTATTTCTCTTTACAGATGCATATACTTTATAATTTTTTATAATTCTATGAACTTCCTTGACAATTTCATAACTCATAATTAAAGTCAAATACAGATGGATGCTCATTTGTCCCTCTACCCCAAAGTGACTCTACGGCAGATGGGCCAAGTATATGATATACCTAACCAGATGATACATACGATAGATATGCGAAGCAAGCTAAGGACACAGTGATATTAAAAAAGAAATCAGACAAATATCAGGCAAACTGGGTCTGAGTGTTTTTTTAGTGGCTAGGTCTTGGCCCTAGCTGCGATGTCAGAATGCCTGCATATAGAAAGACAAGCGACAACCATCCGCACTCAGTCCGAGTGTCAAGTGGGCTCTACAAATCGGCTCCAAGATATACGACTCGGAAAATGGCAAACTGGGCCTCGAACGGTCTAACGCCAACCGCATTGTCAGAGCATATGTATCAGATGTTAAAATGTTATTTACAGCTATATATACTCATATATATATTCACAACAAAATGGCGAAACGGGATAAAAATAGATATGGCCTTGGAGACAGGACAGCAATTCGAGTAGGAGAAACCTTACTAAAGCATTTTCTCGACGTACCTCAACAGGCGTGTATGAGTGCGCATAGGAAAAGGGAAACAACATTTTGAAATAAGTCCCGGTGAGAATCAAGGTTCTCTCTTACAATTTTCAACGATAGGTTGGGTTATAGATCTTTTCTTGTTATTCAAGAGGTGAACAAATCAGTTCAGAACATAGTATCACGAATTTTGAATGCAATCACGAATTTTGAAAGTATCACGAATTTTGAATGTCCTATTCTGTCTCAGCCAAGGGAGTATATAGATATTAAAGCGTCTATCGACAGGAAGATACCATGAAGCTATTTGAATTTGACTATTTTTGTCTAAGGCATTCTGCCCAGTGGACGAAGCCTCACACGATTGCATCCACCTTCACTTGAATACATAGTTTGCATTAAGAATATAGTCACAAGGCATCGTCATTCATTCGTCTCCCACTATAGGAACTGAATACACCTCGCTAATCGTTAAACCATGTCAAAATTTGAGAATAGTAATCAAAATCTAGATCGATATGGAGAGGGAACGCATCAAGGTTACCCAGCAATATATGGGTTTAGATAATGGAGAAAACAGCGACTTTAGTTACTTTCAGGAGCTATATCGGATCAGGAGACTTTAAAAGGTCTTTAGTTACCAGGGCAGCCAGTCAAAATAGCAATGGTGCAAATTATTAGAAAAAAAAGATTCTCAGGAACATAACGTCGCTAATGAATTTGATAACTATGACCTCCAAATGAATACTGGGAATATTATAAAATATAGTGAACAATAAAGCAATCAATGTAAATGAATCTTGCGGACATATAAGATAACAAAATTCCTTTTTTTTTGGCAAAATTTTAAAAAGCATGGTTACCAGACACTGACGGCTGCATTCCTCATGGGACATACACTGGTCGAGGTATAAAACAGTACAAGTTGCTTCATCTTTTGAATCTCGAATGCGGTTCATATACTTTCCTACAAAAAAAAATTGTTATAAAAGAATATTATAATGTAAAAAATCATAGACAATTAATAATAAATCAAAAACAAATTGAAAATTAAAGGAAATTTCAGAAAAATCACCTAAAGGAAATTTATTTTGAAAATTTAATAATCTCAACATAACCTTTCGCAGTACATTTTAATTAATGTTATTATTCAAGTAAATTGAATTTTTGACCAAAGGAGCAACCACAATTTATAACCATACTACCATAAAATCGCATCAATTTCCATCTATTCATTTTTTTATTTTTTATTATGTGTTATTATATTATTTTTATTTTTTAGTTATTTTTACTATTGTTTTAGATTGTCATATAAAATATATTATATTTTTGTTAAATTTTATTTAACGTCTCCTAAATTTTTCTACATATAATGTTCGATTCAGCCTGTTGCTAATGTGAATTATTGCGATGAATTCGGTATCGAGCTAATCTGTCTTGTCTTGGTTATAATTTTTAAAACTAATATTTTATATCCAACTGTAATTATTTTAATTCAGTGAACCTCGTATTATACAAAGTTAAAGCTATACTTCCTCACACCATCAAAATTGCATTATTTTTATCACTAAATTTTTTTTCTTCAAGAATGATGATAATGTTGAATACTTTTCAAAATGAGACAGCCTTTCATGGTCTTTAAATCAGAAAAAAAGTAAAAAACTGACCTTCACGCACATCGTAGGCATATTCTTGCATTATTGGAAATGTATGAGTAGTACCAAGTCTATTAATTCTGAAAAAACTCTTGCATATATTTATTTAAATAATAAATATTAACATTTTTAACTGAAATTTATTTCCCAGTTTACTATATTATCACTTTATCAATTTACCACATTACCGCCATTAAAATCGCGATTCAAATATAATAAATAAATAAGCAGGTGGCAAATAGCAAAAAGGAATTAAGTAAAACGAACGATGCAACTTTATCAAAAACGATCAAATCCTCATCGTTCTGCTCCAATTTTTCGACATAGCTATTTATTCGAGGAATCTCTCGGTCTGGATTGCATAACCCTTCAATTTCATCAAACAATCAATAATTGGATAAAATTAAAAACTTTATGAATCAGATTAATATTACTAATGCAAAACAAATTATCATTTCTTTCTATAGAGAAAAAACCAATAAAAAAAATAAAAATATAATTCTTTAAAAATAAATAAAAGAAAACGAACCAAAACAAGAGCAACATTCAGTGAACTGTTTATCCAAACACTGAATGCACTGATTACAACACGTGCAATTATTGCTTAGAATATTTTGTCGAGTAATCGAGCAATTGCAAGCTTTTATCAACATGCACTTACTTACACGTGGCCCACATCTTGTTTCACTGCAATCGAATATTGCTGCACTGAACTGAATCGCATTTAGCGCAAGAAAAATTACCAATAAAAATGCACTCTTTGAATAAAACATTCCTGAAAAAATTCTTTCTTAATTAATTTCTCACCTAAAAACCCAAAGAATTCTCCTAAATAAGAAGAAACGTGGTACTTATTAGCTGTTCGAAATCTCAATAGAATAGAACATTGCGCGCATAACAAAATTTTCGATAAACAATAAAAGAAAATCAAAAAGAAATAAAAAAATATAGCAGAAAAATTCACCTTAAATGATCAAAAGAGAAAGAATTATAGTAGAAAACCGGAATTTTCTTCGTTGACTTTCTCGTTGCAGTAATTTCCTTCTTTAAAAAAAAAAAAAATAAAAATTGCAAATCCGTTCGTTCGATTTTTTTCGATAAAAAAATTTCACTGCGAGAATTAATTTTCAAAAATATTAAAAAATTTCGATTGTTAAGAATTATATCGATTTACAAAAATATCTAAGAGAAAGAGTGTGAACGCAAAATAATACATTAGATGGACGACTTTTCGATTATTTAAAGCGATCAGCAATTTTTCGTTTATTTATTTACTTACCGAAAATTAGTAGAATAGCAAAGCTGGCAAATTTCCTAGAGAGAGACATAAATAATTATAAAATATATATGTATTGAAAAAAAAAAGAATATTCACTTCATTGAAAAGACGGCAAGTTTTCCAAGATTTAGTCGTAAAATTTCGAATTGAAATAGATTAGTTTTATATTAATTTCGCATATGCCAAATATTTTAATTATTTAAATTATTTCTAAATTATTTAAGCTAAATTATATTAAATATTATAAAACTATTATTAAGCAATATTAAATCGTATTAATAAATATTTATGTTAAAAATATTAATATTTATATTTAATATTATATTATTAAAAATATTAAATATTTATATTAAATATTTTATTATATAATAATAAATATAATAATAAATATAATAAATATAAATATATTAAATATTTATATTTAATATTATATTATTAAAAATATTAAATATTTACATTTAATATTATATTACTAAAAACATTAAAAATATTAAATATTTATATTTAATATTTATATTATTAAATATTAAATGTTTATATTTAATTTATATTTAATATTTATATTACTAAATATTAAATGTTTATTTATTATATTATTAAAAATATTAAAAATATTAAATGTTATATTTAATATTTAAAATGCTAAAAATAGAAATATCGAAAGTTTAAAAAACGCCATAAATGTGGCAAAAATAAAAATAAACAAACAAAGAAAATATCCCACTTCAGCCGCATTATTATTGTTGTGTAAAATAACAAACGGACAATTATTGAACCTACTTAAATTACAGAGGAATACGAATATTAGTAATGGCATCTGATCATCGAACGATTTCCTCCCATCGAAAAGCCGATACTACTTTTCAGTATCCGATCTATCTTTTCCTCTTTTGCTTTTTATCTTCTTTTTTTTTATTTTTATAAATTTTTATACTATTTACAATTTGTTGATGTATATAAGCAATTTAAGCTAAATTATATTAAATAGATGGATGGTTGAACATTTCTATTCGATTGGAGAAAAGTATTTTGCAAGAAAGAATAGCGCACGGCGCAAAAAGGCGCAGAAGAAAAGTGCACGCAACAGCTGCACGACTTGTGCTTTAATCGGACCGACGTTCCAACAGTCGCAGTCAGATTGTGGTGATACAGGGCATCCCACTCGTTAGCGGTATCTCTGACTCTCCCAATTGTTTGTTTTGATCTCTTCTCGAGTTATACAAAAATGTTATGTCGCATGGTAAGGTTGCTGCGACATGCGACAATCGTCGCTAACTGCATTGTCGTGCAAATTAATTACGGATTAATATTATATTTTGGTTATATTACTAATATTATTGATATTAATAAATATAAATATTAGTAAATATTATGAAATAGGAGCATAAATTTGCTTAAAAAATAGGCTAAAAAAATCTTTTCAATCACCACCCTTTGGATGATTAGCGTTATTTTATTCTCGATCCCGAGTGCTCCGCTAGAGACCTGGGAGGTTGAGAGAGAGGCTGCGCAGTATCTTAGCTGTTCTGCATGGAGATCTCCGATGTTGTTCCTGGAATCTGCTTTCTAGTTTAGGGATCACAATTCCAAATGCTCTAATCAGCACTATAATTACTTTAACCTTTATTTTCTGCACCTAATCTGTTTCCTTTGATGTTCCTGTAACTTGAGGTAGTTTCTGTAATCGTTTGCATATTAGTACTAATCTTTAATTCTCATGTTTCTTCTTCCTGGCCTCCTTGTGACGTGGTATTTGTCATTCGTGTTGATTTCTGGTCCTTATCTACTATCATGAAGTTTGGATGATTGGCCAGTACTTGTTTTTCTCTGAGAAGTTTTTCTTACTGAATGGATAGGATTTTTGCATTATTATTCCCCATAGTTTTCTAATTTTCCAAAAATTTGCGAAAAAACTGTTCACCATTTAATATGCATGAAGCCTTCTAGAATAAATTATTTGGTAAGAATTCATGCGGATTTAAAGGTACCCTAAAATTCTAAACTTAAGATTAAGGCGATTTCTGTTTAAAATTTTTGACTAATTTTATATTTAAAATTACGTTCAATAATATACTTCTTTATAAACCCAGAAGGCCAGAAAATGACATTAGTGAAATGGACGCTTATTTTGGATTTGATCAGCTTTTATAGATTCTTGACAAAAGTACAAATAAGTGGCAAATGAAGAATTATTACCCATGTTATTATATGCGATAATATTCCCCTTGTTCATTAAAAATGAAAGTTGTTTAATGAATTACCACTATGTTAGAGATTAATAAATCGCGTATAATGCATTCGTATGGTGCAGTAAAGCATCTATTATTAAATAAATTATCGAAGCATAATCAAAGAAATTTCGCTCAAATGGAGCGACAAAATAGCGACGGCGCGAATATAAATCGACATAATAGCGAAAATATATGGCAGTTTTATAATGTTTAATGCTTTTCTTTCAATTCTTTGAATTTGAAAAAATCGAGAAAAAATTATAATAATGATAAAAAAAGAATTTGGAACCCATTTTTTTATACTTTTTAATTCTTTATTATTATTATTTATTGTACATAAACTGTTTATTATTTTATATTTATTTCTTTTTGCTTTATAAAAATTGCGTATTATTTTTATTGCGTTGCCATTAGTTGATTTAAATTGAATAAAAAATATATTTATTTATATCATAAATTATAAATCAATCAATCTTTAATTTTGATAACTATTTTTATTATTAATTTTATGGTAATTTTTTGTTTATCAATGCCATGCACACAGCTTTTTTTTAAAAAAGTCCTCACCATCATTGGTTAGACTCGCTCCACTGCGCAAGACCCAAGGAGTCCTTTGGCGGCGATAGAAATATAAAGTGAGTCAGTCGCCAGCATCACTGGGATTTTTGAACAAGTTTACTCGTGCGGCTAGAACCTCAGCATTGGCGCTCCGAATTCAACCAACAATTTTAATAATTTTTCAAAGAAATAAATTGTATATGCCCAGATTTATGAAAAATAACTTAGATTTAAGTTTTTTTATTACTCAATAAGAAGGACTACCTGAAACTTATCTCTTGAGATCATCTCAGCCAAAATTTTCAAAATTTGTCGCGCTAATAAAACTGTCAATTTTACTTTCTTATGATATGATATGATAATTTGGTCACGAGAAAATTTATTAGTGATTTTTGTAACTAATATAATATAAGGAATATAATATTGTTTGATTTTTTTGCTACTTATTCTGGATGGAAAGGAAACGAAGACGATATTATCTGAAGCTAAGTAATATTGAAGAATTAATTCTGACAACTACTGCTATGCGATAAAAATTCAGTGCCTCTTTAGATCCTACTAAATACTACTTTTCTTTAATGCCTACTAAAATTTCTTTACAGTTACAACTTATTGGAAAACGCCTTGGAGAACCCCTCTATCTTTTATCTATCTTCGCTCAAATACACCTGCATTAATAATGTTATCACAGAGCGTCGCCTTCGCTGATTAGGGCACATAATCCACCACAGGAATTGACACATATTTCGTTACTTGTTAAACCATGTGATAGGTGGCGTCAAAAGCGAGGAGAGCCAGTCAAAACCTGGACTGATGCAGTCAGGAAAGATTTTGAACGTATAGGGGAACTAGCGATATATGGACTTAAACGACGGAACGATGCAAGGTCTTCTATTACTACTAGCAATGATGTCGCATCGAGGAGCTTGGAGATCCTTGTAGCAAGCGGAGCCAGTCTAACCAGTAATGGTGAGAGCTATTAGAAGAAAAAATATATCAGTTGATCTTAATAGATAGGATTCGGTGATTTTGGATCTGTGTGGAACTTAAGAAGTAGAATACCAGTGGTTAAATTTAAATAAATGCCACTATGTACGAAAAAGTTTTAAATTTAATTATTTTTGGTTTTTTTTGTTTTTCTGTCAATTTCTTTAAAAATTGTTTAGATTGTTTAATACAATGTCGAAACAAATCAAATGGTATCGAATGGAAAATATGTTGCACTGTGTTTTTCTTTGAACAGTTCAAATATATCAAATGAATCAGGTAACCTTTTTTCCCTTCTATATTATTCAATTATATGTGTTGGATTGGAAGTGAAGTCAACGGAATTATTTTTTTGCTGATTATTGAAAACTCTTATTTTTGAAATATTTTTATTAATATGCGCCTGAAATCTTTTGCTTTATTTCAATTTTAAATTATTTTTAATTATTATTATAATTATTTTTTACAATTCTTTTGATATATATAAAATTATTTGAAATTAAATTCAAAGGTTTTTTAATTTCAAATTTTGCAAATATTTTATGGATATCTCAGCGTTTAGAGAGTACTCCGTTTGAGGAAACATGCATATCGAAGACCAAAATGTTCATATAAAGAAAGTGATTCAGATACTGCTGAATCGGATTGTTCAGTCGTAAGAGATTTTTGATATTTTTTATATCTTAAATTAAAGTTTGTTTTTTATTAATGTGCAGCTTTAATAGATTGGAAAAATCGGAAGAACCTTTGATTTTTCTAGATTCTAATCCACTTTTTTGTTAATTACTCAGAGGAATGAAATAAGGGATGGCGGTGAAATTTTAGAATTTGCGCTTTGATGCTTAAATTTTCGCTAAATTCTTTTTGAGCAAAGTTCAACTGATCTGAATGCCTGTTCTTCCAGATGACCTCAAGTTTCTTTTTTATTAAGTCCCTTTTTTTTTGTTAAGCGTTTCACAATCATATTATCCTTATTTTCGTTCCATAAAAAGTCAAGCATTAGAATTGTCTCGCGTGTGTATGTTAGTTTTTTTTCTCCTTACATGGGATTCGAAATTTCTTTTAAAAAATAAAATTAAATTTTTAGATATTTCAGAAAAATGCTCAATGGAATGGCGATCTAGCCCTGTTTATTCTCAAGCAATGTTTATTAAGCAAAATTCTCTTGTTTATCACACAGTTATTTTTTAATTGGATCCTTAATGATTTTCCAACAGATGCTTTCAAAGGTATTGTTATCAAAGGTTAGGTTTGAATTTTTTTTATTTTCGTATTTAACTTTCGGTTAACATCGTGGAGAACAAATCTATTTATTGTTCATCAATATTATTTTTTAATATTACTTTGACTTTTTAAGATTTTTAATTTGACTTTAAAATTTTATTTTATTTCTTATTTTTATATTTATTATTGTTTTGTTATTTTCTAGAAAAGTTGTCATTCGTCGATCATTTGATCCGTTTTGTATTTTCTGGCTTAACGCGATGGGATTCTTTGCATTTTCTTCATATTGCACAATATGGATATTCTTTCGAAAATATCTTGGCCTTTTTCCCACTTTTTCCTTTTCTCATTTATTATTTTACTTTATTGTGGAACTGGATTATACCTTTTATTCATTTTTCAACAGCACTTATTATTTCAGCTATATTCATCAACTTCGTAAGTTTTTTTACCTCTTTGCTTTATTAATCACTTAAACACTTAATGATTTTCATCATTTTTTATTATCTTATATCCTGGAAATTTTGCAGTTCTATATTCTGCGCTTAATCAATTTTTTATTTTTTGAACTTATAAAAATTTGATTTGCTCGATATAAATGTGCAATGAATCGATTCTTCTTTTTTTTGCAATAATTATTCCATTCTTCAAAATTTTTTTGCAGGTGCTTTTTTTGATTTGTGGCCAACTTCTTTACGCAGTTTCACTAACTATAACAAAATCCAGTAAAACTGCTTTGCTGGCATGTTTGGTGTTCACAATCAATCCGGCCAGTGTCTTTTTTGCGTCTGCTTATTCAGAACCACTTTTTATGGCTTTAACTCTTTCTGGCCTTTTAGTTCTATATGCTCATCCAAATATGCCATTTATTCGTCATATTGGAGCCTCCATTTTCTTCGCTTTTGCTTTTCTAACACGGTTATTCTATTTTCTTCGTCAATCTTCAAATCTTCAAATATTTTAATTAAAAAAAGTGTTACATAAATCGTAGTAAGCAAATATATTGAAATTTCGAGAAATATAAACCATAGTGCGTTTTATTGCGTTAAATGGTATTAAAAGGTGAAATATGGCGTTTTATTTTATCTTTTTCATCCTATTCCATTCTCATAATGGTTGTTAAATTTCGATTATACATCGACTGTCATTATCAGTATGGAAGTTTTTTAATAAAATTTTTTTTCAATTTAAGATCAAATGGAATTTTTAATTTTATTTACATACTGCATCAGTTATTTGTTGAAACCGTTTATTCCTCAGAAAAACATAAATATATTTGGCAGTTGAAATATACCATAATTTTATATAAGGTAATTATTATAATTTTTGTTCACTTTCTGGTTAATTTTTTTTTCATCTTCATGTACATTATATTTAGATTGTTCGTTTCATAATTGTTGGTTCGTTTTGTTGGGTTATATTAGGAAGTCTGTTAATTTCGCATGATGTCCAGATGAAAAAGTTGTTTTGCGAATCAAATTTTGTCAATAAAAGTGCTATTCCGGTTGAAATTTTGGATTTTGCTGAGCAAAAAAATTTTGTACTTCCTGGTGAAATTAGTAAAATATCTTGGTGCAGGTTGGAGTTTTTTTAGTTTTTAGAGATAAGGAAATTTATTTGTAAGAAAATAAGAAATTTATTTGGATTCTAATTTAATTTATTTGGGAATGTTGATTCGCCATGATTTATTTTGATTTATTATTGTCACTAGGTTCAGGTAAAAGTTTTTAAATGTTTTCAACAATTTTATTCATTACTTCTTGTGTCAAATCCATGTAAATGAAACAACATGTTTAGTGAATATTATCCATTTTGGATTCCTCTACCAAGTTTTTATGCTGCTGTTCAACAAAAATATTGGAATGTGAAATCGTTTGGTTACTGGAAACTGAAAAAAATACCTTGTTTCTTAATGGCTTTACCGGCGGTTTTGATTGTTTTTTATGGTTGTTACAGAGAATTACGTCGTCTGGCACGATATAGCAGGTAAAATATTTTTGAAAATCACTGAACTTAGAAAATTGAAGGTAACATAATCTATTTGGTAATTAGGCCATGTAATGAAAAGGAGCTCGCGAATTAGTAAAATTTTTCAGTTCTGTAGCGTCAGTTCTGAAGATTCGTTTCTTTAATAAATTATACTCTACTTGCCATGCGTATTTTATTTCCCTCATCCAAGTGCATCTGGTCGTTTCCTTTTTTTAATTATTCTACTACGAGTTGCTCGACATGAAATAGTAGAATTCAGAGAACCTCAAATTTACTAATTAAACCTTCATTTACAAATAATAGATATGATACTTCATTAGCTCCATCCAACAGTGGTAACATATTTGCAGATCGAACTGTGGATTTTTTTACCAATTAATTAAAATTATTGTTATTCCCTAAAAACCGGGTAAAATACCAGCCTGCCATGTTGAAATTGATGCATTTATCACTTTTTATGTTTCTCGAAAGCCGTTGTTTTGTGGAAAATATCTGCAAACTTCATTAATTATCTTCTCAACTCAAAGATCCATATATTCTTTTATCGTAATCTATTAATATACATCATTTTAAATATTCTAAAGTTTTACTGCTCGTCGACCCATTTGTAGCGTTGTAAAATTAAATACACTATTTCGCTTTCCAAATGCCTTGCATTTTCGTCATGGTTGTAAGCGGTTCGAAGGAAGAAATGCAAAAAAAAGAGAAACATTAAGGGAGTATATATTTTGCAAAAATATCAAGAATTATACTAGATTTGGAGAATTTTGCCCATCTCTAAGGCTGAATTTTCTAACTTTAATGATAGTTTTAATTATAGTGATTAAATAAAAATCTAACACTCGACGATCTTAATTAGCATAAATTTCTTTTAAATACTTTTTTTAAAAAAATTTTCTGCGGTCAAGAAAAAGAGTTCTGATTTATTCCTTATTTATTCCTTTATATTTATTTATTTATATTTATTCCTTTTATTTGATTGATCCGGTCTTTCAGTTCTGTGGTTTATGCTATTCTGTACATATGTCGCGATTCAATTTCTTTGTTGCCGTTTTGTTGCCATTCGTTTATACTTGCAATATTATCACTTATTCTATATAATGCTGAAGTTGCGACGAGAATATTATTTTCGTCTTCTCCATATATTTACTTAGTTTTGTCCCAATATATGCATCAAAGAACGCCATTAGTAACCTTGGAAGATGTGCAGTATCCAACTTTGCTTCCTTTTTTTACGAATTTTTGTCGAACTCATATAATTCATGCATTGTTGCTTGGTTATCTTCTTTGTTATTTCTTTATCGGTACCTTGTTACATGTGAATTGGCTTCCCTTTACGTGAATGGCCATACTAGCTATTTACTTGTAGCGATTTTTCTTCTTATGGCTATATTTTTTTCTGTTTCTAAGATATTAATCAAATTGGATAAAATAAATAGAATAAATAGATTAGAATAAATAGATTTATGTTTCAGTAGAATTTTAGTAGGTTGGAATTTATCAAAAGTCTTATTTCAGCATTATTTAAGGTGGTTGAAAAAATTCCTTTTTTTTGGTTTTTGATGAGTCAAAGATGGTAGTAGTGATGGTAATAAATGAAAATATTGCTTTATTTTGCGAATTCCCATGATAAAAATTGGGATTGAGTAGTGGGCGAGTTGCTGTTGTAGCGTGAATCCAGCGTAATTTTTTCGTGATTTATTTGTATGTTTAGTTCACTCTTTGTGATTTTCCTTAATTTTATGCATATGTTATAATTACTGGATTTATCATTATTCATTACTTTGAATATTTTATTGTTATCTCCATTTTTTTCGAAATTTTTTGTATCTTCGATCTCCACTTTTTTGATCTCTTAATAACATTTTTGAGGGTTTTTGAGAATTTATTTTCAAACAGTTCGCCCAAATTTATATTTGTAAGCGAGAAAATTTTTTCCTTTTTTATATTATATGACAAATATGCATAAAGATTATAGTGTTACATTAAAAAATTTAAAAATCTTGCAAAATTGCTTAAATTATCGCCGATAAATGATTTGTACTTCATTAAAACTGCATGTTAAGATGTTGTGGAATTTATTGTGGAAATTCATGAACAAAGACGATCGTCTATTATTATTGCGCATCGTAACTGAGTCTGAAAGTTGTGCATTTGCACGAAGGCATTACTTGCATTCATAAGTATTTCAAAGTCGATTTCAATTATAGAAAATTATTCGATCATCGAGAGCTGTCGATGAATTATTAATAGGAAGAGAGGAATCGTCTCTCATGTTCGTCCATCTTTCGGATTCGCTTTTGCCTAAAAATAAATCCTTCATTAAGATTTGTTCCTTGTTGAAATTGATATATATGAGAGAGAGGAAAGATTTTGAACGTATAGGTGGACCAGTAATATATGGACTTAGACGATGGAAAAACGAATGGCTTTACTACTAGCTACTCTATTACTACTAGCGATGGCATCGGATCGGGCAGCTTGGAGACCCCTTACCTTTGTAGCCGTTAGAGCCTTAACTAGTAATGGTGAGAGCTGTTGTGGTTTTTAAAGTACGCAGTAAATATTCTAATAAAATGAAGGATTTGAAAATAGGTAATTTAAGGATTAAGGGAATTATAAAAGTTTACCTATCTGACATGCCATAATGATCGATTCGCGACGATTTTCGAGCACTTTATTGGCTCTCACATATCGTATACAACGAACAATCAAATAAATCGTATATAAAATAAATACTGCGATTAAAACCATCAAAAATGCTGTCATTAATAATTTTGCAGCTGTTGAAAGTGAACTCTAAATTTCGCAAAAAATTTTATAAAGAAATTTGGGTAAATTTGGATAATTTGAGTTGCGAATAAAGCTAAATCTAGTGAAATTTTTCAATTAGTTTAGTAGTACTTTATTTGTAATGGTTTAAAACGTCCTAATAAATAGGCTTAGAAATGTGGTTTTGCGGGAAAAAAGATCACACATGGTACTCTTGGTGGATTGTTGACTTAATGTTGTTGTTCTTGCTCATTTCATGCGATGAATGATGTTGAGGATTAACAATTGTTGTTATGCCGAATGCTTGCACAAATATAACAAACACACCTCGAGCTGATATGGTCGGATATAACAATTGAACCTGTTCGCAAAAAATTTTTCAATTTTTTTCATTTTTCAAAAAAATCATTAATTTTTGCAAATAAAAAAAATTTCTAATCCAATTTATTCATTAATTAGCTGGAAGGGTTTAGATGAATAATTAAAATAAGAAGGAGAAGGCCAACGAAAAATAAAAAGATGAAGAGTAAATTATAAATTTAGAAATGACTTATTTATGGCTTGTGGATTTTAAAAAATTACCTTACTCTTGAGGATACCAATTATTAGAAGACTTGATGAAAAGCCATAGAATATGCACATTAATATGGAAAATATTCTAAACCAAGACAATGAGACATCCTGCAAATTAATAAATCAAAATGTCAACTATGGATGAAAAAAGGGGAAAGGAACGGGAAAAAAATTAATTTAATAAAAAAAATAAATTAAAAATTAAAAAATTTACTTCCTGAAAATCGATGATCATATTAATTATAATAGCGAGGAGAACTGTTGCTGCAACAAATACTTCGATACTAGCCAAAATTTTGAGACCTGTTGGCAAATAACAACAACAACAGATCCATTTCGGATGCCTTGGATTAAAATCCATGCTAGAACCAGCAAGAATCAAGGAATTACAACCGGAAAATTGAAAAAAAAAGATCGAAATCTGTATTCCCATGTAGTGGGAATAGTAAAAAATCGCAAAACGGCTTTGAAAAAACAAGCAAAAACGATTAGACAGTATACTTTCGTTCAAGAAACAAGTGAAGAAATCTAGGCTTGATGTTTGATCATAACAAAATCAACTTAACCCCCTATTTCGGTATTGGAAGAAATACGATAATGTTAGCAAAAGTTTTTTTTCTGGAAGTAGCACGAGATCTTTTAAAAATCTTTTCAATACGTGTTTTATCAGTATTTTATTAGAGAGGCGGGCTACTCGACAAATTCTTACTGAGAGCCTCGAGCGTTAGGGTTTAGATTCTATCTTCCGTAGGAATAAATTTGCCCTTTAAAAATTCTGCTAACGGTGGCGATCCATCTATATCTTTATTTCTATCAACTGCAAAAGCCTGAAAAAGCCTAATTAAAAATCGTCAGAAATTAACCATGCTAATATAAAGTATTATAGAAATAAAATATCTTTACTGCAAGTCGACAAATGGATTTATTTCATTTAAATTTCTCTAAATTTATTTAAATTTACTTAAATGAATAGAAATCAACAAAATAAAACGAAATAAAATCTATGGATTTATTTAATCGTAAAAAGCTTTTAGGCATAAAATTATGGAAAGAATTAGAGATTAAATCTTGCGAATTTTTCTTTTTTTCTAATCATAAATCACAACTTTTCAACTGATAATTTTATAATTACAATTCGGATGATAAAAATTATCAATGAGTTTAATATATCATATTGAATTTTTCATATCAATAAGAACTTTACAATTTCATTTTCATTAGTTTTTCGGAATTTAATTCTTATTAAAATCCTAAATTAATTAATTATTATTTAATCGAATAATTCGTTATAAATTATGAAACGAAAAAATTTTTTATAGAAAAAGATTCACTCATTCATAAAATAATTAATCGATGGCATTTATAAAAATAAAAATAAAATCACTGAATCGAATGTTAAGCCATTCTATGCTTATGCGAAAAGTCCAAAATATAAGGCCAGTAAGGCCTAAATTTTAAAAAAAAGGCTTCAACGGCGTTCCAAATATTTTCCTAATATAGCAAATGATAATAATTATTTAATTATTATCCGTTTAATTATCATTATTTTTTCATTAAAATTAAAAATAATATACAAAAAGCCATAAAACATTGGAGAAGGATTAAATATTTAATCTTAGACTCAAGGATTTGATTTTAGATTTTAGATTTCCTGAAATTTATAAAGTACAAAGACTAGGAATAGCAAAATATTAACGAGCTAATAATAAACAATGAGAATATAAGAAAATGAATAATTATCAGTCGACAATGGATTTTGCACCTCTTCCAAATATCTTCCGACAATTATATAATTTTGAGCATATAGTGTAGACGAGTTTCATGCAATATTCGAACGGACGCATGCGATTCCATGCCCATTTACATCTGATTAAACCTTTATCATTGAAAGCGAAATACGTAATGTCAGAAAGTTACTAGCGAGTCGAGTACCACAAATTAGTAACTCTCTAACAAAAGAGAATCACTAAAGGCAACGAAATCAGAAATTAGAGAAGTCGATTGCTTTATTTATCTATAAGAATGAGATAAAAAATATTATTTTTAGTAGTCGGTTAAGTTGAAATCACATATTTTCAATCAGAAAAGAATCAATTGAAAATTAATTAATTTTAAATTAATTAAAAATTAATTAATTTTAAAAGGACCGATGAAGAAATGTGAAGCGAATAGAGGAATATTTCCATCTAACAATTGTACCGGAAAATAATAATTATAAAATAATAATTTAACAAATTAAATTAAATTAAAAGTGCAAGCATTTAGAACGTTTAGAGATCAAAGAAAATTTTAGGATGTGATTGGCTTTGTTTTAAAAAATAAGAATAAAAAATCATTAATCCGCATTTTGGCCTAATTAATCCACTTTGTGAAATTTTTTGGATCAGCTGTTAAATTTATTTTGCATCAAAGGAAAGAAGGTTTGGCTCGGTTTTTATAGATTTTGAGAAATTTGTAAAAAATCTGGCGAAAATCTAAAAAAATTTCACTATTTTTCTAAATTTTCGTTTATTTTTTAACGATAAAGGTTTTGCATGTATATTTCTTTTTATGTTGACTATCACTATTTCTGGTTTGGTTCCATTACTGGTACGATGGGATCCTTTAGCCAAAAATGGTCACTTGGGAATTGATGTAAGGTGAATAGCATGTTTGAAAATGCGCAGCCACTATATAAACCTCATCCTTTTACTGGATTCATTGGCCTTATAGGCAAGCATATTGCTTACAAATTTGTAATTTTCTAATATTCTTGAATGAATTAATTCTGAGCTCAGTGGAAACCAGCAGCACACATCTAACAGTATTTATTCTAATGGTACTTCCTGAAGGTAATTCGGAACTGGATTTAAAATAAGAATAAAAGATGAAACAACTGACAAAATAAGAATATATAAATTAAACAAATATACGACGAAAAACAATAACACAGAAACAATATTATTGAAAATGCGTCATAAAATAATAGAGTGAAGCATGAAGAATAAATGGCCGAGTGGTGCTTTAATTCAGGTCGAGCCAAGCTCATAGGTTCGATTCGTTCGATGGGAGCTAATTTTTCATCAAAAGAAAAAATCGGCATTTTAAAGTAAAAAAAAAATTTTCATAAAAGAATCTTCGAATATTATTTTTTGAAATTCAAATACCCAAAAAAAAATTTTGCGAATTTTGAAATAATAAAAAAGATTTTCAAAGATTTTTTTCACTAAAAAAAAAAATTACCTATTAATACCGAATAAAAAAATTTTTTTTTTTTAAATAAAGCAATTATATTCGTGCATTATCAAATAGTAACTGGTTAAGTCCTATGATTTTTTCGCCAGCTGTTTGCAATTCTTCAATTAAAATTCGATTCTCACGCGAACAGTTGTTATCAATAATGCATATATGAGATGGAAGTCGAAGTAGAAAATTCGCGATTGACTTGCAATTTTCTTAAATGACTTATTTCAGAATGCATGAAAATTGATTTTGCAATTCTGGATTTCCTGGATTATTGAAATTCTTCCGGCTAAATGTTTCTCATACGAAAACCTACCTGAATAACTGTTCAATTTTCAAAAAGAAGTTGAAAAAATCCATTAGATAAAACTCAAATATGTGAAATCTTTCGTCGATTCTGATCTGAAGATTGCAAATTTGAATTCTCTAATGAATGGCAACACTATCCTCATATTTCAACATGATTGATTGCATTTTTTCGTCGAGAAATCAAAGTAGTGAAATGAACATGATTTGATGTCAATCTTTTAGAATTTCTTTTATTTCTTAAAATTTTTCACTAAAAAAATTCAACATTTCATAAAATTATTTACCAAGAATTTCTCACAAAATCCAAGAATTTTATCCTTATTTAAGCAATAGAAAATTCTATAATATAATTAAAGAATGCGTTTATCCTTATTAAAAAATCAAAAACAGTTAAAATATATTTAATACATCAATGTATAATAATTATAATAACGTAAAATTATATCTGCTTGATTCATTAAATTTATTTTTCATAACATCCACAATAACATCTCAATAATTATATCCTTTATCAATTATATCAACATATCTTTTAATGAAAATTATCTTTGATATTTCTTCTTCAAGCCCGATTGCTGAGCGAAGTAGACTTCGATGGTCACAAAAATGAGGCTCTCGATCCAATGCCATTTCTGAGAGTAATAGAAACTTTTATGTAAGTTTTCACTCGCCCAAGTTCTTGCATAGATGGCCTAGTTATGCATGCATTTATAATCTCTCATAACCGTACATATTCGAGTCTTAATTCTGGTTAGGAATAATTTCAATTGAGTTGCAGCTTTTTTTAAAGAATTTGAAAAATTTAGGTTGAAAAATTTTGATTTTAATTAATACTCTGGATTTGCAATAAATCTAAAGGATCACCGGAAGTAGTAAAGCAAATTGATAAAATTATCTCTGATTAATTAATATTAATTAATTAATTAAGGCTAGCAGATAAAATGTATTTGATAACTTAATGTGATATTTAAAAGTCCAATGGTAGCTAAATGGTACTAAATAAGACTGAAATAACTTAAAAAATTGCACTTTTTCGTAATTTGAAATTTGCAGAGATATTTTGATTCAAATATATTTTTAACAATTTTTAGCAATTGACAAATAATAAAACATTTTTGATTTTTCTGTAATTTTTTTTCATATAATTTCTTAATAATTTTTTATAATTTTCATACGTATATTCAATAAAAAATTTGCAAATTTTACCAAAAATTTAGTTTTATGCGCAAATTTTTATCAGTTGAACTTTATCAGTTGATTTAGTCAGTTAGTTATCACCATTCCTGATTAGCCACCATTCCACTGGCTGCTGGTACTTTTGCCATACTTGCTGATAAAAGTATAGATGGATGGATAGCAATTATTGCTTTTTTTTTCATTCAATTTTCCTTTGTAAATGTAATTTTATACGAAAATTTTTAAATAATCATTTGTAAAAATGTTTTCTTTGAAATTTTTTTTAAAAAACCACCATAAAATTTTCTTTTTTTTTCGTTGTTGAATGCCGAGAAAATAAGACAAATGTGTTTTTCATTTTAATCGAAATTAATCGTAAGGCACTAATTGAAATTCATCGCAAAAAAATCATTTTCTTTTGTTGAAAATGAGCGGAAAATCGAAAAAAAATAAAAATATTTTCTTAAAATTTTCTCAAAATTTTATATAATTACAACAAAATAAAATAAAAAGTATTATAGGAAAGTAATTAAAAGATAATAAAATTTTGTAATAAAAAAATTATTGAAACGAATAATTAAATGAGAAAAAGTTTGGAAAACAGTTGCTTATTGCTTGTTTTTCATTGCGATGCATTTATTTTAAATATGTTTGAAATTCACCAAAAATCTTCGTTTTTCTTTTTTTTTCTAGACAAACTCGCCATAATAATGTTAATTAATCATATTAAAACGTCTTTCTTTTTCTAATAAAACGATCAAGTCAGATGTTCGACAATAATAGATTATTGCATAAACTGCAAAAATTGCACGGCAAAAAACATTCACCACAAGGGGAAATGAACATTTTGAATGAAAATTATGAAGTTTGGTGATAATTTTTGAGTTTAATGCTGATAAAAATTGCTTGTGATAAATTAAAATGAGGCTATTATCGCGAGAGAAATAATGACTGTGAAAAATATTAGAAGAGAATAAAAAAAAATACAAACAAAAATCATATCATCTTCGAAGTATAATCACCATTACTGCTTTGATTGGGTCCACTGATTATAACTATAATAGGATGAAAACATTTGCTAGAGATCACTTGCAGATAGAAATACTGATAAGATTTCCAGCATCACTCGCATTTCATTTTCCCTTTAGTGTGCTTTCTATAATGCAAGCCAAAATCTTAAAAAACAAGATTTTTTGTCGAAAAGAAAGAAAAATAGTGGTACTTCAAATACAATTAAAATAATCAAATTAAACTAAATTTAAAATATATACGTAAATATTAGGGCGAATATTAGCAAAAAAAGAAATTAATCGTAATTTGATAATAGTACTATATGACGAGGAATTAATCACTGATAACTGATAGCGAGTAGGTAAACGATGACGCAACAAATAAAAAAATGGCGAAAAAAGCGAAATTATCGAGCAAAATTATCAACAATGGTGAGCAATAATAAATTGTGATATATGGCGAAAGAAATCATTTAATGAACGCACAGAGATTAATTCTGTTTTATTTAAATTATTGGTTTAAAAAATTTAATTGCTTATTTGATTGGATCGACTTTAATTTAAAAACTTAAAGCCAGATCAATAAATTGCTTTTGTAATTGCTTACTTTTTGGCCTAATAATGACGATTGGAAGTGTCTAATCTTGTAGCCGTTGGAGCGAGCCTAACCAGTAATGGTACCAATTCTAATTCAAATAGTATGCAGTATTTCTGGTTTGCCTGGCTCCATTGATTATCATGATAAGAGGACGTTTTTTTAATCAAAGAATTGTTTCACGATAGAAGCATAGGTAGCATTGCCGTCGAATCCGGGATAATCGCTTTTTCATTTATAAATTCTCTCAAAAGACGTAAAGTACAATAAAGAATACCTCTGAAAATTCTTATATTGAATATTGAAAATATTGAAAATTCTTTGGAATAGTCCAACAATAATCAGACAAACCAAAGTAAACGATGAATTTATTCAATTATTGGTTCCAGCGGAAATTTTTTTTAAGTCATAAAATTACCGTAGTTTTCGAATAATCTGTTCAAATTGTCAAAAGCAAGCATACTGTAGGCGAAAAAATATTGTGAAAAGAATGAAAAATTGCAAATTGCTCATGAAAATATCTTTCCGGTCTATCAAAGTAGGAAAAGTTCTCCAAAAGTTAAGGATTTTTTTTCAAAAGAATTTTATATAAAGAAAAAAAATATAAAATTCATTATGATAGTTAGCATTTAACGAAAATATCGAAAATATTTGATTTAATTTTGATGGTAGAATTATTGCAGAAATTTCTTTGGTTATGATTTATGCGAAAATTTAAAAGTTTCCATTTATTTCCAATTTCATGACGGTGATAAATTTTCCTCCTTAATTTACGACAATATCACTTGCAAAACTTGTAATTGTACGTGGCGTCTCGAGAATCTCTCAACTCGATATTTCTATTTAAAAATGATCAAACGCTTCATCCTAAATAATAACAACAATATCGACAAATGAGAAAAGATGAAAGAATTTAGAAAAATTAGAAAATTCTAGATGTATGGAATGAAAAAGGTAAAACCACAAACATGGTACCAGTAAAATTACATTACGCTTAAATCAGAAAAGTCAAAGAGGAAAAAAAAAGAACAAATGGTTCCTCAAGCTGATATATATGCCTCAGCATTATTTCAAACTTTCTGTCCTTAACAATTAATCAAATCGTGGTAAATCAGTTCCTTGAAAAAATTTAAAAAAAGGAAGAATAATAATAAATGGTTTTGTTCGAGTCGAAATTGCAGTAAATTTTGGTATAAAAAATCTACGCCGATCGTTAAAAAAACTTATTCTTTAGAATGAATGGATAAATTTTCAAATAATCACTTTTATAAGTAATTTACTTTAATTTATTTCATTAATTCTTTTTAGTTTTACCTTTTTTAGGTTTTGTTTTATTGCGTCGGACCGAGCAGCTTGGAGACATCTTACCTTTGTAGCTAGCGGAACCAGCCTAACCAGTAATGGTGAGAGCAGTTAGAAGAAGAAGGTTTTGCTTTATTTATATTCTTAGATTTATCAGAAACGAACCTACTTTTGCCATTTATCACCATTGTAATAAAAGTCAAAATTATGCCACCGTGGGCATAAATTATCGTTGAAATTGTCTTAATCCTTTTAATACCTCTTTACAATCGTTTACTGAGATTACTTCCCTTTAAATCCCCTTAAAATTCGTTCAGCTCCCTAAAAAATTTTTATATTCCCACATTTTAATAGTTTTTTCTAAACATAAAAAATCGTCAGCTACAAATTAGAAGTTCTGGTCTTACCTATGTTGCAATCTCGCTTTTCTCTTAGAATGGGCTTATTGCCTAGGCGGCCTCGACTGAAGTTCTACAAAAATTCACTTCTCCCAATGTCATATTTTCCCAATCCCAAATAACATCAATTTTTCTGGTTTTTTTCCTCAGAGATTCGCTATTTTATAGTACTTAGAGAGCCAAATATATTTTGAAAAATAACAAAGCAATGCATTTTAATGAAAACTATCAATTATTAAATTATCAAACTTAATGAATATTTAAAATAAATAATTCAAACATACAAATGCAACATTTTAAAAATTCGAAGAAAAACGATCTTTATTTACCAAAATGTCGATCAATCGCGATTCGCGATTTCAACTCACACAAGAGGAAATCATTTTCGTATCGACGTTAATATTTTTCGCTTAAAAAAAAGTCGACCAAACAGTCGACCCGAAAAAAAAAAAGCGAAAAGCGAATATATTTGCAATAATTCCAGCAAAATGCTGCAATTCTTTTGCTTAAAAATGCTTATTTTCAACGATTCCTTATAACCTCTGTTCTTACAGAATCTCAACAAGATTAAAATAAAATAAAACTGCTTGAAGTTCCAAGATTTCTAAATTTTTAATTCTCTCTGTAATCATGCGAATAAATTTCTATAATGGATATATCAAAAAGCAATTTCTTTGTGTGTATTACTTATACGTGCAAAAATTTTTAAATTCCTCCAAAAATCCAACCTAAAACGAGTTTTCTTTTCTTTTTCAATTTTTATATTGAAAAAATTGAAAAATATAAGTCATTATGATTTATGATAGTAAACTGATCAATCTAAACTAATCAAAAACTTTTTTCTTCTCTTCGAGAGAGAAACATTTGTTAATTAGAACTGAAGCAAAATAAATGATCGAAAATGGAAAACAAAACAGATTTAGAGTAAAAAATAAATTACGATGAAAAAATTTTTAAACAATGAAAAAATGAGAAAAGGCTTAAGATTTGGCCATAAACATTTTCAAATAAGAAAGCTGAAGGGCACGCTCTAAATCAGCTAACTGAGCAACAGCACCAGTAAGTTCAACAGCATGGCCAGCATAACCTGTTCCTATAAAATCAATTATTTAACCCATAAATATCACAAAAAATAAAAATGGAAAACCTTACCTAACCATTTTGAACCAACAACTTAACAACTTTGAAGTATCTACAAGATTTTTCTAAATATTTTCAAAAATTTCGAGGTCAATTTTTCTAATCATTCTATTCTTTAATTCAATTGAAGATAACAAAGATTTCCAAAGAATTGAAAGATGGAATTATTTACAAAAAAATAAATAAAAGCTCGCCTGTATTAGATCGTTTAGCTCCATAAACAACTTTACCATCAAATTCATCAACGGGTACAACCATATCCGTTTCAATCTGCGGAATCGTCACACCGAGGTGTTCTTCGATTTCTTCCAGCAACTGTAAAAAAAAACCAAAATATAGCAATTTTTTTAATCGACAGTTATATTTATCTACCTTCACTTATCCTTTCTTTAAATTGATAGAATTGAAAATTGATTAATGGTGAGAAGAGATCTGCATTTATCTTCTTAACGAAAAGAAGAAAAAATTATCTTCATGAAGCGAAGAAATACCTTCATTTCGTCGTACCAGATAGCACATCCTCGTTGAGTAACCAAAGCTGTATTGTGGCACTTCAAACCACGCGAGGCGCATTTATGGTACCACACCTTTTCCTGATATGTAGAGACAAATGAAATAGCTAGCCCCATCCTGAAATTGAATCAATAGTAATCTTGAAATTTAAAAAATTTAATTTTAACAATTATAATTATGGATTGAAATTTTCTCCAATAGCTCTATATTATTGTGGTTATTAATTAAACCTCTCAGCTCGACCAACTCGTCCAATTCGATGCAAATAATTTGCCTTATCATCCGGCAAGGTGACATTTATCACTAGAATTTTACTGCAATTCAATTACAAAATTAAAAGTTTTGAATTGCTATTAATTTCAAAAAAAATGGGCGAATTCGGAATATTTTACTGCAAAAAGGGAAGATGGAAAAGAAAAAAATTGCAAGTACCAAATGGAACACCTCGAACATCAATACCACGAGCAGCAACATCGGTGCAAATCAAAAATTTTACCGTTCCTTTCTGAAATGAGAAGCAATCAATTACCAAGTGATTTTTTTTTTTGAAATTCACAAGATGAAGCAGAAAAAAAAATAAAATTTCTGCTTCAAAACATACCTTAAATAATTCGAAATTTCGCGTTCTTTCCTCTGGTTTTCGATCGCTGTGTAGGCAAACGCAAGTTATATCTATAATATTTTTTCTTGCTTATATTCCGAATAAACAAAAAATAGCTGAAAAAACTTGCATTACCTGAAGCTCTTCGTTGCAAAAACGACTCTAAATTATCACAGTCAAGCTTTGTGCGACAGAAAATAATTCCTTGATCCATATTATGTTGCTTGATTGCCTAAATTTTGATTAACCTATTGCAATTCAAAGTATGCATTTAGATAGACTTTAAAATAATAAAATGCCCCAAAAACAAATTTCAGCCAAAATAAAATTATTTAACCTTCAGCACATATTCGCCTTTCAATATTTTCGTAGCTTCTGATAATGTCTCCGGATACTCACTCCCAGGACGAATCTCATCATTTGCATGAATACCATCAGTCTAAAAATTGTTCCAATAAATAATTGATAACTCTAATTCTATAACAATGAATAATGAAACTTCATTTAATTCAAATAATCCACAAATAAACTTTTGCATTCTTTCAGTATGTTTCCAGTATGTTTTCCACTGGTATCGCAAAGGCCTGAGAAATCTAAAAGATTAAAAAAGAGGCCTAATAGAAAGAAAAGATGCAAATCTTTCAGCTATTTATTTAACGAGTGAAAGAAAAATTAGAATGATCCAGTGGAAACTAAAAGGGATTACAGGGGAAAAGGAAAGGGACTAAAAGGGGAATTTATACAAATTTATACAAGTGATAACTAAAAGGGACAAAGAAACAAAAAATGGTATTTTAACTAATAATGGTATTTTAAATGGTATACAAAATATGTGCCACCACAATATTAAAATTTCGTTTAATCTTCTTGCATCACCTGTATCCTTTCGTGCTTTTTTAAGCGAATCCACATTCGATCAGACTGTGCATCAACTTTGCAGACAACATGATGCACTGTATCGGGTACAGAATCTTGACCTTTTAAATCAACCCACTGTGGGAAATGCATCATTCGATCCTGCAAATAATAAAATTTGATTTCAAAAACGAACTGAAGATTTGAACTATTACCGTATGAAATTATCACTTACAGCCATTTTTTTGACGTCAAAATTATGGAGAGTAGCAGAACAAACAATCATCTGAAGACGCTCCCCCGTGCAAGTAACTTTTGGTAGCGCAGCATGAATCCGTTCAATGGTAGGCAAATGAGTTTTGCCAGATACTAAAGAATCCTAAAAAATACTAAACAAATGAAGAAGGTAGATGTATTACATTCGGAGCCGACATTCAGAAGACATTTCACAAAAGAATGATCTAAAAAGAAAATAGAAAAAAATGGCAAATTTAGTACCAAAAGTTTATGAAAAAAAGAAAATAAAAAGAAATATAAAAATTTAATAAAAATATAAAAATACAAAAATTTACCGCCTCGTCCAGGATGAAAAACCGCACATTTGATAGCAATATTTTACCGCTTTGAATAAAATCTTCTAGTCTGCCAGGAGTACAAGTTATTATGTCTACACCCGCCGAAAGCATTTTAATTTGTTCACCTACTGGCATACTTCCGATTACTAAAGCATTTCTGCAACAAAAGAAGAAATAACAAATTTCTAATGCTTTTAATAATCAATAAGCCTGAACAAAAATAAATCAAATTTTTCAAACAAATTTTTTTTTAAAGCAATTAGTTCAAATTTATTCGAAATAACAGTCCACAATAGCTTTATGGGTTTATTCATTTTACTCGTCTGGAAAATTACAAATTCAAGATAGTTCAAAACTTTCTAAGCCCTTTATTACGATTTGAAAAAATGTTTTGCCAGATTATACCAGATTATACCTGATAAATGGTTTCTCCAGATATTTTTTGAAAACTTCAATCTGAGCATTTGTTTGTTCAGCTAATTCTTTCGTCGGTTCAATTATAATACAGCTTGGAGAATTCATATCTACTGGTTTTGCACGAGAGCTAACATTCCCAGAGTTGGGAGAATCAACAACACATTCTCGAGAGGCTTTGCTAACTGGCGTATATTCCTGAATTATTTTGGAGAACTTCAGAATCGTTATTCGATACGAAAAAGCCAGATGGAAATTCTCGAAGCTAACTACTTCATGAAGAAAAAATGGTAAAAAAAATCCAGGCAATACGAACCTGCGGAAGATGTTTTAGATCCTGATCACCATAATTGAAGCGTATTTCAGCATTCTGCAAATAAACTGCCTCAATTTTTGAAAAATGTTATATTGCAATTATAGCGCAAAATTACAAAATTATAAAATGATAATCTTGGGAATCACCCATTTATTTTTCGAAAGAAATTTTACTTTAAGAACAACAGCTGGATAAAGAGGAACATTTTTTAATTGATCAGGTATATCAAAAGCTTTTCCGAATCGTTCACCGTTTTTCGAGAATGAGATCGTATAATTATCCAAATCAAGCAAACATCCAATAGTATCATTTAAAGTGAACGAACGACCATAATCAGTGAACTGATTATTATTGCTCTTTTTCCCAGTCCCACCAAATCCGAAACCATATTTATCCTTTCCTGTAACAAATGAAAAAAATATAATATAGTAATATAAGAGAGGCAAAAATGGAAAACAACCAATTAACTTACCAAGTTCAAGAGATGCATTATGTGAAGACCACCCGAGACGACAAAGTCCATCATCTGTTACTATTCCTTCATAATAATATTTACCTAAACAAAAAATTTAAAATATTCATTAAGCAATCCTAAATAAAATCCTGTTCAAAACAATTATAAATACAAAAAATTAATAAATTTATACCTGAACCGAAAACACCATGTGAGCAACGAGCACCATTCCACGCTTTTGGATCTCTACTTTGGCAAAGTAAACCATCAGGATCAATAGCCAGATTATCGTTTCTGTCATATGCATTTAAGCGCCACTTTTCATCTGCAAAATAGAAAGTTCGAAACTTCACAAGAATTCCAAAATAATTCCAAATTCCAAGCTTTAATATTTAATATTTTTGTTTTCAATACCATTATTAATTAATGATTCTTTAAAAAAATTCAAGCACGTTTCCATGAATAAAATGAATTAACTTAAAAAAATAAACGTACCAGAGATGAACGATGATTTATGCACTTTACCAGCTAATTGATCTCTCAATGATTCCCAAACAATTTGTAAAACTGGTAAGCAAAAAGCACCCGTTTTACCACTACCAGTTTCAGCAGCCTTAAAAATTTCAATAATTTCAATAATTATAAATGAAAAATTAATTGAAAACGGCAATTTACAAACCATTAGTACGTCACCGCCGCCAAGTATCGCAGGGATCGCTTCAGATTGAATATCTGTAGGCAACCTAAAAATTTTGATTACAAGAAAGTTTCTAAAGGAAATTTAAAAAAACAAAAGGTGTTTAAAGAGCAGTTTAAATTAGGATAGAAATTTAATCACATGAAATAATTTTCGACTGTGATTACGATCCAAAATATGGTTATCATTTTTCATTAATCAGTTATCATTAGATCAACAAATGAGAAAAAATAAACAACAAATAAATTTAAGCAACGCATCAAATAAGGTATATAGAAAAATGATAAGTATTTAAACGTGGAAAACTCACGTCCAATCCATCTCAACGACAGCTTTTCCCAGTTCTGGCAACATACCCAATTCTTCAAATGCCGTCATCGCAAAATATTTAAAAATATTGCTCTTTCTAAAATTTTCTAAAATTTAAATAACTTAATTAATTAATTATATAGGGATTTCGCGATAAAGAATTTTTAAAACACAAAGCATTTCAATTATTGTGAAAAAATATATATATAAAATATAAAATAAATCAATAATAATAAATACTAAATAAATATAAATATTTTATAAAATATTTATTTTAAAAACCAAAAATTTGTATGCTAATAGTTCTACTCATATCTTACAATAACTATCACAGTCATCATTATCATCTGTTATTCTTATTATTATCAATCATTTTAATATATCATATCACTTTTTTTAGGAAATGATTTGATAAGAATTGATTAAACTGAACATTAAAAAATTCGATTAATTTTCCGCACCATTTCTGATTCTGAAATTTAAAAAATTTATAGAGAAAAATAAAAGATTTTCAAAAAATAGGAATAAAAAATCGAATTAAAATAAAAAATTGATAAAATTAAATAAAAAATGTAATGGAAATAAACAATAATAAATAAATCGAATATATAAAACAAATAAATCGAAATAAAAATTATTCTAATAAATAAAATATTACTAATTTTGATAATTAATTGTTGTAAAAAATGAAATAAAAAAGAAAAATAAATTTATAAATTTATATTTATCTATATTTATAAATTTAATTTATTTATTTATAAACAAATTTATAAATGGAAAAAAAAATAAATAAATTTTAGAATCAAAATTTTTATTTTAATTCTAAAATTTTTATTTTTATTTTATTTAACTTATTTTATTTTATTTAACTTATTTTATTTAACTTTTTTATTTTTTTATTTTTTAATAAATTAACTAAAAAAAGTCGCAAAAAATTAGTATAATTTTTGACGGAATTTCGAAAACCCTACTAAAACCAATATTTCATCCCCCATTTCCCCATTTAAAAAACATATAAAATATATAAAAATAAAAATACAAAAAAATTATGAACGTAAATAGAGCTTTTATGTTTACATTTGAATATTAAAACGAATAATGGAAAAGCAATTTATCGCTATCTTGCAGCTTCATATTCCAATCGTTGTCTTCATACGAGGAATAGAAGTTGTATTAGGCAAATTGCTTATAAAGCTTTTTTTTTGGATTTGGTTTGTCATCATTGAGTTATCAGTTATTGATTATCAGTTATGTTGATAGCAGTGACCTCAGTTTGTAGCTGAGAAATATTGCTGGAGCAGTGAAATACGGAAATAAGGGAAATGTCAACATCGTATGGTAAATCATTAGCGAAGGGCTTGAGAAAGGATTAAAGAATATTTATCATTAACCTTATTGTTTTATTGGTATTATTGGTTAGGAAAGAGGTGTGACAGTGAGAGAGGGCGAATAACAACGAACACCGATGGAGCGATAGGAAAAGGAAGGAAGGAAATCTTTTTCTACGAGATTTTGTAATTTTTACGAGGTTTGAGCTCGAAATTTGAATTTGACCGCACTTATTAACTTATTACCGATATTCGTTTATTATCGATTAACTGCGTTGTTCTTAGAGAGGAAAATGGTATACAAGCGTATGGTAGAAATTGGACGCATTGTTTATATTGCCAATGGTGCGAATAGTGGTAAATTGGCGGCAATCGTTAATGTTGTTGATGGAAATCGGGTAAATTTTATTGTCAATTTTATATTACTCGCATATTTTCTTTTTTTGGTGTTCATTAAATGAATTAGTGGCGGAAAATTCATTGGTAGATAAAAAAATTTGCAAAAAATTAAATTTAAAAAAAATAAATTCATAACTAATTGTTTAATAAAGATACCATAAAGTTTACTTGCAGGTTTTAAATGGAGTGGAGTGGAACCTGCAATTAGTAAACTAGTTGATTAGCTAACTAGTCCTGCGGTTTTTCAATGAAACGAATATGTGTAGTGCGAGTTGAGGGAGTATACAAATATAATATAGTGTAACGGGATCTTAAGGGAATATATTGTCGAATTTAGGAAAATATTTATATTTTGTGACGTCTTAATGCAAAAATTTCAGAAAGCATTTTTTAAGGGACCATTCACTCATCCTAATATACATATTTTCTAAATAATTAAAATAGGCTTTATTATCCAGATATCAATTGATAATCGAGTGGATTTTCACATTTAATATCTTGTATGGTTGAATTTTCTTGTATTTTATTGTTTATTTTTAGGCCCTTATTGATGGTCCGTCATCAGGTGTTAGACGATGCGTTATGAACTTCAAGGATTTGCGGTTAACGAAATTTCGTATTCCGTTGAGGTATGATATGCGCACAAAAAGTGTTAGAAAAGCTTACAATGAGGCAAAGATTAATGAAAAATGGCCGAAAACTCAGTGGGCACAAAAAATTGCCAAAAGAGCATTGGTAAGTTGTTTCAAAGTTTACGAAGCATGACAAAATTATTCATTTCCTAATTTTCATTTTATTTTTATTTTTCTGTTTTTTCTTAATATAATTTTTTTGAAATATTAACAAATTTATTTGCATGCATTTTAGACTATTTTATAATCGATAAATACTAATGGTGTATTCTTCGTTTGAAAATAATTTATATAGAAAAATTATTGGATTATTTTCAGCGAGCAAACATGAATGATTTTGATCGTTTTAAACTTATGCGTGCCAGACAACTTCGGAATAGACTTGTTCGTATCGAAATGGCCAAATTACGTAAAAAGGCAAAGGAAGCTAAAGTAAAAGCATGAAACATATGCTGCAAAAATTGTTTTTAAATAAAAATTGTTTATTGAATGAAATAATTGAATGAAATAAATTTTGCTCGCTTTAATATTTACATTTTTAGATTTATCATAGTCTTTTATTTTGTGCATTTTAAATAGCAAGAAATATTTTTGAAAAATGCTGAAAAATAGGCTTTCTTTGCAGTAAAGAAGCTAAATTTTGTTCTTTTGGTGAAACATCAGAATGGTAGGAAAAAAGGCAATTAAATATTAGCCAATTTGTAATCTAAGCTAACTAACTGGTGTTGTAGATATTGTTAAATTAATTTAAAAAATTTTGTAAATCCAAATATAAATAGGCGCTTGTTACTGGTTTAGTGAAATAGTTTAAGCAAAGATTTTCATCATATTATCCATTTATAGATTCAGCATAAATGTTATGAAAGGAATTATTGAAAATAATGTTTTCCAATTCATAACTGATATTGAATCATTGGACAATTCAGCAGATGAGCAACATTTCTTAATAAAATGCTTGATGCCAAAGATATTGCTAACAGGTTCGTCTATACACTGAAAGCACTATTATTATTACTTCGTTAAGTGAGAAAAAATAGTAAATACATTTGAAGAATAAGGAGAGAGAGGGTATATTGAGGATAGAAAAGTATGCTTACTGTATTGTTTCGGTCCTTTTCGCATTCTCCGTTGTAATTTGAACATCGTCCTTCAACTGTGAATTGCTTTTCGAGACTTTCTTCTAAGTCTTGCATCCTATTCCACGTCATAATTTTAACACAAGCATGGATCCTTAAAGGTTTGCATTCCACTATCTAAACATTCATTTTTTGCCTTGCAACATGATTCGCAAGTGAACTATGCACCTACAATTTCTTTTCCTGCTTCAACGATCCTTTAGAATATATATTACATTTAGAATAATGCTTGGAACGGATAAAGAACGAATGTAAATTTCTATCTTTAAAACGAACTCATTTGGCGAAATGTTCAAGGAAATATGTTTTTTTCGCGAATTACTTGGTAAAATCTTTAAAGAATTTTCAAAAAATTACTATTGTTGGCATATTTTGCATTTCGCATTACGCAAGTATAGCAAAACCTTAAAGTGAAAAAATTATGCAAAGAAATAAGAAACATATCTTCGCATCGCTCATTTGTGGTGAAATTCGATCTCGTATGATATATTGATAGCATCGAAATGTGGAACTTCGCCTCAACATTAGTGTTAAAATTAATAGAACTGATTGATAAAGCTGCATTTCTTTTAAATTAACACATTTTCCAGTTTATTCTACGACTGAAATTTTTTCAAAAATTAATTTATTATTTCAAGGAAATATCAAGGAATCAAAGAAATCGCCGTTCGATTAGAATATAGGCGAAATATAAAATTTTTTTGGATGCTTATACTTCGTCAGCATAAAATTTAAGATAACGGAAGATAACGAAGATAACGAAAAGCGATTTGTTAAACAAAACTCATGCATGCCGGCAACGAACAGAAAAAAATAAAAAAATGTTGATGAGAAATCTGTTTGGTACCACGAATATATTTGAAAATTCTTTGGCGGAGGTGTCTTATTTTAACAGCTATTATAGGCAGCCTAACCAGAAAAAAGAGAATATAGAGCAAAGTACCACGAACTACTAATTACCTAACATAATAAGCAGGTTATTTATACAGAAGAAAACTATGTTTATTCCACGACAGTAAAGATTAAATAAAATATAACTTGAATATGCAATATTCGAATCTGTCTTATCCATTTCGCTACAGCAATAAAATAATCCAGCGAAATTATTACATGAAAAATTCTAAGTAATAGAAATGTCCCTCCCCTCTCGCCGATGATTTGAAAGACTTTATTATCTAATTAATCACTTGTCCATAAGCATAAATTATAAACGAAAGGATTAATTTATCAGTGATTTAACTATTTAGACTTTTTCAATGATAAGGTTTGATAGGATGATAATTTTTACCGTCATCGTGATAATTCACCACTTCTGTTAGACTATTTTCTTTGGCCAAAGGAAGGTCATTTTCGCTAAAAGATGATTAGAGAAGTTAAGGTGAAGCAGCACCACTATTTTAAATGATAACTTAAGCAGTACATCACTCAATTATATGGCCAATTGGCCTTAGAAAGAAGACATTAAAATAAATCCAATATTTGGCCGATTGGACTTCAACTATTACGCTGAATGAAATTCAATAGGCTCGATTCGATAAAATTTCTATAAATTTTTCATGAAAAATTGTAAAAGCGATTGAATTTCTTAGCAAATATCAATTATTATGAACCATTTTAATAGAACCATTATTTTTTTTCATGATAATAAATGAATTTACAAGCAAATGTTTATTTCATTGATTTTATTGATGCATGACACAAGTGCATGGAGTGCGAAAGACTTAATCCAGCATTAAGGGACTTAAACAAAAGTAATTATGAGGTTCACCAGAGACGATATTTTTCGAGCCCTGGTGCAATTACTCCGACTTCTCATCGCCTGTGGCTTCGTGCATTTTATCTTCAGCTATAACTCGGCTGCTCGGCCAAACTAAACTGCTTCAGAAATCCTAAAATGCACGAAGAGACAATAAAACCAATGCTAAATCTAATATTTTAATTGAAAAAAAAGGTAATCAAAAATATATAAATGAATTTTTCATGCAATACAAATATTTGTATTATATTTTTACAACGTTCGGGAATGACAATTGAATAAAGCAATTTTCATTTTTCATCAATGATTCCCCAATAAATTATTTGAAGCAAAAATCGAATAAACTAAATTTCATTCCATAATTTCTAAATAAAAATAAATAATTAGAAATGTAAATGCAAATAAAATATAATAAAAAATTCGCGGTTAATTATAAAAATATAAAAATTAAATATAAATGAAATAAATATAATATAAAAATTAAATAATAAATTTAGATAAAATTTTCCAGTTTTTTTCGCTTTATTTTTATTACTTTTTATGTTAAACTTTTGGTAATTTTAATAAAAATTTTGATAAGTATTTCGGGTGTCGATTCGGAGTTCAACCATCGATCAGCGGAGTGAATTTTTGATAGAAAATGTGACGCTTGGGAATTCATTTATAATCTCATCTCTCAAATGCCTCACTTATCAAATGGTTCTCAGTAGTTGGTGGAAATGGGGCCAAAAGAAGAAATAGCCCTCAGGAAAGCTGCTTCCGAACAACCATTAATTTATAAAATGATGGTTATATAAAGGAAAATAATTTACAAAGGTATATTCTAATCAAAGAATTTTTAGATTTCTGGAAAATTTTAAGGGATTTACCGATCAATGTTAGTCAAAAACAATTGCTGAAGTAAATAAAATTTAAATAAAGGATAAAATAAATTTTGAAAGTTCACAAATAAACGATAAAATTACAATGAAAATTATCGTAAAATAATTTTTACAACTTTTAATCTTTAATAAATAAATTATATTAAATAAATTTAATGTATTATAATATATTAAATATATTAATATATTTAATATATTAATGTATTTAAAAAATAAATTTTTTAAAAGTTTTTATCAAAATATTTTAAATTATTTTATACTAAAATGAAGTTTTGCAGTTGCCCTTAGGCATTTATCTCATCGAATGGCAATGCTTGGCAATCCTAGTTTTACACAAGCCGCCAGTGGAACTCAGCCAAATAATAGAAGAAATGAAAGTTTTTTTTAAATAGGATTCAAATTACGGAAGAAATCCGATCTATCGAGTTTAACATCAATAAATGTTTCTAAAAATATTCTGTAATGCTTTATCATCATTTATCATCATTTATACGTCAGATATTCTGGTATGTTCTAATATTTATTTGAAACCAGAATAGGTCTTTTTTAAGAGTCCTCACCATTTCTGGTTAAACTCGCTCCACTGGCTTGTCACATTGGACAGTACAGTAAATACGCCAGTGAATCCCTTGGCGATAGAAATACAGGTGAGTCACCAGCATCATCCGGAATATAGAATACAATACTTCGAATCGCAGCCAACTCTCTCTACGATTCCGGTGGAGAAGATCCTTGGATAAGAAAGGAAGGCTCTTCCTCAATCTCTCAGCATCCGAGATTGACGATGGACTTACACAAAGGGGTATGGGAGAGGGGCTTTTTCTTTATATCAAATGTTATGGCATTATCCACTGATAAACTATGTTTAGCAGCACATAAATAAGGTTAATTAGCCAAAAATTTCGTTTTCTGGCTAAATCGAAGAATCAGATTTTTTTTAGCGCTTTTATCCATGGTTTTTGTGGATTTATCCTGCAAGTTTAATATGAATTACGGTAAAATAAAGTTATTATAAATGTTGTAAATTAAAATTATAAATTAAAAATCATTTATTCCGTACAAGTGAGTCACAAGCGCCACTCGGATTTTTTAATGAACCACTCGCATGGTATTTATTTGAATTATATTCCATTTTTCACGAGTTAATGTAAATGTTAACCTATTTAAAAGGAAATCTATTTAAATAAGTACCAACAGCGCAAAAAAACTTGAAAAAAAGCGATTTAAACCTATCTGAAACACGTTTATTTATAATATTTGTAAATAAAAAATAATTTAAAGCAAATAAAGCCATTTTATCGCCAATATATCAACCTTAAATAAATTTTTCTAGGGTTTTCCCAAGGCAAAAATACAATTCAACCTCCTCACCATCATCCATCCGTGGTACTTTAGACTGTGCAGAGCTTAAGCAGCTGCTGTTCATTAGCGCTAAAGTTGAAAGTATTTATTGACTATTCGAAGAAAATTCGGAAAAAAACTTAGCCGCATGCATGTTACAGCTTGGCACGGTAACCTTAAATTCTTTAAGCTTACATGTGAAAAATAGAAATTCATGGAAAAAAAGTCCATTATTCCATTTTACATGTTCATTCCACAACACAGTAAAAATAAACATATAAGAAAGAGGCAATTTTTGTGCTAAATTTAGGAAATTTTCAATGGAATACGAGGGGAAATAAGTTTTAACTAATTTTAAAATTAAGGAATCTTCGCACAAAAAATTTGCATGAGACCGACGCACTCGTATTTTATTTGTAAGTGAATGTTCTCTGGCGGAGCGATAGTCAATTGAACCAGCTAAACCAGAAATGATGAGAGGTAGGAAAAAAATTGTGCCCAACCTGAGATATAAAAATATAGTTTGATTATCAGATTATCAAAAAATTAATGAACCCCTCTAAATCTCTTAATATCGACAGATCTTTGCCAAAATTGCACCATATCATATTTTAGCTTAAATTTCGGATATAGGAATTGATAACGATAAACTAGAAAATGGATTTGCTGTTGTGAATATGTATTGGAATTCAAAAGCACCAACCAGCTGGAATAACAAAGTATTCATAACGATTGATGAGCACCATTTTTTTTACGTTTGAAGCTTCGGCTATTGTTATTATTTATGATTATCATTATTATTGATATTTTTTAAAAATAATATTTTCCACTTATTTTATTGTTTTAATGTGTCATTATTTTATTTCATTATCATTTTATTTAATTTATTAAAAAGGCTAATATTAGTTTAAAAAAAAATTGAAATTCAACCAGTTTTCCAAGCAGTTTTTTAAAAAAATTAATTTTTTAATTATTCGTAATAAAGACAAAAAGCAAATTTGGCATTTTAGACTTAGGCATTTATTATTTGATATTGAAAACCAATCAAGCAGCGCGGCAAGTGCCCTATGCTTGTATTATTGATAAATAATAAAACAAAATAACAATGATAATAAAATAATAAATAAAATTGGTGATAAAAAAAAAGAAAATTTGACAAAAATATGATAATAATGTAAAGATAAAATAAAGAGGAGTTATTAAATAGTACAATTCGAAGTAAATATATTACTTACATAAACGAATCCATAAACGAATGATAAAAATCTAAATTTCAAACTTTCTGCACAATGTGGACTTTTTAAATAATGTAAATATGTAATAATAATATTATAAATGATATTATGATAATGATATCTAATTTTTTTAAAAAAACTAAGGATATCATGAGTCCTTAATTTATTTTTACATAGATTTTTGTAATTTTAATTTTAGCCTATTAGATCTAGCTGGGTCCAAGTTTAATTTAATTTAATTTATTTAAGTTTAATTTTCTTTAATAATCTGCAACTTGCCATTACAAAACTTATCAGAACCCAACGAAATATTTTTCTAGTCATCTGATAGGAGAAATCTGTCATTAAAAAATAATGCGATTAATGAATGAGTTCATTCAATGTTTAGTGTTTAATATTCCATTCCTAACATTATTTTTTAAACATTTTCATTATAAATCATTTTATAAGGAGATAAGATATAACGTGGATCAAAGATACGTTTGATATGTTCAGCCATTTTAATTTCATATCCCTTTCCAATATTTTTATACGGTCGTCTTTCCTGACCAATACCATGTTCTGCACTAATACTTCCACCATGTTCAACTACCCATTCACATAAGAATGGATAAAGTCTGAAAGATTGGTTAATACGAATCGAAACCAATTCAGAAATATTTATAATTAAATTTTTAAATATTAAATATTTAAGCAGAACCATTACTTAAGAAATTTCGGTAAAAAGACCTACATAGCGGATAGGAACCAGATAAATTTATATTTAGTCAATTAATTTTTATCTTCTCGATTATACCAAAATGTTTGGAAAGAAGAAGTTGAAGAAAATAGAAAATAGAATAGAAGTAGAAAAAAGTTGCAGATCAGTTCTCCCCAAACATTTTGAGCAATTTATGTCTAAAACCATTTCAGTGTGTTAAGAAAAATGGTGAAAAATTCAAGCGGTGTTGGCGGTTTATTTATATTTCTGTCGCCAAGTGATTCCCTGGAAAAAGTAATTTCCCATCTTTATAGTGTTCTGTAGAAGTAGCTTAGCTAGAAAAACTGAATGAGTAATGAAAAATATGAAATAAATTCTTCATTTTATATGTTCTTCAAAATCATAATTGATTTCTTGTATTTTATATTATTCTATTATTTTATTTATATATTTGTATTTATCTGTTATTTCTTAAAGATTGTTTCTTTTTTGAAATTTAAAAAAAATACTTGGCATTAATCTCCGGTGAATACTGTTTTGCACTGACATTCACATGACAATCACCATCGGCCATATGTCCAAATGTAATAACTCTTTTAGCTAGTGATCCCAGCCTCTGCTTGATTATATCAGATAATACAAAAAAATGTTTTAAGGGAAGTGATATGTCGTGTTTGAATACAAATCCATCGTGCAATGGTGCCAATGGCAATGTTTTCCTTAATTTCCAAATATAAGTTGCTTCTTTCTTATCTGCAGCCTGAAAAATTGGTTAAATATTGTATAATCAAATATGAGTTGTATAATGAGTTTTAGTTACTGTTTCAAAAAAATAAAAAAAGAAAAAATATAAATAATATATATTATTATTTATATTTTAAATATAAATAATACATACATATTTAGCAATTGCAGAAAATCTAATGGAAATATAAAAATTGTTCAGAAAATTTTAATAAAATTCAGAAAAAAAATTAAAATAAGAATTATTAAGAAATTATTATTCAAAAACACCTGAACTCCGTCGACTGCTAGCCCTTCATCAATAATTTTGCACATGAATTTTTCAATTTTTTCCTTATCATGCTCTTCATCACTTCCTAAAATTAATATGATGGAGTAAAAAAGAGTAACGAAAAAATATAAATTAAATTAAGGTAACATATAAAAATTATATATTGACTTATAAATAAAAAAAAATGAAAGTTGTTTGAAATAAAAACAAACCCATTGTCTCAATTATTATATTAAAAGGCGAGTGAGTTTTTAAAACATTTTTCAAATTTTCATTCTCCTCCAAGCAAATCATAGACTCATGGTCCATCAGTTCAACAGCAGATAAAATTTCACAAAGTTCATTTTGGGCTGCCCGGAGAATTTCCAGACAAGAATTAGGAGAATTTGCACCTAAAATGACCAACAGAAAACATGGTTCATTTGATAAACTAAAAATTTATGAAATTTATACTGATAAAACTTTATTTATTTCGGAAGTCCATCGGATAATTTTTTTCGCATTCAGCTAAACTATTGTAAATAGTTGAATTATAAATAATGAAATACAAATATTGCAAAAGAATTCGAAAACGAACCAATCATTGTTACTTGTATACTGTTAGGCCTTGGCACAACAGCCATTATGATCCGAGTTATTATACCCAGTTGACCCTCAGAGCCGACGAAAATTTGATGAATGTGCAAATTTGTATTATCTTTCCTTATTTTGGAGCCAAATTTAACAATGGATCCTTTTTCATCTGCTAATACCTTAAAATTCTAAGGCATTCTAAGGCAAAAGAAAGTAAAGCCTATGTTATCATTTATTCTGTATCACGACACCAAAGAAATATTTCGTCGCACTTATATGAAAAGTGAAGAATTTTTTTTGATTTTTGATTATGCACCTGCTGATCAAAATCCAAAATTAAATCAATGAAGAGTGGATCAGCTGTGACACGCATTAATGTTAGTTTAGGATAGATTGAATACTCAGTAATAGATTAAATAAATTATATCAAATCCATCGAGCAATGGTGCCAATGTAATAGATTAACTATTAGAGCGAGACCCCTTAGGCAATAACAATCAACTTACAACATTTAAACCAACGATACGATTATGTAATGAACCAAAACGAAGATGCCGTACACCACCAACGCCTGTGGAAACATTTCCCCCAATAAGACAAGATCCTCTGGATCCCAAATCGTATGGCATCATGAAACCATAAGTAGCTAAGCGATTGTCTACATCTTCCATAATCATGCCAGCATCACATTCAAGTATGCCTAAATAAAGCTAATGATATACTATAAATACAATATCATTCGCATTTTTATCGATTTTTTAACTTATCATTTGAAAAACATATGCACCATAGAACTACAAAAAATACAACAGAATATTACAAGCTTAATAAAATTTAATTAATTTTCTATAAACCAAACTATAAAGATTTTTTCAAAATTTTTTGTCAAAAAAGATTTTTCTAACAATCTACAAAATAAAGCCAATCATTTTAGGTGAATAACTATTACTGAATGAATGATTCAATTAATAAAGCCATTTTCTCATTTTCTGGATATCTTCTATCAAAACTTTTTAAATCGATAAAATTCACAGTAACTGGTTAGACACATGCATACCTGAATATGGATCGAAGGCAAAATGCTGATTTAATTTGCGAATCGACAGAATAACTTCATCATAAACAGGAACCGATCCACCAACTAAGCTTGTATTACCACTCTGCGGTACGACGGCAATATTTCGCGAATAACAATGTTTTAATATAGCTGATACTTGTTGATCGCAAGTGGGAAATAAAATACATTTTGAGCTACCTAATAAATTAAATGAATAGAATGCAATAGTAACCAAATAAAGAATTTTAATTGAATCCAATTTCTAGCGGAGATAAAAAAGTCAATTACAAATGGCTTTAATTCTAAAGTCAAACAGGAAATATAACAAAAATATAAAAGATGGAAAAGATGCTATTCAAGCTAAAAAAATTAATAAGATGAGTACCTTTATAGGCTTTTAACCAATCTGTATTGTAAGGATCCAAATCAGATGTTTGACAATTCTTCTGACCAACAATCGATTCGAATAAATTTAAATCTTGGTCGCATAAAACTGAATATTGACCGCGGGGTGGTGCAGATGACACATAACGATTTTGCTTTCTTTGATGACGATTCGTTGAGATTCCCGAACAAATCAAAGAATTAAATACAAACATTAAACTCACAGAATTTAATGGAAATATTAATTAAAAAAAAAATACAATGGGAATAGGAACATTAAAAAAAGTATAAACAAAGAGTTAATATAAAGCGGTTACGATTAGCCATCCATAATATATATTTAATTTACTCCTAGCGAAGGTAGGTGATTAATCCATTTTCTTTCAATACTCGCCATATAACCCTCCCCTCTTTCTTCCCCTCCCTCCCCCCTATCTTAGTCCTATGAAAGATAAATGCAAGAATACAATTCCACAAATCGCAGTTCCAGGATTAACCCACAAATCAAAAGAATACGTAAAGTCCAATATAAAATTCAAAAACATACGTTTGCTTATTGCCAATATTCCATCCACCCTTACAACGAAACGTTGCATCCCAACTCAACGAATTCACCAATTGACTTCACTCTAAAAAAACGTAGAAATCAAATCAATCATTAAATTGAAATATTTCATATTCATATTGAATATTTCGAATAATTTTAACGGATATTTTAGAATTAATTTAAAGCAAATCCTAATTTCTCATTTTTCTCCTTAAACTTATTTTTTACCAAGCGATTAGTTCGACAAAATTATGCGCAATAGCAGAAATAGTAAGTTTAATAAAAGCATAATTTTAGAACTGTTAAAAAGAAATATAAAAATTTATTAGAAATATCAAAACGTTATGTATGATTATTATGTATGATTATAATTATAATCTTTTTATATATTTCTACAAATTTTTAAAATTACAAAATTATACAAAATTATATTCATTAATACAAATAATAACGAAATTCTATTACAAATTTTACAGATATATACAGCGCACTGAACAGAACGTTTCTCATTACCAAGCTTTACCGAACATTGGATAAACTGGTATATCAATAGAAGATTCTTTAGTGGAATGTGGTGATACTGATATTGAGATACAACGAGTCTGCGTATCTTTTATATCAAACTGAGAATTATCTTGCATAAGATGAATAAATGGTCGATCAGGTAAGATCAAAACACATGAAAGGCGAACACGAGCAGCATCAGACCACGCACTGCTCTGCACTAGCACTTTACATAACAAACGAACTTTCTGCGAAGAGATTTCTTTGAAATCACTTTGACGAGGACGGAACAAATTTGAAGTTTGATCTGGATAATCCACCTGAAAAAAAAAAAATTATTTCTTCATTGCAAATAGTTATACCATATAAGGTTTAATCATAAATTAATTAATAAAATAATTTAAAAAATGAAATTATATTTTTGATAAATTCACCTTAATTCGAAAATTTCGCAAATCACTCTCATTAAAATTATGTAAAAGTATATTCAAAGGGATAGCCAAAGGTAGGCCGGCTATAAATCGTATCGGTTCACTTGGAGTTTCACATGGTTCGACCATCTGCAATATAAAAATGAACAGATGAGAAATTAGCTAATTTTGAAAATTAGGCTACTCGAACTCAAAAGAATGCAAGAATGCAACTTTTAATAATCGAATAAATGACTCTACCTCAGCCCACTTCATAAAAATTTTTCCAAGAGATGGAAACTGATGAGGAAGATGCAATACTTTGGTCTGTAAAAGACTGGTTAGACCCGGACAAGTGACAAATTTTTTTGTTTCTGAATATTCAATTTGTTCCATAATCTCATCAATCAGTTTCATGATTGATTTAGATGGCGTTGTCTCCAAAAAACTTAAACGCCTGTAAATTTTACAATTAATTAAAATCTTCACTTCAAATATTAATTAAATTTATAAAATTAAAAAACCTTTTAAGATTAAGAAGATTCAAAATAAAAAGAAAAACGAAAATTTTCAAACTTCATATTATTTCATATTATTTTACATCTATTGAATTGTAACCTTTTCAAGAAATCTATTTCCACAGCGAATGCATCAACTGCATTTTGGTACAAACTGGGTTTCCTTTCCAGTTGTAATGCAAAACGCAGAATTCGTAGTCTAAACGCACATTCGGCCAAAGAACTTAAAACTACATTGTCCACTGAATGGAATTCATTCTCCGCGTAATCAATGATTAAAAGTCCCTTAAAATAACAGCTGAATATGGTAGATAAGGTAAATTAGTTTATATAATATTTTAGCAGTTTGTTTTGTTCACAAAATTTAAATGAAAAAAATAAAGTAAAAGAAAAAAAGAAGAAATATACAAAAGTAATAGTTACCAAGATTAAAAATAAAAAGAAGGAAAAAGGATGAATAAAAAAGATCATTTCAAGAAAATAAATTGACCTCTTCAATTACGCTTAAAGTAGTCAATAAGTCACCACCAAAAGTTATCATCTGGATGATCAAATCATGACAGGTGAAGCAATGCATCAATTTTGAAAGGAATCGAGCTGTGCTTGCAATTTTTTCGTTAGCTTCATATAAAATAACGAGATCTCTATAAAAGCAAAAAAAAGCAAAATCAAGAAGAAACTATAGAAATATACATTATTAAAAATCGTCCTTGATGTTTGATGATTACCCTGCACTCACTTTATAGAGACAAATGGTTATTTATATTTACAAAATATACTTTAAAATGAATTTTTGAAGAACCATTCGCTGTTCATAGGACTCAGCCATAGATGCTTCAAGCATTACTTCATAGCTTCTTTCAAGAAGAGTACGAGTTTCCTTATTATCGTCCATGGGACTACGCAATAATACACCATTGATAGAGTCTTGTGTCGAAAACGTCTAATAATATTTTAATATATATGGACAAAAAATTCAAAATACAGAAAATATATTTATGAATATACATTATATTTATATAAATATTTAAAAATCGTTTGTATAAATTATTAGCGTTCTTGATGATTACCGATCATTAAAAAAAATGGAATTAAAAATTTTAGGTGGTAAAATTTTAGGATATAAGATAAAGGATTTTGAATATAAAGAAGGAAGAGATTAAAAAGATAGATATAAAATTTAAAGTAAGAAAAAATAAAAATATAAAGGCATAAGTCTAAAAAATAGAATAAAGGATAAAATAATCATATAAACCAGGATTTTGAGAAATTAAATAGAAATTTGTTTTGAAACATATCTTTCCAGCAAATAAATGAAAATAATAATATAATATTAGCTACCTACCTAAAAAAAAAAGAAAAAAAAGAAGAAAGAAGAAAGAAAGAATAGTTTTAAATTTTAAAATTGAAAATTGAATTGAAAAAACAAACTGGAACGTCAGGAACAAGATTAGACATCGAACAACGTAAATAACGATAGTGCCGAACAGCAAATTCTGGTAGCAATGAACAAATCGGTTCATGTATACTTGCCGCATTTAAAATAAAAATTAGTTTAGCCAAATCTAAAATATTTGATGAATTTTAGGTAAATTCAAATTAAAGAAAAAATAAATAAAAAAACAAACACATATAATCTTCCAATGATCTTTCAGTTATATCGAACACTGGATTTAACTCTAGCAAATCATAAACCATAGACTGAACGAATGATGCATGCCGACGTCCCAACTGGCTCAGACACCTAAATATTCTTGAAATATTCTAATAAAGTAAAATTAGCTAAATTGTTTTTATTTCACCTGCGATTTTCGAATTCAAATAAATAAAACACGGCAGCAGAAAAAGATTAACAAATATATAGAAGATCTGTCGATAGGAAATCTACGCAAACAGTTCAAAAGAGCCTCAACGCAAAATCGAAGACATTCCACAGATGCAAGAGTCGACTTCCCCAACAATATACGCAAAGCTTCCCTGCTATCTGGTAAAGCATCCTAAAATCGATAAAAAATAAAAAAACAATTGCAAAAATAATGAAAATTTCTCGGCCTTTAAACTAAATAAATAAAAGATCACGTCAAGAACAGTTAAAATTGTGTCCAGCTGTTCCTTTTGAAGGACTCCGTGAACCACAAGTGGGGTAAGAGCTCGAACCGCATCAAGACGAACCTGAAATATAGAATCAAGTAATTGAAAAATTCGGCATTTTGAAGATGACCAAAAAATCGGTTATTCAAAAAAAAAATAAAAAAAATTCACGAAAAAAGTCATTCTTCAGGAACTTTTTTATTTGAATCGAAAGCGATATCATAAATTTTTTACTCTATCTAACCCATAAATTCATCTTCGTAAATGGTTTATGAATAATTTTCACCGAACTGGCTGAGATAAGCCAATCTTTATTTGGACCACATCTTTAGCAAGCTCATTTCGCAAATTGTGGAATGTCAAAGTTGACTGGAGAAGCTGGTAAGACTAAAGCAAATCGCTCTCGATGAGACATTTTCATCTGGAGCGAATTAGACTCGAACTGCTATATTTCCGAAGCTCGATGAAATAAATAAAAAATATGATATAAAATTATGACATATTTAGGATCTATGATATAAGGAAGATTGGTCTAAAAAGTATTCTTAATGGTTTTAAAAACCGAATCCTACTAATTACCTCCTCAATTTCATCATTGAACATATCAGCAAGATGATCAATAGCATCTGCAGCGAAGAATGGCCGATCTGCTGCCAATTTTCCCAAAGAGTAAACTCCAGCTTGTCGAACAACTAAAATGATTTGATTTGATTTTGAAATGATTTAATTTTGATAAAATGATTTTAATAGATAAATAAATTCCCCTTATGATTAATGAACCTGTTGTTTTCGAGAACTATTGAAAGATCACAATTCGCAAATATATTAAAATTAACCCATAAATTCATCTTCAAGAGCGGTAACAAAAGCTCCACAAGCTCCTATTGAAATCATACTCGTTTGTTCTTCTTCAATTTTTTCAGCAGGAATATCTTCGCCTAATTTTTTACCAGTCGACCATTGTGAAGATACTTTTTGTTGTGATTTATGGAAAGCTTTACGAGAATCCCTGTCACTTTCTTTCGTGAACTGAAAAAGATGTAAAATAAGAAAATATAAAGCGGAATGCACAAAAAGCTTTCGAATATTTCTCAAGAATCATAAAATATCGATGTTAAAAATGAAGAAAATTTAAAAACTCTACTCTAAAAAACTCTAAAAACTCTAAAAAACTCTAAAAATTTCATACACGCATTGTATTTAACAGTTTCTTATCAAGCGTTTGATCAAGGAATGAATCAGATACTCGTTCAAAGAGACCCAAAAGACGAGCTGCTTCTGCGCGCACAGTGACCTAAAAGAACCAAAAAAAAATAAGATGAAAAATAGTTATTCGAAATATCATCTTAAAAAATTTTGCCGTTTTTTGGTATCTTTAGTATCATATGTGTAGCTCTGTTATAGTATCATAATAGCTTTATTCATCGTGATCTCCAATTTCTTTTCAATGTAAAAGCAGCAGGTAATTTTAATCTTTTTTTATATCAATGACCAAATTTAATGCGATTTTCGAGTTGTTGACTTGACATAAGCATAAACTGAAGCATCGAACAGTATAGATAGCAGTATGCACTTTTTGTAATGATGCACAAAAAGGAATATTCATGAAGTTCAGACCGGAGATATGAATCTCGAAAATGTCTCACACTGCTAACTACTTTCAAATTCCATGGACTGACTCGTGAAGAAGTTGGTGAACTTAGAGTTTTTTCAAAATACCAATAGGAATCACCTGCATGCAATAGAGAAAAAGAAAATAATGGAAAAATGAGTATACGAATTGACTAAGCATTAGATATAACTTAAAATAACTTTGAAGATCTTTTCAAATATCAGCAATCCACTGTCACATGTTTCTATTTGATTAAATTGATAGAATTGATCGTTTTGGAAGATGGTGGTAATGGTGTTGCAAAGAAGATCATAAAGGCGTTTTAGCAATGTAAATCGGCACGGGTCTGTGTACACAAGGAAGTAACAGAATCCTCCGAAATACGAACCGGTCCATCCTTTCCTCTGCAGTATTTAATTATAGATTGGATAGTGAACATAGCTTGTCGACACTCAATAGGTGTGCAAATGAGTTCAGAGAATAGCATTACAGACCTTGAATATGCTAATGATGTAGTCCTTTTTGCTAGTTATAATGAAATGCAAAATAATGTTAAATGAAATGCAAATAATGTATCGACAACTGCGGCGAGAATCGAACTCAGAATCAATGTAAATAAAACAATAGCCTTTTCGTCTTATGTATAAAAAGCTGATAAAATACCTACTTTTATCAATTCATCCTTACTTGAGGAAGTGTTAGATTTTAAATATCTCGGATCTATTCTTGATGAAACATTTATGGACTCATCGCGAAATCAGTAAAAACGAAAGACCGCCCTTACATAGCAACTCCAATATACGGCTGGGAGACATGACCAATGAGAGTGAAAAACGTTAAGAAGCTATCTGTCTTTGACCACTCATGTCTAAGGTATATTTTATGAGTTCGATGGATATAATCGCATCCACCTTCGTTTAAATACTTGCTTTAACAGTACACTATACTACTATAGAACGTCGTCTTCGCTGATTAGTTCTTAGTCTTAGTCCCTCACCACAGCAGTTGACATATACATTGTTTACTGCTAAACCCTATGATGGTGTCGGATCCAACAGTTTGAAGATGTCTTACGCTTGTAGCCAGCAGCAGCTTAACCAGTAATGGTAAGGGATGTTAGAAGTTTGCTGCAAGACTGATAATAAAACCTGAAGTAATTACAACAAATCATAAAATAAAAAATCGGAAATATTCACCTAGAATAACAAATAAGTTAATCCGTACTAGACAACAGATCCTTCTGCATGACAGTACTAGACCACACTTAATAAATTACTTATCACTTAATAAAACTTAATAAAACTTTGAATCACTTAAGAATCACTTAATAAAACTTTGACGAAATAAATATCGATATCTTTCATCCACCATATTCCTCAGACTTTTTGGTATCAATTCTCATATCCTCTCTACAAATCTTCAAATTTTCCAAAAGAGGATCTTTAAATCACCTTCTAGCAGCCTAACAAGTCCAGAAAGTAGGATTTTAAATTGAATGTAATTGCATAAAATTGGCAAAATATGATTATAAAAATGCTCTTATTTCGAACAAAAAATATTGAATATTGAAAATCTTCAAAAAATATTTTCAATACAAAAAAAAAATTGCAAGAATTTTTAGGATCTGATAATAAATGCTCAGAATTTTTGAAATAATAAAGCATTCATGTAAAAAACGCACATCAAGATCATTTATTGCGTGGCAAACAACAGCAAATGCATCGTCAACGAGACGAAGTCTGACATTATTCTGTCCTTGTACCTCACTAAAAGTAAAAGGAATAATAAAAATCCATTTACAAGTGGATTTACATGTACTTAAATTTAAAGGTTGACAGTAGAAACTTTCAGTAAAAAAAAATAAAGAGAGAGAGCAAAGATAGTGAAGAATATAGAATACATTAATGAGCGGATAAAAAATTTCAAAATAATAAAAGAGATTCTAAAAATTAACATACGTCTCTGGTTGCTTGCTGGAGAACATTCTCAATATCCGAAGAGCTTCTATTCTAACACCGCTTGCTGAGTTTGAGCAAAGCTGAAAAAAATAAGAATTGAAATAAAATCGAATCAATGGACGGCAAGAATATCCAATTTAATTTCAATTTAATGATAAAATAATGACAATATTTTCCTTTATTTAGAAAAGAATATCTATTGAGATGCAAAGATAATAGTGGATTACTTGCCCCTAAAACCTGAGAAAAGAAAGGAAGATAAGAATATTTATCAAGACGGAAAAAAATATTGCATATTTACATATAGGCAAAAATATAAAAATAAAATCAGAAATGAAAAAAAACGTCAGATTACATTTTAACGAGAGAAAACTTTAAAATTTCACTTCTTTCATTAATCCATACACACTGAAGCTTAAGGGACGCTCTGTCCTTGAAAGCATAGAAAGGCCATTGACAGCTGCTAAACGAACTCTCGCATCACAATCATCAGCCATTTTACATAGCATGTTCTCCAACCAACGGAAATCACAGATATCTTCGCCCAAATTAACTAAAATAAAAAGTGATGTTCTCACTTCTCACCTTTATAATATTTTTTGAACTGAATTACCAAAAAATACCAAAGTTCTACAAACCTGCTTCAAAAATTGCAACAAAGAAATTGATAGCTGCAATGCGATGGTTGTGATCGCTTGACAATATAGATTGCTGTGCTAAATCACAAGCTAATTTTGCATGTATATTTGATAGTAAACTATTGCTTAATGCAAAATGAAATATCGCCAAAATGGATAGATGGATTGAAGACGGATGAAAACAGCTGAAAAAAAATAAAATGAAGTAACTGAATTAAATGAAATGACTATGTAAAAATGACTAAATAAAAAATTAATTTCTAAGAATTTAATTGTATATGTCTAACTTGTATATTTACATATAGGCAAAAAGTAAAAATAATATCAGAAATGAAAAGAACCGTCAGATTACATATGAGTTAATATTGAATTAATTAAATAAATATTTAATATTACATCAATATTTAAATTCAAATAAACCTAGATAATCGTTGATCACAACAAAGAAAAGACGATAGTTCGTTCCAAATTTCTTGTTTCAGAGAACTTCGTTGAAAAATCGACAAAATACATTGAAAGGAAAGAAGAATAATTGCATTCACCTTGGTTGCAGAAGCTATTTTTATTAACAATCGTATACAAGAAATATGTTCATTTTCAGTAAGTGCAATAAGGCAAACATTCGAAAAATCTTGAAGACGTTCCAAAGATCTAAAAATGCACAAAATGTATATTATATATTAAACAAAACATACAAATGTAAAATCTGGAACTTTAAGGCAACTTTTATCGTAAAATGCATAAGTAATACTTGTAAAGCAACGCTTCGATTAATTTACCCAAAATTAAAAAATTAATTAAACAGTGAAAAAAACGTATATTACAAATTTATATTACATTATGACTACGATACTATATACTACATTATACAACCATGAACAATTAATCTTTTGAAGCAATGCACTAAGCATAAAATATTTCGAAATTTTTTGACCACTTTTTTCAATTATCTATAGTTATTAAACAATACAATAACTAATAATAATCAAAAACAACAAAAATAATAATCATGAAGTATTTTCCTATTAAATTTATGTACTTTAACTTTGCCTTATAACTAGCCATCCTCGAGTCTACAGAGAATTTTTAAAATGTCTATCGATTTGTTGCATCTCATTATTGTTATTATTATTTATTATTATTATTACATTATTATTATTACTATTGCTAGTGCAAATGATTGGAATAACTCGTGACTATGAAAAGAATTAAATGATTCTTTAAAAAAAAATCAGCAAAACAAAATCATTATAACTTCAAAAAACTGAAATCTTTAAAAACTTAAATTTGAAATTTTAAAATACATCACAGATCCAAAAAAATCGTTTCGTTTCTTTTAAATCGTTTCTTTTTTTTGCTAATACTGCACAACATTTTTAATTTTTTAGGTTTTACTGATTACGGAAACGAGATCCTTTTTCAAAAGAATCACTTTGGTGATAGAAATGTGGTGCATCATTTAATTTTTAACGACAAGTCAAGAAAAAATCGAATCTATGACGGCCTTAATTAAACCAACATAACCATATTACTGATGTATCCAATGGTTATTTTAAATATCTTGAATTAAAACTCTAATGTCAATCAATAAGCGCATACTTTGGAGTTGACGCCGGTAAATATTTTTCTGTGGTATCATCATTATTTAAAATTTCTTCCAAAAGTTTCGTCGGATTGTACTCTTGTAATCGTTTCGCAAAACCTTCTTGCATATTTTTCCACGTCATTAAACGTAATCGCTTTACATCTGGTCCGATATTTGGAATCTAAACTATCCATCAAACAAAAACTATTAAACGTGAAGAAACATGAAAACATGAAAAACTAAAAAAAGCAAAAAAACAGCTAATAAATAAATGTATTTTTTATATGCTTTAAAATAATCATAATAAAAGAATATATATATATTTAAGGCCATTTCTGAGAAATAACTGATGTTATTTCTTTCCCTTTTCCACTATTTAAGCCCATATGTTGCTAGGCCACTTATATGCTAAAAATCCCTTCTGATTGCACTAATTCACGTTTTTCTTTGGTCCTCCTCGCTATCCATCAAAGAATTTAGCAAGCAGCAAGACTGTATTTCCGATCAATTCTTGCGATAGGCATCGAAAAACCAATGGCCTAACCAATGTAAACGACACTCAATATTTAAACTATAATAATTTAATCATAAAATGGCACAAATTAAAATTTTATTTGTACCATTTATAAAAAAAAATTTAATTAAATTAAATAAAATTAAATTTTATTTTTTTCAAATAGACGCCGTTCAAATATGCATAAAAATACAGAAATTTACCCTATATTCATATGGAAATAATATTCTCAAGTCAAAATTATTGCATAAATTATTCCTAAAAAATTATTTAAAAGAAAACCTCTTGAATTGTTGTGTCACTATGGTACTCGCATTTTTCCTTTTTCACAAGAAATGAGCCAGCGGGACGAACACGAACGTCCGAGGCGGTTTGCCGAGCTTTCAGCATTTCAGCACACTCTCTCTCTTTCAAATAAATATTCTATTTATCTAAATATATAAAAAAATTTAATGTGAAAAATTTCAATATATAAAATATAATAAATCTTTTCGAATTCTTATATTTCAACGATTTTGTGCAAAAAATAAAAATTTAGAAAAAAAATGTAACCGTTTGAATAGCAAATTTAAAAATTATTTTATGCCTAAATGTATAACATTTCAGAAAATTTTTTTGCTTATAATAAATAAATTATTGAAAATGAAACCTTTCGTGAACCACAAATAAAACATAAGTCACCAATAATATGGTCCAATCCAAAATTATTCACCTAACCATAGATCAGCAAACTTTTCACAAGCGTTACTATAAATCGGCCGAGTTCGATTGAGATTAGCAGACGCTAAAGTCAAATTTGGGCTGTCGTAGTGAAAAGTGCTGAGCCTTTTGGTGTAAGTGAATGGCGTTATGGATAGGCCTGAAAAAATTAAGGAAAGAGGGATATCGTGCTGGTTGATAGATTGTGGAAAAACTGTTGAGGAGCCAAGAGCCGTTCTCTGTTGGAGCAAATGGTCCAAGCCATTTGTGCTGAAAATTCGCCCAGAAAATAGATATTTCACCTTCATCTTGCGGAAAGACCTTGCGAAATATTAGCTGAAACTGGATTGAGAATTGTCTCAACGGTATTTTATTAGAAATTAAGTGGTCATTGCAGAGAAGTGCGTAGTAGGTGTTCTATAAGTTGTTGAGCTGGAGCATCCGCTGGAGTAAACCATTGAAGTGATGCGCTATCTATCGCAAGCAGCTGGTAGCTCGAGCCATTTGATAATATTCCTTCACCACGCTATGTTTTGCTTTTTCTTTGTTTTTTAGATTAATAGAAGTTATTTATTTATTTATTGGAAAGTAACCAAGCAGGGCGACAAACGCCATGTGTTTATTTGAATAATTACAACAAGTAAAATAACAAATAATAATCATTAATGATAAAAAAAAAATATGATAAAAATTAACAATTTAAAGAGGAAATTACAAAATAGTATAATACAGTACAATTTGTAGTAAATGTATTATATATAAACGGATGATAAAAATCGAGATTTCACATTTCCTGTATGACGTGAACTTTTTAAATAATATCATAAATGATATGAATCTTTTTTTGAAGATAACTAAGGATGAGCTGTATCATTATCGGCAGTTTATTCCAATAATTAATATTACGAATTAAAAAGTCATGAATCCTTAGTTTAGTTTTGCACATAGGTTTTAGTAGTTTTGGCCCATTAGTTTTTGTTGGATTCAAATTTAGCCTAAAATTATAATATTTTGAACAGTCTAGTTTAACATACAGAATCAGAACAAACAGAATCTTATAAGAATCTTATAAATTAAATCTTATTTAATTCGATGAACCAGAAAATTAGTGCAATGGACGCTTATTTTGGATTTGATCAGATTCTTTTATAGATTCTTGACAAAAGTACAAATAAGTGGCAAATGAAGAATTATTACCCATGTTATTATATGCGATAGTATTCCCCCTGTTCATTAAAAATGAAAGTTGTTTAATAAATTACCACTATGTTAGAGATTAATAAATCGCGTATAATGCATTCGTATGGTGCAGTAAAGCATCTATTATTAAATAAATTATCGAAGCATAATCAAAGAAATTTCGCTCAAATGGAGCGACAAAATAGCGACGGCGCGAATATAAATCGACATAATAGCGAAAATAAACATATGGCAGTAAAGTTTTATAAAGTGTAATGCTTTTCTTTCAATTCTTTGAATTTGAAAAAATCGAGAAAAAATTATAAAAATGATGAAAAGAAGAATGTTTCACGCATTTTTATTACTATTCTTTGTTATAAATATTTATTATTCATAAGCTCAATTGGGGGCGCCGATATTGAGGTTCGATTCTCTCCAGGATTAAATCTGCGCAAAAATCATGGTGATGCTGGCGACTCACCTGTAGTTTTATCGCCAAGAGACTCCCTGACTATTGCCAAATGCGACGACCCAGCTGAGCTAATTTAACCAGTAAACTCTTAAAAAAAAAAAAAAATCGATGAACTAAGAGAGAATCCAGGTTGTTATTGTAGAAGTTTTCTTTTATAATCAAAACTGCTATTGGGAGAGAAATGTAATATAAAATATTTTTGGAGTCCTTCCATTAAATAACTAAATAAATCCAAATAAAATCTTGGAAAATCAAGTTTTTAAAGAAATATGGCATCCAAATTTTCATTCCTTAGCTTAATTCTACATGTAATTCTACATCATAGCTATTTAGCTTATTAAATTATCTAATGCAGATTAAAAAGTCACTAATAATTTAAAAATTTTATAGTTTCATAAAGGATCGCTAAAAATCTAAAAATAAAAAATTCATATAATAAATTCGATCCTATGAAAGTCCTATTTTAGTTTACATTGAATTATAGAAGATTGTAGACAAAACCCTTCAAAAAACCATTAAAATATGATAATTGGAATAAAAAAAAAGATAATATTTTATTTTACATTTTACCTTTTCCTGTTTTCTAAAAAATATTTCGAGAATTCGTTTAAATTATTTGAATTATGAATAAATGAATAAAAAATTAAAAAATAAAAATCAAAACAACAAAAAAAGAAGAAATTAAAAGTAAAATATAAATAAATTTAAAATTTTAAATTTTAAAATGAAATAAATAAATGTGAAAAAATAAATTTTATTTCATACTAATTCATAATTAAATTTAAGAAATCATTTCTTCTTGCAAAAATCTAAAGATTTTCAAACTTTATAAAATTTCTTAATAATTTCGAAATTTAAAATCTCTCTCTGGATGAGAGTAAAACCGTTAAAAGTCCCTCCTCCTCCACCTCCACACCTCCTGAGGTCCCTCATCATTGTGAGGGCCTTTCCTGCCTGTATCTGGCAGGAGATATCACTCGGGATGTACAAGAAGCCCAGGCATTTGCCACTATCGGCATGTCAGATTCTCGCCTGCCAAAGAGTAGGGCAGCACGAACCAACGACACTCGACATTGGTCGTTAGTAAATTTGGATGACTAAAACCCATCTGTACCCAAACGACTTTATGGATTAATCCTAAACAATGTCCACGCATTGCATTCTCGATAATTTATGAGCCAGGTTCAGTATAACTACGGCTCTCTGCACGTGTTGCTATGGTTAACCTCGTTGCGCATGCAGAGAGCCGACAGATTTCGAACAGCTCGCAAGCAGGTCGTTTTCTCAAGCCTTGAGGTCACGCCCGGACTGTGCACTTGTCGCATATACCACTGAGCTATCATAGGGAGTCGAAAGCCGTGTCAATAAAACCTGATCCTTCCACTTAAGGATAGTTACAGGTGTTTCCCCAGCCGGATTTTTGTTATCATGGAAGACTTATTCCTGTCAAAGGTAAAGAAAAAAAAGGAAAAAAATTTAAAAAGAAAAAATAAATTAGAAAATAAAAAAATTGTTGTTTAATATACATATGTATATTTTTTATAGTTTAATTTTATATATAATTTTATTTAATACAATTCAATTTTTTTGTTTGAAATAAAAATTTTTAAAATATGATTTTTAAAAATTTACGAATGCAAAAATATTTATTCGTAGAACATTGGTGTAAGCTGGGATTATTTAATTGCATTTGCATTTCCGATATGCTGAGTGGTCTTTTTCACGCTTTTTGCATTAATAAATTTGCTTAGATTGGAGGAATTGGCTGTGCCATAAAGTAATCGCATCGGCTTTTTATTATTCAAATATATTTATTAATGGTTATCATTTATAATTTATCACTATGTGCTATAAATTTTATTCGTTATCAGCTTGAAAGATTGGATGGTTTTTCTTCACAAACCGCGATGATTGGGCATATTGAATTATTTATGTGAAAGTATATCAGATAGTATAAATTTATGTGAAAGTATATCAGATAGTATAAATTTATTACTATAAAATTTTTCATAAAATTGCTATTTATTTAAAATTTATTAAAAATTTGCTAAATCCTTCTCAGTGGAAATAGGATGGCTCAGTGGGTTCGATTCCCCGGAGGAGAAAATCTGTTCAAAAATCCGGGTGATGCTGATGACTCGCCTGTATTCTATCGCCAAAGAGTTCCTTGGCATAATGCTCAATGTGACAAGCCAATGTGGAGCGAGTTTAACCAGTAATGGTGAGAACTCTTAAAAAATAAATCCTCAAAAACCAAAAAAATTTAAATTATTCGTTTGGAATTTTTAGAGATTTCCAATTTTTCTCACAAATATTTATAAAATTTTAACTTCGACTTTATATTTACCAGATTTTTTTGATCTTGAAATTTTGAAATTTTATATTTTTTTTTGAATAATACTCGTATTCAAATAATATTAGAGGCGAAAAAGTGAAGAAGTTGGGAAATTTATTTGCAATTCTGAGATAATATCTTATAAATTTTTTCAATGAATGAAATTGTAATAAACTGCTTATTGTGATAGATATCTTATCAGCATTTATCTTTACAAATAAATTGGACAAAATTATCGATGATTCATTATCATTTATATCACTTATGCTGTGTTCATCGGCTGATAGAATAGTACAATAGTTAAATTCTTTTTTTTCATTAATATCGTTTTTTTTATTCATTATTTTTTGAAATTTCCTTTTTTTTGGCAAACGGAAGCGTTTCTGCTTAATCTTTGAATAAATTAATAAATAAAATTTTTTACAATGAATATAAAGCATTCAATTCCTCCAAAAAATTTTTAAGGATTATTATATAATTATGCATCGAAGGATTAGTGGAAATTAATAGAAATTGGAAAAAGTCCCGGAAAATTATGGCGATTTAAAAAGTGCAATAAAATTTAGAGAGATATCTTATCAGTATTGATCTTTACAAATGAACTGGACAAAATTAAAAAGGTATTAAAGGCAAACAATAAGTTTCGGAGAGTTTGTGTTTGTTTTGTCAAATAGTTTTACACAGTTCTATCTGTTCATAACTATT